AATAGCCCTACTAATAGCCCTACTAATAGCCCTACTAATAGCCCTACTAATAGCCCTACTAATAGCCCTACTAATAGCCCTACTAATAGCCCTACTAATAGCCCTACTAATAGCCCTACTAATAGCCCTACTAATAGCCCTACTAATAGCCCTACTAATAGCCCTACTAATAGCCCTACTAATAGCCCTACTAATAGCCCTACTAATAGCCCTACTAATAGCCCTACTAATAGCCCTACTAATAGCCCTACTAATAGCCCTACTAATAGCCCTACTAATAGCCCTACTAATAGCCCTACTAATAGCCCTACTAATAGCCCTACTAATAGCCCTACTAATAGCCCTACTAATAGCCCTACTAATAGCCCTACTAATAGCCCTACTAATAGCCCTACTAATAGCCCTACTAATAGCCCTACTAATAGCCCTACTAATAGCCCTACTAATAGCCCTACTAATAGCCCTACTAATAGCCCTACTAATAGCCCTACTAATAGCCCTACTAATAGCCCTACTAATAGCCCTACTAATAGCCCTACTAATAGCCCTACTAATAGCCCTACTAATAGCCCTACTAATAGCCCTACTAATAGCCCTACTAATAGCCCTACTAATAGCCCTACTAATAGCCCTACTAATAGCCCTACTAATAGCCCTACTAATAGCCCTACTAATAGCCCTACTAATAGCCCTACTAATAGCCCTACTAATAGCCCTACTAATAGCCCTACTAATAGCCCTACTAATAGCCCTACTAATAGCCCTACTAATAGCCCTACTAATAGCCCTACTAATAGCCCTACTAATAGCCCTACTAATAGCCCTACTAATAGCCCTACTAATAGCCCTACTAATAGCCCTACTAATAGCCCTACTAATAGCCCTACTAATAGCCCTACTAATAGCCCTACTAATAGCCCTACTAATAGCCCTACTAATAGCCCTACTAATAGCCCTACTAATAGCCCTACTAATAGCCCTACTAATAGCCCTACTAATAGCCCTACTAATAGCCCTACTAATAGCCCTACTAATAGCCCTACTAATAGCCCTACTAATAGCCCTACTAATAGCCCTACTAATAGCCCTACTAATAGCCCTACTAATAGCCCTACTAATAGCCCTACTAATAGCCCTACTAATAGCCCTACTAATAGCCCTACTAATAGCCCTACTAATAGCCCTACTAATAGCCCTACTAATAGCCCTACTAATAGCCCTACTAATAGCCCTACTAATAGCCCTACTAATAGCCCTACTAATAGCCCTACTAATAGCCCTACTAATAGCCCTACTAATAGCCCTACTAATAGCCCTACTAATAGCCCTACTAATAGCCCTACTAATAGCCCTACTAATAGCCCTACTAATAGCCCTACTAATAGCCCTACTAATAGCCCTACTAATAGCCCTACTAATAGCCCTACTAATAGCCCTACTAATAGCCCTACTAATAGCCCTACTAATAGCCCTACTAATAGCCCTACTAATAGCCCTACTAATAGCCCTACTAATAGCCCTACTAATAGCCCTACTAATAGCCCTACTAATAGCCCTACTAATAGCCCTACTAATAGCCCTACTAATAGCCCTACTAATAGCCCTACTAATAGCCCTACTAATAGCCCTACTAATAGCCCTACTAATAGCCCTACTAATAGCCCTACTAATAGCCCTACTAATAGCCCTACTAATAGCCCTACTAATAGCCCTACTAATAGCCCTACTAATAGCCCTACTAATAGCCCTACTAATAGCCCTACTAATAGCCCTACTAATAGCCCTACTAATAGCCCTACTAATAGCCCTACTAATAGCCCTACTAATAGCCCTACTAATAGCCCTACTAATAGCCCTACTAATAGCCCTACTAATAGCCCTACTAATAGCCCTACTAATAGCCCTACTAATAGCCCTACTAATAGCCCTACTAATAGCCCTACTAATAGCCCTACTAATAGCCCTACTAATAGCCCTACTAATAGCCCTACTAATAGCCCTACTAATAGCCCTACTAATAGCCCTACTAATAGCCCTACTAATAGCCCTACTAATAGCCCTACTAATAGCCCTACTAATAGCCCTACTAATAGCCCTACTAATAGCCCTACTAATAGCCCTACTAATAGCCCTACTAATAGCCCTACTAATAGCCCTACTAATAGCCCTACTAATAGCCCTACTAATAGCCCTACTAATAGCCCTACTAATAGCCCTACTAATAGCCCTACTAATAGCCCTACTAATAGCCCTACTAATAGCCCTACTAATAGCCCTACTAATAGCCCTACTAATAGCCCTACTAATAGCCCTACTAATAGCCCTACTAATAGCCCTACTAATAGCCCTACTAATAGCCCTACTAATAGCCCTACTAATAGCCCTACTAATAGCCCTACTAATAGCCCTACTAATAGCCCTACTAATAGCCCTACTAATAGCCCTACTAATAGCCCTACTAATAGCCCTACTAATAGCCCTACTAATAGCCCTACTAATAGCCCTACTAATAGCCCTACTAATAGCCCTACTAATAGCCCTACTAATAGCCCTACTAATAGCCCTACTAATAGCCCTACTAATAGCCCTACTAATAGCCCTACTAATAGCCCTACTAATAGCCCTACTAATAGCCCTACTAATAGCCCTACTAATAGCCCTACTAATAGCCCTACTAATAGCCCTACTAATAGCCCTACTAATAGCCCTACTAATAGCCCTACTAATAGCCCTACTAATAGCCCTACTAATAGCCCTACTAATAGCCCTACTAATAGCCCTACTAATAGCCCTACTAATAGCCCTACTAATAGCCCTACTAATAGCCCTACTAATAGCCCTACTAATAGCCCTACTAATAGCCCTACTAATAGCCCTACTAATAGCCCTACTAATAGCCCTACTAATAGCCCTACTAATAGCCCTACTAATAGCCCTACTAATAGCCCTACTAATAGCCCTACTAATAGCCCTACTAATAGCCCTACTAATAGCCCTACTAATAGCCCTACTAATAGCCCTACTAATAGCCCTACTAATAGCCCTACTAATAGCCCTACTAATAGCCCTACTAATAGCCCTACTAATAGCCCTACTAATAGCCCTACTAATAGCCCTACTAATAGCCCTACTAATAGCCCTACTAATAGCCCTACTAATAGCCCTACTAATAGCCCTACTAATAGCCCTACTAATAGCCCTACTAATAGCCCTACTAATAGCCCTACTAATAGCCCTACTAATAGCCCTACTAATAGCCCTACTAATAGCCCTACTAATAGCCCTACTAATAGCCCTACTAATAGCCCTACTAATAGCCCTACTAATAGCCCTACTAATAGCCCTACTAATAGCCCTACTAATAGCCCTACTAATAGCCCTACTAATAGCCCTACTAATAGCCCTACTAATAGCCCTACTAATAGCCCTACTAATAGCCCTACTAATAGCCCTACTAATAGCCCTACTAATAGCCCTACTAATAGCCCTACTAATAGCCCTACTAATAGCCCTACTAATAGCCCTACTAATAGCCCTACTAATAGCCCTACTAATAGCTCTACTAATAGCTCTACTAATAGCCCTACTAATGACGAAGAAGATCTGTCAACACGAGGACAAGATCGCTTGTAGGATCTGTCAGCACGACGACAAGATCTTTTTCGACATGAAGATCTTTCTTTTAACCAGGTCCGAGAGAGAACAGTAGGAGAAGAACTTTCTCGCAACGTGAAGACCTGCTCTAAGACTGCGTCTGCAGTTGTAAGAAGAGAGCTACGTACAGCGTGATCCTTCCATCGAGAACACCAGATCAGGAAATCTCATGAATGTTTTAGGATGATTTTTATTTTCCTAAGGAGCAGAAATCTCTTGAACAATAGATACTCAAGAGTTCATGATCTTTCCCGAAGCAGTAATCCCTTGGATCTTCCAGTTCATTTACAGCTTATTCCTTACGTTCGTGTTTGTTCCAACACTTTGAGATCCGAGCAGATCTTTGTAGAGACGTGTAGTGTGGTCAAGGTTGAACTCTTCACACACTTGAGCTTGAGCTTGAAGGTCGACAGGTCCACAAGGCCTGAGATCTGAGGAAAAGCATGAAGAAAGAGATCTAAGGCAGATGTTTGATCAACATGATAGCAGAGGGATGCAAAGGACATTGATTGATGTGCATTTCAAAACTGCAGCTCTTTTTTGGAAACCTGGTTTTTTTGGACACCACGCTGGCTTTTTATAACTCACTTGTTTTAGGTTCCTAGATTAACTGTTGTATTTATCGGATGATTTAATACTTAGGCTTACCGTACAGTACTTAGGAACCTGAACCACCATCAAAACGAGTACGAACATACATCTTCCAACATTCATCCTTCATCAGACATGATCTAGGAAAATTACAAGGAACATTATTACTACATCATATATAGAGAAAAGGATAAGGAAGACCAATACTAAGTACATCAGAGAAAAGGAAGACCAATACTATAATTACATCAGAGAAATGGAAGACCAAAACCATAATTACATCAGAGAAATGGAAGACCAATACCATAATTACATCAGAGAAATGGAATACCAATTCCAATACCAAGTACTTACATTAAGTACAACAGAAAAAGAAAACCTGCGAAGTTCAACTGAAAAGAGTAAAAAAATGGCTGCATCGAGTCGCATGATTACTTCCCTCCCCCGCATGAGGTGTATCTCGTTTCTGCTTTTAATACAGCAAGCTGCGGGGATGATGGTTGTCGACCACGCGCAAGCAGCAACATCTTCAAGGAAGATGGCCGAAACGATGAAGAAAGAAATGGAGCAGAGATTTGGTGTGGGCAGAGAAGTCTCCGAAATCCGACAGAAAAAGAGGAGTGCGGGGAAGCACCTCATGGATGAACTTTTTTGGAAAAGTCTCCAACAGCCCAGTCGACGCTCCATGCGCGCGACTGACGCGCGCAACATTTTTAGAAGTGGAGTCGATGATGGTAGTGGACTCTTCATTACCACTGGTTTGAGTTTATTACCATACTCAGTTGCCCTGATTCCGGAAAAGACAATCCTGGTCGCGGACTGGTTACCTGATGTGCACAAAATCATTCGCGAGGCGATTGAGCTAGTGGCTTCGCTAGACAAAGAAAAAGACTGGGACTCTGAGAGGCGGGAGTGGAAGTTTCCCTTTCACAAAATTTTTCCGGGTTGTCACGAGGACCGCATGAGCAAAGAGTGCCAAGGCGCCCTACAATTGTACGAAAAGAAATGGGACCCAATCTTCGTTGCTGCGTTGGTCCGGCTGAATTTCGAAAATTACAAAAAGGAGTTCGGTAGCGAGGACGCGGACGGGATGTTGGAGAAGATTCGAGGGGAAAAACTTCCGCGCCTGAGTTCTACTGCGAGGCAAGGAGGGGCTGGAACAAGAGAGAGGCTGCAGCAAGAGGCGGAAACAAGAAAAAAACCGCCGCAGATCGAATACCTGCGCGATTGGTTTATGGAAATTTTCCAGTGTTGGTTTGCCAGACGAGGAGCAAATGACCAGCTATTGGATGCTGTGGTGAAAGAAGAGTTGACGCCGAATCTGCACTGGCTGGAGAGGAATGCATGGAAGTTATCGCCATTGCACATGTCTGAATTGCAAAAGCAATTGAAAGAAAAAACGTTTATTTTCGCGGATGTTGACTTTTTCGACGTAGGAGAGATGTGGAACTTCGTGAATATTATCAACGGCTTTCCCTTTAAGAGCGTTCGCATGAACGTTTCCAATACATTGAAGACCGGGAAAAAACGTTTTCAGGATAAGGTGATGGAGAACATCAACAGGTACAGCGAGTTGGAGCCAACATTGAAAGACGAGAATGAACGAGCCGCAGCATGGAACCGGCTGATCGATCCTGAGTTCAGAGCGTGGTTAATGTTTGGCGATATTTTCCCTAAGTCTTGTGAGCGTTGGCTCATTCTGGATGATTTTCTTCGACCTACATGGACACAGGCACCGGGTGACGAGCTTGTCACGATCCACTACGGAGCTGCGCACGCTAGATGGCTAAGCGCCCCGAAGCTCTGGCGATCCGAAACGATCCGCAAAATCCAGGTTACCAGTGACACAGATTCAGGCTCAGGTGGGCTCCCGCCTCATTTTTCGTAGCCTACACTAGGAAACCTCGCTGGGTACATCATCGCCATCTCTCTGTGGGTCCAATCCGAATGGACTAGCGCCATCAGACGCATAATTGCCTGCGGAAGCAACAAGCTAGATTAGCGGGTAGAAGTCGGCAGGGAAATCGTAGGCAGATTGCCGAATAGATTCGCGCCATCGAGTGCCTGTCAGAGGCCCCAACTGTTCGCGAGATTTGCCTTGCTCACGAGATTTGAGATAGAAAACCACACAGAAGAAATTTGCATCAGCTTTCTATGATACTGCGCCATCTTTCGTCTAGTAAAAGCATGTTTCGATCTCTCATAGACGGCATTCTGCGGATCTCTTCTGGCCTTCATCGGTCCCACAAGGCTTCTCATTCTTCATCATGGATGTCTTTAATCCTCGGTACAAGAAGCCTTCTAATTCTTCATCATGAAGCCTCGGTACAAGATAGAAGCCTTCTAATTCTTCATCATGAAGCCTCGGTACAAGATAGAAGCCTTCTAATTCTTCATCATGAAGCCTCGGTACAAGATAGAAGCCTTCTAATTCTTCATCATGAAGCCTCGGTACAGGTAAAAAGGTCAGTGCTCTTGCTTCTCTACGAATTTTCTGTAGCAAGTGGTCACTTTTCCTACCAGCTCGATGAAGTTCAGGAAAACATCATGATTTTCATCTACGCAGAAGAGTAAGACCCATGTACTAGTAGCACTAAGTAGGAACGTCAACGTATGATCAGTGAATAAATGAGGTCCTATTTAGCACGAGGTCAGTCACTGAGTCAGTGAATAAATGAGTCTTTTAAAAAATATCCGCGAGTCAGTCAATGAGTCACTCAGTCACCGTCACTCAGTCACTCAATCATTCAAAGTGAGTCAGTCATGAATTGATGAAGTTTTAACCTATCAACCGTGGTCTCTAGTTTAGTTGAAGCATCCTCAACGTCATCCGTGCCTTCAGGGATGCGAACGCGGTAGCCCTAATTTAGGTGCAAACACATATCCTTCCTTAGAAAAATGACTGCAGCCACGTACCTCAGTGACGCCAAGGCAGCCACTGCGCAAGTGCTCGAACAAGTGCAGGAAGCCCGTAATTTGTTGCCAGAAGCCGTTTCGCCGCAGGCTGACTCGCTCTTCGATCAGGTGAAAGAGAATCTTGGTGCACTCGCAGGAGAACTACGCTCAAGAAGCCTTTTGCATTATGGATGTTGTGCAACGACATAATCTTGATTTGCGTAGGAGCTAGATGTGTTTGGCACGAGAGTGGTCAGGTTTTATTACTTCTATGTATGCATGACTGTGTGGTCTACTGTGTTAGAAAAGGTTTACTTGAAAAATTGTGCTGGAGCAACAACTCACTGCTAGATGAATGAAGGGAGAGATTTATGGCTCACCCTTATCCATCTTCGGAAGCATCTCAGGGACGTTTGCAAGGGGATAACGGTCTCTGGATGAACTTCGAGATGGATTAGGGTGAGCTCTAACAGATGCGAGTCCACGTCTACTTACATAAATGTGGGAGGGAACCAAGACAGGGTGAAGATCAAACTAGTCTTTTCACTCCTGCTTTCCATGTAAGAGTATGAAAACTTACTCCTCTAGCCCTAAATACTCAGAGACATGGCCGCGTTCATTTGTTGTTGCTTTCCCTTTCATATACAAGACGAGCTTCCCGTTTTTCGCGAATTGCATGCTCTGTGGCGATATATGAAGACGCAGGTACAACTTCTTGGGTACAACTTCTTCGATTCAAACAAGTGGGAACACTCCTATCAATATGGTTCCAAATTTCGAACTCAAGCAACGTTAAGACTTACTTTTATTCATCTTAAGAGGCATCTTTGATCCCTTTTTCAAGAGGGAACTGCGTCAAAGATGCTTTCCAAGACGAATAAAAGTAAGGTCTAACAAAGTCAGACTTCTTGCCAATAGCCTATCCTGAGAAAAGCGATCCGGAGACAGTGTTGGTACACGACACACGCATGAAGTTGGAGCATTTGTTATGCTTCCATGATAACCACTAACTCTTTTTAGCTTGATAGCACAGACACAAAACTGTTTCGTAGCTGTACACCATAATAACCACTAACTCTTTATTTTAACTTGAAATGATAGCACAAAGAACACTAAAGTGTTTCGTAGCACACATGCCGCAGCATTCCTGCTAGCGAGCAAAACCAGCGGCCCCAAGCTCTTCTAAGTTCAACCGCAGTAGCTCACAACAGAGCAGGTGGAAGTCGAGCAGCTGATTTGCTGGCTTGTGCGAGTTCTCACCTTCGCGGGATAGACCCTTGGCCACACATTCATCCTGCAGGTGTGGGAAGTTTCTAGGTATTGACTGGCAGATATTCTTCAGAATCTACGGAAAAACAAAAACAGTTGATGGCTACAACTAATCCGAACACAGCAACTTTGAGGCCCTTTTGGCAGTCTTGTTTGATGCAAACTACAGACACTCACGACTTCTTCTGATTCCTTTTCAGCATAACTACGCTGGATATCTCTGTCTGCATTTTGCTGTTGTTGAAAAACATTGAAGAAATGATAGTGAGCAGAAGAGTTTCATCTGTTATTTCCGCATCTTCTCACTGGGAACCGGCATTCTGGTCACTTGCATTCTCCTGATAAAGATGGCTGAGAGTATCTGCTTAAAAGATCGGTATTCGTCGGTATTCTTGAGACTGTTGTAATTTTGTGCAAACGAGGAGATTCTTCATGCAAATAATGTATGATAAGCTGGACTTTTGTTCTAGGACTTTCCTATTTGAGTAGTTCTAATTTCTAGGTCCAAAATCAAATTGTTCATCGCTTTTTACAAAACTCTTCATGAGTCGATATCTTCAAATATTTCTTTCATATCAAGCATCTCTACAACTAACAAGAACGGCCTATTTGTTTCATATCAAGCATCTCTACGAGGGCTTTTCGCAGACTTTTACTACCTGGCGAGGAAGGAGTAAAAGTAGAAGGTTACTCCACTACTTCCTTACCTAGAGGCGTCGCTAGGGAAGGAGTGGAGTAACGCCCCTCTTTGCTGCTGCTGCAGAGCTAACGGCCAAGGACGCTGGGCGAGAGAAGCGGCCGCAGGCCAGTGGGGAGTGCCCAATATGCGACTGGATACTTGGCGAAGGCGATCGAAATGCTCTCTTTTGATGTACGCCTGTCGAGGATTATAGGGAGCGTGCGCTGAGACACCATGTCAGGCATGCTCACGCAAGGACCAAGTGGGACAAGACGGAGCACGCGGCAAAGATCTTTCAGCTGGCCAGGGAAGAGCAGAGTGGAAGCGCAAGGAGGAGGAAAAGGAGGCTGCAAGCTGGGACCGGCTCCGGCTTCCGCAGGTTACTGTCGAGAGGACCAAAGAGGGCTAAGAAGTCAAGCTGTGGCGAGAGAAAACAGGGCAAAGATGCTACTCAAGATGAATTAGTATTGTGAGTGCTAATGCTAGTAGTTGTTGGGCAACTTTCGATCCGGCCGTGCCAATCTGTGCCGCAGCTTGCTGTCTGTACAGACAGGCTGATTGTTGCGAAAAGATAGAGGAAAAGACCGTTTTCGAAGTGGCGGATGAGTGGGTCGATGACTCCACATTGTCCGATGACTACAAACCGACAAAAATGCGACGAGTTCTTAAGGCCTCTTACAGCACCAGTTCTAGTTCTTGAGTATTAAGTAGTACAATTCTTCTGGTTCTACAAGTCTTCTTGTCCTTCCAGACTAGTACTTATCTGTCTTCGATTAGCATTTTAGTAGTACTAGGTGCATCCTTGTTTCTGGGAATGAACTACACTTTTCTGGCACGACATGGAAGTCGACTTCGAATTTCCAATAAGCGAACCCTAAGGGGAAGATATCTCATCTTCGCATGTTCAATGTTGTGTTAGTGGTTGCGTGTTGCGCGGCGCGCTTCTGCCCTCACCGGTTTTCTGTTGCATTGGATCAGGATGGTCCTCCTCTGCCTGTACGCGCTTCTTCCCGGTTGCCGAGCATTGCGCAAGCGCTCCTGAATGTGTCGATGATTCTAAAGCCACTTCTAATTCTTGTCAAATAATATTATTGTTCACATAAAAAGTATTAATTTTTTTACGTGACGATCTACTCGATAATTACTAGTCTAGTAATAAATAGTGCGTGATAGAAGTACCATGAAGACTTTCACAACTGTCAACTCGTTCTACTCGCGTGTACTCACAAGTAGAACGAGTTGACAGTTGTAAAAGAATACTTCTACTTCGTATTGATCGGACCCCCCCTGTCGTTTCGCAGCCGCGAGTGGGACATTTCTGGGCTCTTTCGTCCCTGATAAGAGCAATCAAGAGATACCAGAATCTAGTCGAAAAGGACTCGAGCAAGAAGCGAACTTTTACGCTGTGATGTTGAGAGGCGAGTTGTGTAATGGCCAGCATGCAGCTCAGGGTCAAGAGGATGATCAGATGACACCTATCGATTTGGCCGTGAAGCGCTGCTGGAGAATGACGATTCGTCCTTCTCGGGTGTACGGACTTCAGGGCAACTCCGAGGTGTCGCCCTTTAATCCTGTCGCTCAAGCAATCATCGTGGTTGTCATTGCCTTGCTTGCAGTCTATGCTGCAAGAATGATGCAGACCTTGCACTGACACCACGCTTCTACTTTCCTCACCTTGTTCGACTAAAACAAGTCATGAACAAGGACGACACAGATCGAATTCGCCGTGAAACTCAGCCGTTGCTTGAACATACTTCTGCGCGTGGAGGCGCAGTTGATCAAGAAGGCATATAGAGCAAGAAGGTCGAAACGAAGAAAGGATGAGCAGATTCTCGACACACATGGATGGGTGGATGGATGGATTGATGCGCCACGGAAGCATGCGGCTAATTGATTCCTCCCATGATCATGATGTGGACTATCTAGTAGGGTGTAGCCTAATGAAAAGTGCTAGCTTCACATGACGAATTCTGATATGAAGTAGAAACAGCACTAGAACGAATGATCGTGTGATTTCTTTGAGAAACACGCTTAATAAAGCGGCTTGGACAAAAATGTGCACTTGTCAACTGTGGAGCTCGCGCGCTCCGGGACCGAAAGTGTGACTTTTGTTCGGTGTAGGCGTAAGACTCAACATGGAAAATCTTGATATTTTCATATGATCAAGGGAGCAGCGAAGAGTTCGAAATCACAGAGGGAGTCTGCCACCGAAATACTGCATCAAAACGAGCGTGTGCGCAAGAAGACATCTTATCAATAGTGCTGAGCATGTAAGCATCCGGGATAGCTGAGGGGTGGATCTGTGATAAGTGATTTCCATCCAGCTTAAACATCGTCACCATCTTCAAAGATGGAGGTAACTTAAGAAAGTAACTTATCATCACCAAAAAACATGGTAAAAACTCAATCAGAAAGATCATGTCCTGGCATCTCGTTCTCCACCGCCACCTGTGGTGTATAAGGTGGATACCGCTTCTAGGTCTGCTGTCAAGCTCGGGAGTCTCCTTGCGCTTGCAACAGCCTGTGTCGATAGCAACTCCTCTCGTGGGGGACAAGGCTGCAGCAGCTGTTCGGGACAAAGCTGTTGAGGAAACAAGTGCAGCAGTAGGAGCAGAGCTTCCTCGCAGCATAAATGTGAAGGTCGAAAACAGCAGCTTTTCTGGCAGCAGTAAGTCTTCTACAACTACGGGGTCTGCTGGTGTAGCTGTCCTAGGTAGTTCTCGCGCTCCTCCATCACTAGGATCTTACACTCCAGCACAGCACGGACAGAATGCCGCTGCTACTTACGGTAGCAGCACTGGCGCAACAACAAGCCCTTTGTCCGACTCTCCGTCGAAGTGGATTCCTCTACCGCCAGATATCGCTCTGAAGTATCCTCCAACTGCGGAGAATGTCTTGGATGATCGGTTACAGATGCCCGAACGAGGAGAACAAGACAGTGAGCTTCATCCAGGTTCTGTGGCGAGGTGGACGTCAGCGAGTTTATGTCGTGGTCTCCAACTTCGTTTTTTTTCCTAAGCATTCTTCCTCTCTCATACTCGCTCCTCATCCTCTTACTGCCGTGTCTCTACTCGGGTCACAACGGAACCAGGCACTTACTTGGAATTGCTACGTGGTTCTTCGAATGAATGAATGAATACTCCTCATCCCCGTGGTCCCTCACTGTACTTATTCACTGTGCTCATCTGAACATCCGCATCTCATTCACTGTGCACCTCTTCATTCTCCTCGAAACTTCCGATGAGCACCACTCTGAGCACCGGTGTGGACGATCTCGAGTACAACCGAGACCGCTTAGAGAAGGCTATGGAGGGAGTACCCCTTCCTGCTGAGTTCTCCCCACCTGGTACAAGAACTACTACTGGTGCTGGAGGAGAAGACGTCTTTTCTTCATCAGCAGAAGGAGAGCAGCTACCAGAAACAACTGGTGCTGGGGGAGAAGACGTCTTTTCTTCATCAGCAGAAGGAGAGCAGCTAGGAGAGGTGGTAAAGATAGGCCCGACCAGTGAGCGCGACATCGTGGAGAACGCCATCCGTGGACGCGTCTTTGAGCCGAAAACACAGGTGGTGCCTTTGGCGACACCTGCGAAGGCGACACCTGTAGTTACTATCGACGAGGACCCATTAGCGAAGTATGGAACGCCGCCGAAATTTGATAAACTACCTTGGACTGAATCGGATTTGGTACTTCCCAGACGCACCAAGAATGCTGTGTTAGTTTCTCCACTCTATTGACTCCAAAGACTATAGTTGCATCAAAATAGTAGCTGGAGCAGATCATGATCATAGCATAATATTCTACCTTTGCCTATCTGAAATTGTAACAACAAATCTTTCATCTCTTTCAAACCCTCTCTGTCTTCAGACTCCCCTTCCTTCGGTTACGATATCTGCTGCTGACGCTTATCCTCTGCTGGACGAGGCCGATCCGACGCTTGCCGCAACCAAAGCAGCCAATGACAAACGAGTTTGGGACGATTTGACGTTATGAGGTTGAAATTGTGAAAATCATGCCAATCTTCTCGTAAGTAATTATATGTGGAAACGCAGCCGAGAGCTAAATCATGCCAAACTCGTTTGTCATTTATTGGCTGCTTTTCAGTATGCGTTGGCTTGTGAAATTGATATGAGTGAGAGGATCATGTTGGAATTGGAGTGTAATACCTCCCCGGGTCTTTCGCAATATCTTCTCGTGATATAAGCATTTATCATCTTCTCGGTTTAATATTAGCTTTGGTTTTCGTAATATAAATATCTTCTCGTCCAAAAAGAGCATAAGTATTTATATGTCTTCTAGCAACCTTTAACGTGGAAACGCAGTCGAGAGCTAACTCGTGGATTGGCGACTGGCAGTGCAGTAACGGAAGATGAACTCGTGGCCGCTTCTGAAGAAGGATCTGAGGAAGGAGAAGGTGGTGGCACTGAGTCATCTACAACTAGTAGCACTGAGTCATCTACAAGTAGTACAACGGGATTTTTGAATGTGACCAATACAACCTGGGATGAGCAAGGCCTTGGCAAATGGGTCGACAACTTCGCGCAAAAAGCCGTAGAAGTGACTGCCGCTGCGGTCCGACCTGCAATAGAACAACGTATTCAGATATGACAGGAAAAAGAGTGCTCATCCTGAGGAAAAGAGGCAGTTGTTCCCTAAAATTTAGAAAGTCGTGCCTCTTTTGTTGAGTATGAGTACCCTTTACCCTCTTTTTTTTCATATCAGAGCGTTGTAGATGCCGAAATCGCAAAAGCTTTTCCACCAGCAACTACAAGTGCTGGCTCGGTTGGATCGCTCAATACGGTTGGTATCCTAGGCTCTAGTACTTCCTCGGGAAGGCAATCTACTTTTTCAGGCAGTAAAGGAGAAGTGGTCTCGAGTCCTCGTGGTAGTGGAGGTTCTGCTGCTGGAAGTAGTGGAAGTTCCTCTGGATCGACGTTTTCAAGTTCATCTGAATCGACGTTTTCAACATCAGGTACGACTGGTGTTCCCTCACCGAACAGGAGTCCACCTGTAGTTCCGAACAGTAGTCCTGTAGCTCCATGTACTGTCGTAAATGAAGGACCTATCATTGTTGCCAAGGAAACGGAGACAGCTCTGACGACCCCAGCACCAGTAGACATCATGAGCTACAAGGATTTGTACCCGTTGAGTGTGGAGACGGGTGGAGTCGGTTCATCTGGTAGTACTTCTGCGGTTGCTGCTGGTGCGGTTGGAAGTGGTGCTGCTGGCATTTTGGGTTCGGCAGCTGGTACTGCAGGTGGCGCTTGAAGATAGGATGGCTTGAACAGGAGAATACAACTTGCACAGAGACTGAAAAGGATTGAAAAAACCAACCCTGTGAGTGTATGTTGATCAAGAACAAAGCATTTTGATTTTGTTGTAGCAAATGATATGGTGTATTTGATGTTGCTTATTTTTTCCTCGACCGCTCACAAGCCTTTTCTGCTTTACAAAAGACGATGCCCATGTCGAAGCGGTCATTTTGCGTGATATCCTCATGTCACTAGTAGATAAGGGCCCTTTGTAGGCAATGTCGACGGAGTTACGTATCCCTTTGCAGGAAAGACTGTTGCTGCTAGAGATGCTTTTTTTTTTCGTGGAAAGGCCAACTTCTGTCGAGAGTCGAGCGAAACCGAAATGCATAAATGCCACCTACCTACCTGGGTGACTTTTATGCATTTGGGTGACCCGCCAGTAGCCTTTTGGAAACTGAGTGGGGTCTAGAGTGTTCCCCGCCTCTGTTATGAGTGAGTCGAGAGACGCGGACTTGTTTACGGACAAAAAGCAAGAGGATGGAAGAATAGAAAAACTTTAGATCTTACGCGCAGCTTAATTGAAAAGGGGGAGAGCGTCCCATCGCTCTCCCTCGCCGATCCTTTTATCTCCCGCCCGCTCTTAGCAGAGAAGTGGCTAGCAGGCATAAGGTAGCCCCTTTGGTAGGAGTAATTCTTCCGGTTTCAGTTTTTCTTTTTGGATATTTTTTGGCGATGGTGTTTGCGGAACAAGGTGGTCGAGAAGCGATGGCGCGAAGCGTGAAGACCCTAGTATAGAGTAGCTTCACCAATACGACGATGTATCTGAAGAAATTTTAGCGATTATTCGCGGGCCGTCTCACTTTAAAAAAGTTCGATCTCAGTAGTGGCTCCGCCCTCTGTGCCGAGTGTCCACAGCTTGCAGCTTCAGGCCCTAGCTACCAAATGGCCACGTCAAAGTTCTAGCCCTTTCCGTGTTCGATCTTGCAGGGTTTAGCTCTTGTCTCTCGGGGTTCATCAGATAAAGTCCATCATTGTTCTACTTATGCGCCGTTGATTAATTTGCCTGTGGGGTTTTGGCTCTAGCTTTTCTGCGGCGATGGCCGTTGTGCTTCATCGTCTAGCATTTTTAGGTGCCTGGCCGTTGTGCTTCAGGATTCTCGCAGGGTAATTCAATGTTCTTATTGCGAGGAATATAGACCCAGGTCCCAAAAAAAAAAAAGATACTGGTGGCAGCGTGAATGAATGATAAGAAACAGTTCTTTCATGTTTTTCCGTAGGTGCAAGAACAGCTCCAGCTGAAGAAGAGAGATACTGGGTATATCATCATCGTAGTGGTGAGGACACAAAAAAAATGACCTCCACTTCCTCCACTTCCGGCAGAGCTTCTTTTGGGTCTAAGAAGGCGAAGAAAGAGGCAGAAGAAAAGCAGTGTCGGGAAGTATTTGACTTATTCGACAAAGGTGGCACAGGGTACATACTCAAAAGTGAGCTTGGATTAGTCCTCCGCAGTCTAGGATTCCAACTTTCGGATGCTCAGTTGAAGAAAATCGAACAGAAATTCACCGGTACAACGACGATAGCAGGGAAACCAGTTATGATGTTTGTTGAGATAGAAACACTTCTACTACCTATGACTACATGACTGTTTTATCCGTCGTGTGAGGTTCGGGTAGGAGTAATTTTTAGTTGTCAAGGGGAAGATCCAGGAGTTCAAGTCCACTTGTTTTTTTTGTGTCAGTCCCATACGCAAGAACACTTCTAATCGTCTGCAAGGCGATGAAGGCTTGGATTTTGCACAGTTGCTAGAAGCAAAAAACCTTCCAGAGGTCAAGTCCACAACGCTGGATAAGCGTACAGACGCGATACACGAAGCTTTCCAAGTATTCGACCCGAGAGGGACGGGAGAGGTTCGTTTTACTCTTGTTGTTGTTCTTTTTATTTGTGTGCTCAGAAAGATTTTGTTCGTTTGAGAAGATATTCTTGAGTCCTTTGGTCTTCCACGGTCCACCTCGTTATTGGTGTGCACACTCTTGATGAATTCGAGGCCTAATCATCTGGTCTGATCTCACAAGGTGTCTGCGATTGAAAATGAATCATTCATCATCGCCAAGGTAATACTGACGTCGTCGACCCTCTCTCCCATTTCACCTTCTCTCCCATTTCAGGTAGATCTCGGGGAACTAAAACACGTGCTCACATCAATAGGGGAGAAGATGTCGCCTGAAGAGTTCGCTGAAGTTCTAAAAATAGCGAAAGCCGAACACTTACAACACATAAACTATACAGACTTTGTGAAACAAGCTTGCAGTTAACCATGAACTGACAGTAGTTGTTGAGGCTACAGATGATTCGGAATTATCGTAAAAAGAAGGTGTTATAGCGCTCTATGGAGATACGCAGAAAAGGAAAAGCCAGAAGGTTTTTGTTTTGCGAGTGCCTCAAGTTCCTGCGAGAAAGCATGAGGGACGTCTGATGTTTGTAAGTACTATGGATTGAGAGGAAGCAAGGAAGAGTGTATGAATCAGTCTTAGAGCGGCATGATGCGATGGCGTGAACGAGTGGCGAGATGTGCATGTGTTTGAGGGAGACGATAGCGGTTTGGTTTTTTTTCTTCCACTCAATGTTGATGAATCTTCAAGTTTCCGGGTGTAGTATAGCTACCAACAATAACAATGTCATTCCAGCAGACGAACAAACACGACTAGCACCGGAATCCCAAAGTGGCTCAACTACTTAACTCACATTTTTCAAGAATGAAGTAGTGACTCTGACTTTTTTCTTACGCAGAAACAAAGATGTCGTTTATTTCCGGTGGAAGCACGTGCAGTCGTGGAGTTCTAGCACGGACTGCTCCACGGACAAACTTGGGTGTTGGAGCGCTTGGGAGCAATGTCCGTTGTTCGGCACATTGGTTTCTGCCATCTTGTGGAAGCAGCAATATCTTGGTGGGCTACCAGGAGAGGAGACGGAACCGTCGAAACAATGGGCAGAATATCTGTAGTACTGTACAAGGCAGTGTCAACATACGGTTATTCTCTAGTGCCACTGCAGCTGCAAGTTCTCGTGACCCAGCCACGCCATCGCCAGAAACGGCAGCGACACAAGACGCCGCGGCTCCTGCAACTGCTGGCAAGAATGAGGTCAACATGGATGTGTCTAAAATCCGAAACGTTGCGATCATCGCACACGTCGATCACGGTAAGACAACTTTGGTTGACGAGATTCTAGCGCAATCCGGAATGGCTGGGAAGTGGAAACGAGGAGCTAGGCATTTATGAAAGAACGAGTAGGCAACGAGGTCTAGACTCGCTAGTTCGTTTATATAGCGTATTTTAGTGTCAACAGTATCTATTGGTTGTAAATTGTTCTATTGGTATAAATATCCACCTTATCCATCCTAAGAAAGTGAGGATGAACTCTACTGACGACAACATCATCTTCATCATCCTGTACCCTAGTTTCAACTTTCATACGCTCTCGATAGCAACGACTTGGAGAAAGAACGTGGGATTACGATTTTGAGCAAAGTTACGAGGATTCAGGCGCCACGACGCAAAGATTTCATCTTCAACATCGTGGACACACCAGGTCACGCAGATTTCGGTGGAGAAGTAGAGAGAGTGTTGTCCATGGTTTTATGGTGTCATCCGCTAGTGTTAGTCCGTAGCATCAGGACTGCCATTAGTCCTAATGGAACCATTATATCTTACAGGCGTGTCTTCATGATCCACACTGCTTCATTCGTTTGACACACACTGGAGTCAAGGCTCTAGACCGTTATCCCATCGCGGCCTTCTTAGCAATTGGCGTCCCACTATGTCAGTTCTTGGTCAGTAGCAGGCGTGTCTTCATCCACACTGCTACCTTTTATTTGTTCCCCTGTTTTATTCTTATTGCTATGAAGTACTATTCCAAGGGTAATTAATATTAAAGAGCAGGTGGTCCACACGATGAGGAGGCCTCGGAGATGAATTTAGAAGCTGGAGGCGCTAATGCTTGATGGTGTAGTTTTGCTCGTTGACGCAGCGGAAGGTCCCAAGACGCAGACACGTTTCGTGTTGCAAAAAGCCCTCCAGATTCCAGGGATTCGGCCACTGGTAGTGATCAACAAAATCGATAAACCAGCCAGACGTGCAGCAGGAGAAGTGGAAAACGAAATCTTCGACTTGTTTGCTTCGTTGGATGCCACTGAAGAACAGCTGGACTATCCGACTCTCTACTTACGGATATTATCGTCAACAACTCTTCACTAGCAGGAGTATCTTTCAGCTGTTTTCACGGATGAAAGTAGATTTTTGCTTTATCAATTAGCAAATGTCCTTCTCACGTAGCACATGTTCTAAAAGTAGGTAGCTGATGTACCTTAAAGTAGGTAGCTGATGTACCTTAAAGTAGGTAGCTGATGTACCTTAAAGTGCATGTCCTTCAAGTACATGGGAGGTTCTTGTGCTCGTCAGCATCTCTAATGTACGCCTCTGGTATGCACGGTTGGTGCTGCTCCAACTACGACGAGGCTGTGACGAAGCCACCAGACAATCTGGATGCATTATTTGAAGCCATTGAGGCGCACGTGTTACCACCAAAAAGCGTGCCTGGTGAATTTTCTATGCTGGTGTCACAAATGGACGTAATTCCTCAGCTGGGTCCGACAGTCACCGGGAAGGTGAAAACAGGAGTTTTGAGGAGGGGAGACAAAGTGCATGCGAAGCTATGGAAAGGGATTTTTTTGAAGGCTTCGATTTTGGGTTTAGCGCTAGTACAACTAGCGTGATACAAAAAATGACTTTCTATTTCACATCAGTTCTTCTGTGGACGAGTGAAGTGATGACACTTATTACTTATACATACAGCTGCTCCTACTTTTCCATCTATTTAAATCGTCTAATCCATTCCCTCGACAACGTGAAACTGCACAGCGGCAAGGTCAAAGAACTAACCGTTGTGCGCGGAATGAAACGGGAGAAAGTCGACTACGCAGTCAGTGGCGACCTGGTTTCTGTGAGTGTCTCAGGGTTTCTGCCAAGGTGGACTCAGACACTCTGCTCCAATCCGGTGAAGGTTGACGCCATCCCCTGTCTCCAGATCGACCCGACGGTCATTTGCGTCAAAGTCACAGTCAACGACTCACCCTTGGCAGGAAAGAGCAAGTACATCTCGCTCTTTGACATACATGAAAGTTATGCTTCTTGGCGGGCAGTTGATTTTTACTCCTTACAAGAAAAGGTTTCTTGTTTCTTCTTCCGGCAGAAATGATCCAACTCAAGCTTTCATGAAGTCTGTCTGGCAAAAGTCAAAGGGTGAGTACAGGAAAATAGCTTATACTTAATAAGAAAAACGAATTCGCTAGCACTTCTAGGACTACGACCAGCACACACACTCGTCTAACTCAAGCTGAAACGTGAAACTGTAGTGAACGTGGCCATTTCCGTTACGGAAAGCGAGGATAAAAGTTCTCTGGTTTTAAGTGGTAGAGGCGAATTGCAGATGGGCATCTTGATAGAGGAAATGCGAAGGGAGGGATACGAGATGACACTATCACCTTAAGGCTGCTGTAATTGACACTATCTAGTCAGTGTTTTGATTAGTGTCCTCGCTCACAAAAGTGTGTCCTCGACTTCTGCGCTGCTTTCAGATGCACTACTGTTCAGGATTTCAAGCTAAATTTACACATACAGATCACATGCATACACATCACATGCCCTCTAATCCCTCCCACGCGTCGTCACCACCACCGATCCAGAAGATCCTACCGTTGAACTGGAGCCATGGGAATCCGTCGAAATCGACGTACCGACAGACCTGTCGGCCCAAATCATCGAGCGCCTATCCAGCAGAGGTGGCGAACTGAAGGACATCAATTCGGATAGTAAGCAGATTATGGTGCTCAAAGTGCTGCGCCTGGTTCACTTTTTGTTGTCAAAGAACAACCCACTATGATCTGCTCTATCTTCCACAATTTCTAATTGAAGATCTCAGATGCGTTTTGAGATACCATCAAGGTGCTTTTTTGGAATGCGCGCATGGGTTGGGGACATCACGGGAGGACAGGCTGCCTTAACCTGTGAGATGATTCCGCCACGGGCAGTCGACAAAAATCTGACGCCGAATGCAGATAGAGGAGGCGTTTTTGTATTTAACAACTGTAATTGAAGATAGAAGTCTGTTGCCTTGGTCGGCAACATTGCTTTTTGCTGGACTAGTGAGACTAGTTCGTTCTCAAAACTGTATTTTCAAACTCCTCAACGAAAAGCAGCCTTAAATAACATCAAAACCAAACCCTACTACAACAACTCCTCATTCAGATCGCTGCTTCCGCTGGCATCGTTTATCTCGGTGATCACCGTAAAGCCAGTATGCGCGGACGGCTGTTTGTGAACGCTGGGGATCATTTATACGGTGGTCAAATTATTGGGGAAATCAAAGACTCCAAGGAGGACAGCGAGATTAACATCTGCCACAAGCATGATGGGTATGCTAGCACGCATGGCGCCACAGGTATAGGTCTTTTAAGGCTCCTTACCCAAATTATGCATCTTCTAGTGAAGCACCATCTTGGACCATAGGTTGCTTAGGGGGAAACAACAACAGGTCCACGTCCAAGATGAGTCCCAACGTGAAGATGGATTTGGGTCACCCCGCTCTAAGTCCTAAGATGTCCCTAGAAGAAAGCTTGGTGTATTTGCGAGAGGACGAATGTTTAGAAGTAACGCCTGACAGAATAACCATGCGCAAAGTGCTGTTAGACCCAACTGCTCGTAAATTAGAAATCAAAAAACAAAACAAGGCGAAGAGGGCAGCATGAGGGCAGCATGAGCAAGTGTCTCTGTTTCTACTGGGTTTAAAAATGCTATGTTGTATTGTAATGACAAGGTGAATGATGAAATTGAAAAGCAAGGGTATTATCATGTTCATGTCTCTGTGCTGGGTATAGATGAATGGACATTTGATTTTGAGAGACATCGTGGCTTTTTGACTGTGTGAATGATTACGGGTTGTCTTTTTCGACGCTTGCAGCGTAAAGAAATAGGTGTCCAGCACGACAGAGTGGCGGGTGTGTTTCCGCATTTCCATTTGGCTTTGGACGAAAGTCTCTGCAAAGACTGCTTTCAGCGTCTCCAATTCCAAAGAGCGATGCGCCCTTGATATCCGTTGGTGTTCACTGAAACTCTCAACTCATGTCTTTTGAAGACGCTTCAAAGCCAACTACAAGGCACAAAAGCTTTCTGTGAGAGAAACGATCAAAAGAACTCCGCCTGCGTTATCCCATGCGCGTGACAAGCCTCAGAGTCTACAGATCATGCACTTCTGACTTACAAGGGACCTCGTCCGGACCCTGCTGCTTTAGTGCAGTCGAATATCAGGAGGCAAAGTTAGTAACTGCGTCTGCGATGGAGGAACTATGGTCGCACAAAGGAAAGTGAAAGTGGAAAAGAGCAAAAGGCAAAATGTCATCTGAGAGAAAAGCCCACCCCGATTGTCAACTTCTAAGACAACAAGGTAAAACTAACTCAATTCTTCTAACAATGTTCACCAGATAGACAACTCAGACAAAGAGTAGCACGCACTCCACAGAAGACGTTACTTCCTCCTGCATCGCGAACGCGAAGCGAGTGCGAGCGTCAGTACTTTCCCTTTTACGTCCTGCATGTCAATTGGACTGACCGGGATGGAGCTTGACGACGGAAATAAGGCGCAGATCAAAAGGCTGTACCAGTTTCTGCGACAAAAGAGGGATCGCCACCTCCGGGAAGTGGACGAGATTGCGAACGACGTCAAGGATGACCGCTGTGGCGAGACAATATACAACCAAGAGGATGTACTACTTCTCTATCATGCCGTATACAATCAAGAAGATGCATTCAAATATCGACTCCTCTCTATGTGTCGTCTTAAATTATTATCATGGATCGATGAGGAGCAGTAATGGCTAGACACCCGCAGTTTCATGGGAGGATGAGAACAACAAGTTGGACGACTATGAGTCTAAATGTATATATTCCTGTCGTGCGATTCGTACTGCGATACTGGTAGAAAAAGTACTAGATCACCCCGATAGATCGCGACCCTAGATCCTGCGCACCACTTACAGGTCGTCACGCTTCTGGATGAATTTTCTCGAATGGTCAAGGAGCTGGTCAAGCAGGAGCTCGATACGTTGAGCAATATGATGGCACTCTACTCGGCAGACCTCTTCACACAAGCGCAGTCACGGAGTGTCACTCTCGGTGCGGACTTATCAGCAGTGGAAGACGAAGGACGGTATTAAGTAGTTTGAGGAGAAGGAGTTAAGAGGACATGTACTAGATGTACAGAGACTGAGAGGGAGAAGATTATGCAACCATTGATTGGCCTGGTTCTGGTGCAACTAGTATCATAGCATGAAACTAAGAGGGTTTTGTGAACAAGGCAAATGGTTACTTACCGCGCAGGTTAACAAAGATTGCGGAGTTGGCGGATTGGCAAGGCAATGCGGCAGCGCCAAACAAACCAACAGCCTTAGCTGCGCTTGGATGTACTACTTACTATTTTTTTATGATCACCACGCACCACCTCATGCATAACTGTACTAGATAGTAGTAGTACTACAGTGGATGCACAAGCACATCATGTGCTTAATCTTCATTACTGATCAAATGAGAAGACAGATGGTAGAACTAGAGGAAGCGGTTGAACGAGGGGAAGAAGTGCACGGTCCTTCAGAGGCGGTGATCGGTCTAGTGTAGCCTAAGATCTAGGACGTGACCGCGCATCGCCACAAGCTCTCCAGCAGGACATGATAGCACCTAGCCTAACCTACGTATTCAATTATGAAGAAACTTATCTATCACTCCCAACTCAACGACCTCAACATCAGCCACAACCGCAGCCAAAGGCGAGGATGCTCTGATAGAAGAGAATAAGATGCTCCAGGAGAGATATCAAGGAATACAGAAGCAGTTGAGTGAGCTGATGCGCGAAAGAACTTCCCTACTAGAGGAAATGAATACTATGAAGGACAGTTTTGCGAACGTAAAAGCACAGATGGGGGCAGATATGCAGAGTACCTCTATTTTGTAGTGACCTGTTGTTGGTATTAGTTTTAGCGAACGTTACGTTTAAGTAGTACGGTGACTTTTCTTTTTTAAATTTCTATTCCTGTGCCTGAAATAGAAATTGAAAATATTCTCACGACTCGCACTCTGATTCTTCTTCCCGTCGTCATCCTCATAGGCCTCAGCGCGACCCCCATTTGCAACACCGTCTCTCTCACAACCCTCCGTCCCCACCCTCACACACTGCGAAGATCCTCATAAACCGAATGCCACCAATACCGTCCTCGTCATCAACCTATAGTGTGAACCCCGACTACTTACAACCCACCCAGCTCACAACTCGAACTCTCGCCCACAACCACAACGACTTCTACAGATAACGCCTCAGTCCGCGATATGGAGGGCCAGTTGAAGAGTACGAAACTACTATTAGAAAGCAAGAGCAGTGAAATGGAACAGGTCAGGCAAGATCTGAACAAGAGACTCGGCGATAGCAGCCAATTCAAAGATTTGAAAAATATATTATGGCAGCTGCGTAAGAGTAAGGACTCGGTGAACCACTGGCACATAATTCGAGTATCTTGTTAGAAATACAACCTGTAGTTAGGTTAGGCTTAGCTAGGGTTCCTCAATATGTGTCTTTGCCTAGTTTAGAAGGTTTAGACCGTAGGGAGGGTTAGAAATGAAAGCTGATGGCCATCTATCTCTACAGCATATTGATGATATCCAGATGATATCCGCCTCGTTTTTATCGGTGTTTACAAAGTGCTACCGAAAATTCCTATCCCCCTATTCTAGTGTGTGCGTCTACAATTAGACTATCTATATGCAGGGTAGTGACATGAATACACCTTACATTTTAGTCCATTCATCATCATCATCATCATCATCATCAATATTATTGATATCCATATCCACCTCTAACCACCGTCGCGAAAAAGAACCAGCAAATCAAGCAACTAAGGGAAAGGCTGCGAAAGTACGAGGGCGACGATGATGGAGATATCATCCGAGCTGAAGACTAGACGCGGTTTCTGACGTCGCAACATGCGAGAAGGCTGTCTGCTTCATAGCCAAGAAGAACCAACAGACAAAGTCAATTTTTTGGTTCGCTTTTTTGTTTAACAACCAACACAAGCACCAATACAATACTAAGATTATGATCTTTGTTTTGATTACAACCACCAACCAATCAAGAATGAAACTTCAACGCCAGCAACGCTGAAACTTGAAGTTGAAGAGGAGGGCCTAAGAGAATTTGCTTCGACGACGACTAGCTGCGGCTTGATGTCAAAATGTCAGAGGGATCTAGATCCCAGTGCAGCGTTAAATGCGAAGCAGCGTTTCTATAATCGGTGTCAGTACTAACTTAATTTTGCTGAGAAAAAAATGTTGTTCGTAGCAATATTATGTGAATTTCCCATTTATAATACTAGTTCATTCAATTCATCATTTGCCAACATCTTCGGTCAGTGTAGGACAATGGCAGTTCTTGCAGCTATTTCTTCCGCCATTCTAACCAGCAGCATCCGCGATTCTATTGTAGAACAACCTCTACAATAAGAAGCACTCACTTGAAACAATTACGATCAAAATAGGTAACTGAAAAATCTCCATACAAACATCGTTTACTTGGATACAACATAGTACCACATAGATACAACGCTGTCAATCTGTATCAACATCCTTCAACAAGAAGAGGTTTTAAACAATAGAAGATATCTCTACCAACATCAAGAGAAGAAGATGAAGTTCCTTGCTGGGAGTTTGTCGTGCCTTTTTGGGACACTTGGTTTGGTGAAAGCCTTCCCATTCGTCCGGGAAGAAAATGGGTTTACCATCGTCGACTACTTCCTCGCTACTTACCCTGGTGAATATACAGAGCTTGATCCGAGCAACAAAAAAGGGTACTAAGAGGTCTTCTATATAACCCATAGTTAGATATAGACTGATTAGAGCAATCGTTGTGAAATAAGGCCCTGTCTGGTGCTGGTAAGTGAGAATTGCCAAAACCGAGGTTACGAGATCGGCGATGTAAGTGTGAAGATGCGGCACGACAGTGTCTGTCTTTTAGTGAAATCGTCTCATGTTGTACTCACTACTGCTGTATTAAGGTAGTTACATCTTCTAAACAACGCATTCAGATGATTTCTTCGCTACACAGGTACATTTCGGTTCCCAAGAGCGGAGAAAAATTCACTGTGCCGAAGGACCTTCCACCGACGTGTAGTGCTAGTACCAAGAAGACCGATGAGGCGGAAGATCTTGTTAAGTGTTGAAACACTTCATTTCTGCAGGCTTTTCTATTTTATGCATTGCTATCTAGTAGAAATGAAAAGTTTCAAACTTTAATCTTAGTTCTTCGACTGAGGAGAACGAGGCAGCCGCTGCCTTGAGAATGCTGACTTTCTCCAATGTGAAGGACTTGAGTAATTTTCCGATGGTAAGCCAAGCAGTGGGAATGGAGAAAGCGCTAAAGCGAAGCATTCCCAGTGTTGTGAAGACTTTCGTCCCTGGTGATTTTCTTGCACCGAGCATCTTATCTTGGCAGCCTGACGACGGTGGTGCTGGCATGATGGAAGGTTTAAAACATGCTGGGGTAGACTACTTCTCCTTGGGCAACCACGAATTCGACACTGAGGTGATGTACAACTGGTCCAAGCATGTGCTGAACAAGGACATTCTGAAGACCAAGGACATGATTCTGCAGACCAAGGACGTGACGTTTTTAAACGGCAACTTGATGACGGCAAAGGGAAAGTTTCAAAAATCGCTTGAGGTAGATGGTCCTGTAGAACACTTGTACAACAACGCGGAGAAAAAGTACGGCTCTCCATTCGAGCTGTTCACTATTTGCAACACAGGAGTAGACACTGATCTGCCTATGATCAACGTGCTCGTGGCTGGCTTCGTGTCTGACGAGGCAGCTTTTTACGGCACACAGGGCGCGGAATTTACGCTAAAAGGAGTGAAGCAGGCTGTTGTCGATACGTGGGAAGCTGCGAAAGAGACGCTAAACGGCGATGCTCCAGAGGTCTTCGTGATCATGGTTCATCAGTCCTATTCTGCTGACATTGAGCTGGCAAAATTCATTCTGGAACATCCGGAACTGCGGGATCGCGTTCCAGTCATTTTGGCAGCCTCTTCGGACAGTACAGTGAGACACATCGACGTCCTCGACAAGACTATCAAAGAGGTTTACGGCTCGATGAGAAATGTAGAAGAGTAGTAGACCATTTGTATGTTGTTGCGAGCTTCCCATCTATATGTTGTTGCACAATCTTCCCTTCAAGACATACAACTGGGTAACGGGGCGAACTACTCTTATTCATTCATTCTCAAGGGATAAAAATTAACCAACAAGAAGATACTGTAACACTACTCTTACATCTGGGGAACATCTCTACTTAAGTACCATTTGTATTAACTAACAAGATGTAGGTGTAGCTCACCAAGATAGGTGCTGGCCGGAATAGATTTACAGGAAAGTCTAAGAAGAAAGCAAGAAATCTGCCTCACCGATGGACAAGGTTCGATCATTTTTGCAACTTGTTGGGCGTGCCAAAGAACGGGTCACAGGAGGTCGTACTGCGAGTAGTTCGTCTTCTTCCGGAGACCAACATAGTAGTCTTCTAGGCGCTGATGCTGCTGCCGCTGCCACCGCTGCTGGACTTCAACAAGGAACAGCAATGAACAATCCTGCGTCTGCCAACAGTAAGAAAGATATCACTTCTGAACTAGAACAAGGAGGCGCTCGCAAGATTTCTATCATCCGACCTGGAGAAGACGCGAAAATTTTGGGCATGATCGATCTGCTCTTCTTCAAGAACACATATTAAGGCGCAAGATAATCATAATCCATCTTCGCATGGCTGCTCAGTTATTTCTCGGATTTTCATTGTGACTATGAGCGTAGAAGGAACAGTCGGTCTACTTAGTCTGCCAGGAGAGACGTCACTCACGTCGTTAAGCAGTTGGTCTTTTGTAAAAACTGCCGCGTCTCTATTCGGGTCACAACGGAGCCAGGCAGTTACTTGTAAAAGCTGCTACGTGGTTCGAATGAATGAATGATGATGGATTATTTTGAGCGCTAAAGTTGTGGGGGACAGCCGAAGTTGAAGTACACCACCAAAGTCGCTGACATTGAGTATCGTGCCACTGTATCTTCCAATGCAGGCAGAGCCCAAGGTCAAGGAGCTACTCCCGTCACGAAGTATTACGAGCCTGATCCCAACGATCCGGCAATTCAGGGGATTCAAAAGTTACTGGATCGCGCTGAAGAGATAACGGAGAATGAGAAAAGGGAGGTGATCTTCAAAATCACGGAGAATGAAGCAGGTAGTACGGACAAAAGTACAGTGCTTAAGGCTTAGGCTGTCATTCATTCATCCTGAGAGGAGGCATCTTTGGCCACCCCTTCATCGGCTCCTTTTGTGAAAAGCGGAAAACAGAAGCACGTCATCGAAGATGCTTATTTCCAAGATGAATCATAATTGTCATTTTTGTGTTTGTGAGCTCTAAAATGCGCATCAATTTCGACAACGGCGGAAAAGATGCGGAGCTTCTGGCGGAGTGTATTACTCCCGAGCAACCTTATTTGGACATTGAATCGGCGAAACAGCAGCTTGAATATCAAGAAAAATTCGAAAAACTACACGAATTTAAGGCTTGCGCCAAAAATCCATCTTGTTGAAAGGCATCCTGAAGTAAGAGTCTGCTTTCTCAGGGAAAATGCATACCCAGGAGGCTTCTCAAGTGGAAAAGGCACCCTCAGGATGCAAATTTTTAGCAAGGGGGACGAATAAATGGCATCCAGGATCATGCATGTCGAGATTTAGAAGGGTGAGTTCTAACAAATCCAACATGGTCACTGCGATTTTGAAGTCGATCAAGGCAGGCGTGGACAAGGAATTGGCCAACAGCTTTGGCGAGAAAGTTATGTCGACGCATGCAAAAATAGAAGCCAACGACAGTTTTTTGCGTCGTGGTTTCATCTATTTATTTTCGATCAGTAGTGGTCTTCTATACCCCTGGAGTGGGTACATTCATTCACTCGATATTTACATTCATAATGCTATCAATCCCTTATATGGAGATTTTGATCAAGAACACACTTATGCCTCTAACTTTTCCGAGAAGGTTGACGCGGTTCTTTTGGCTGGTGGTGTCTTCAAATCGATGCGGGAGTACAAGGCAGGTGAAACGATGACTCTCTTCGACATGAAGCAAGAGTTGATTAAGAACTCCCACCACATTGGTTATTGCACTTGCAACATTCTTGACGTTTTCACCAAAAAAGAAGATTAGTACATCCACATCCTTTGCTTCTTCAACTTGTGAAGCCAAACATTATTTCTAGGAAGAAACAAAAGAAACACATCAAGGATGCTCAGCTCCTGAAGAATGCAATGCCAATGTCGCAAGCTCGTCCTTAGCCTTTCTCTTCCTCTAAGTTAAGCGCAAACCATCGAGTTCGCATCGTTGACATTCCGGGAAAAATTTTGTGGGAAACGATTATGAATTCGCGTAGAAAAGGCGCGCGCGGTGGGGAACTTCTGCACTTTTACCTAGATTCCGGTAGAATCAAAGACTTGGCCGGAAATGGTTTTTATGACCAACAATACTGGAAATTTTGACGCCATTACCAGGCTAGGTGTTCTAGATGGGACACCATGATGATGAGGTGATAGGCTGCTTTGCTTTTTAGTCATGAATAACTTGCAGGAAACCCTATGGGAACTAAAAATATCTATTTTTAGGAATCTTCGTCGACATCATAGGTACTAGAAGTAGAGCTCAGAAGCAGAAAAAGGATATACCTGATAAGCGAAGTAGCTGCGCGCTCATGGACTCTCGCATGATTGAGTGAAAAATGTAAAGCGACCTTCTAGTTTTTTAACAACAATAAGAAACATGAACAGCTGCAACTACAGGCTCTAATAGTCGAAGAATAAAAACAACATGGATGTTCCGTTTCTGGAGATGCATACTGGGAGAAATGACGACAGGCTCTTCAAAGTGGTCATGAACTGCTACATTATGGACAGGATGTCAATCGCCCTAGAAGGAGACGGCCTAGAGGAACATGTTAATCGCCATAGAAGCAATGATTGATGCTGGGCGTTGTGCATCCAAGAGGTCTGAATAAGAACATATTTGAAGTAGAAAATAGTTCTTCTGTAGGCTCATCATTAAATCTCTATCTCAAGCTCAACAATGATCATTCTCCCCCTGGTCTGTTCATATTTTTGTTCAACAGCCTGACTGTCGAGCCACTTCGCGGGTATAACGACCTGATCTTGGCCACAGACATGATGCGCAAGGAGCCAGGGAGCTGGGGGATTGTTATGGCAAAGTCAAAAAAAACATATTCACATGTTTTTTTCATGTAGTTGTTGTTGAAGAAGATACATATTCATCAAAACAGTGCTCCTGGATCGGAGCATTTGTGCTAAAAGAAACCAGAGTCGTCCTCGTATCTTCTAGGAAGAACTCTCTTCTTCTTTGTTCCTCTTTCTTCTAGTGCGTCCTCCTCCTCTCTCGTTTCTAAAAAGAGACCTATCGTGAACATAAAAAGCACGAAGTCTTTTTGCAACATGTGCGAAAAGCGTGAAACGACCATCTGGAATGGCATTGTAGCTCGTGTTTCCGACCCGGACTTCAAGAAATACGCAAGTATTTTCGATTATGGCCCAAAATTCTAAATCCTCTCCCGATTATTATTCTCCCAATGATCATCGTTCCCACAATAGTACGAGCCTAGCACCTGTCTCTCAACCCCTCCCTAACGTACGAACCTCTTTCATACTTTCAAGATGGAAAACAGGTTCGGAACGCGAGGTATCATGCATATGATATATGATAAATCTCGAATGTTCAACTGGAATGGAGACGAAAGTCTCCCGGAGCGACCTCGCGGAACCCCACAGATGACCGGCTTCGCCATCTCTGGTGCTAAGATTCTCTATGGAGGGGGAGGAAACTGAGTAAGTAGAACCAAGTAGAATCTTGTCGTGAGGAGTTAACAAGTTGAATGATAATCTTGTTGGAAGGAGGAAACCAATCGACTGAGAAATCCTTGTATGGTGGACCGACGAGGAGGAAAGAAATTTTTGACGCGGGAGAAAAAGTACGAGGGGATATAACAAACGGAAAGTAATACCTTTCTGACTGTGGAGCAGCTCGTCACACGACCAAGTTAGAATTACAAATAGATTCGAAACATGATGAATCTTTTCTTATTAGTAGAGGAGGAACACACAGGTTCAGGTCGGCAATTATAAGCCAGGATGTTTGCGAACAAGCTGTTCTGTTGAAGCACTTCTACAATGATCGACGAAGATGACATGCTCAGTTTCGTTTATTCTAGAAATGTTTCAGTTTTTGTCATTCGACCGAAGACGAACACAAAGTAGGTGAAAATATTATGATGCTTTTCTGGGGTAGGTTTAGTTTTCTTTTCAATTCCAGAAGATAGAAGCTATTATTGATTCAAAATAAACGTGGTGGAAGGTAAGAAGGACAAGAAATCTGGTTTTCAATGGTATGAAGCTATTCCTGTCTATTAGTTTGAATGGGAAGTTATCTGATTTAACGTGCATCGTGGAAATCGATCGCCCATCGATGACGCAGATGAAAGTAAACGCTTCTTATCAGTATGAAAAGCGCAATTGTTCTTAAAAACATGAAAAAACACAGAAGGCTACGCACAAACCTTATGTCATCGACGATTCTATTTCTTTTGACCACCACGCGGCTATTCGCGATAGAGCTCCGGCGAACAAGAAGCCTGCTTTCGTTGCGATCGATGATCTACGGTGTTAAAATGACTAGGACTGTTCGGTTGTTGCCTTGGCACTGTGCAGTATTTCCGGTGTCTATTCAAGTAGCAGCATGCAGCTTCTTCTCCCTTTTTTTGATGGAGCAAGCATGATTCGGTAAATTAAAGATTCATGGTCCGACCGGTCGGTCAAGCACACTACGGTAAAGTATAAAGCAATGGGTGGTGCTGAGGCTCCAACTCACGAGCTTGATGAGCTTGAGCACGACCGTGATGTTTTAGGTAGCCGTTCTGTGCAAAAACACATGACTCTAGCAAAGCTATTGTGGAACCATAACAAGTCATCAAACACTCAGAAAGGTTCAAGTTGTGACCAATATTACTGATTATAATCATCTGTTTTGCGCAAAATGATCTCTCCCGTTGCTTTCGCACGCGCAAGCGACAAGCTGAGGAAGCTTGATGTGCGCATGCGCCGTCTACGAGCGTTCATCGCGGAAACGAAGCAATCTATCCCTCTCATGCAGGAAAAAACTAAAACTGCGAGTTATGAAAATTCAAGTTCAACATCTTTTCTACTGGGAAGCCCTCGTGTGGAGGGTACTTTGTTGACATCAAGAACAAGGGCTACGGTCGTGCAGAGGAGAAGGCTGGCGCTGGCGGACAATGACAGGAGTGAAGATACTGCTGTGCAAGCAGGTGTGCGTGCAGGTGAAGAAAATGGCGAAGGAGAGCCTCTTCAAATTTTGAGAATTACCTCTCCAAATACTGAAGAACCACGAGGGCCGTTCGCGTTCAAAAAGAAGAAAAGCCGCGGTTTTTTCATCCCGACACAAAGAGAAGTACAAGAGTACACGAGAAGAGTGCAACAGGCCGACTCGGGTGGATATTGACACTCTGGTGGCTGAAGCAAAAATGGTCCTGTTGCGGACAGAAGCATGATATTGACATGAAACCTAGTGGTAGAATAGAATCGCCTCGGCTCATTGTACTATGTATAAATGGAAGTTCACGTAGTTCTTGTACCACGTGATTGTTCATTCTACCTTTCTCACGCTCCTGTCCCGACATCACAAGACTAGACTCAAAAGAGAGGATTCCCGATGAGCTCGTCTCCTTGTCCACCAGCATACAAGAGCCCTCATCGTCGGTCCTTTCATAGATAAGAACATCGAAATTCAAATTCTAGTTCATCGTTCGCGAAAAGATAAGCCTCTTCAGTGCGAGCCTCGAATGATCCCCATTGTGATAAGTACCACTTGGTACTGGTAGGGAGAACCAGTTTCACCAATCTTTCTCGTAGGAAGCCCTAACTGAAGAATCACTCTACCATCCTCAAATTTCCGAATCTGAAATTGATGATCGGTGTAAATACAATCTTTCGCTGCGTCCTCCTCCCTCCAGGAAGAAAAAGGCATTCACATTGAGAAGTTGTTTACTAAGTCTTCGAAGTGGCCAGTCAGATTTTCTGAAACATACGAAGGACATCAAGATCGATTCTTTCTGTTGCTCCTCTCAGTTGTTTGACATAAGTATTTTAGTTGGACTTTCGTACCTCCACTCCTACGTATACTGGTGCCCCAAAAGAAACTAGTGTCGCAAACTACACTTAACCACCAAAAAAAATGGCAGACGGATTGCAGGACCGCATCGTCGCGCTCAAAGAGCGTCTTCTCGCTCGTGTCAACCTCTCCCATGAGGTTCCTGTTGCTCCCGAAGCAGCTACCAAGAACCTTCCAGATGGGTCTATTAGGGCTTCCGGGAATCTGCCATTTTGAAAAGCATCTTGGCACCCCTCCTCACCGTCTAAGGGTCGTGGAGAAACGGAGGACCCAAGATGACTTTCAAAAGATGGATTCCGGGAAGATCTAACTCTCTTGAAGAGGGTGGCGCGCCAGGCGCTTCCTCTGACGCTGTAGCAACAGAGCAGAGTGAGCAACCTCCGGCCACGTCTCCTCCCGAAGGGTCCGCTGATGCTGTTCAACAAGAAGAGATGAAGAGCCCGATGGATGAAGAAGTCGACTCAGTTCTCGCAGAGTTGGAGCCGTTGACACTGTCGCATCAATTACTGTTAAGGACAAGGACATGAAGATTGATGTGTGACCGCTCCGACTTGTAGTTTCTGATTTAATTACAACAACCCATGGTATGGACATTTAGGATTAAAACACATGATGTGCTGGTGATGCTACTTCTGCCTACACAAGAAAGAATCCTTTCTGCACTGAAGGTCTTCCGCTACGACGAAGTAGTTGCAATACTAAGAACATCTGTTTTTAGAATTATCATCTTGTCGTACTATCTCTATCATTCTAATCCCGAAAACGACTTTGATTGGCAAGGTGATGCGCGACGTCTCCATGGATGCTAAGCTGAGTGAGGATGTAAAGAAAAAAGCCGCTGCTTTGATCGAAAAGTGGAAGAAGACCGTGTTGCTTTCGCAGAAGAGTAGCCGTGACCTGAGTGCAGCTACTAGTACCAGTGCCAGCTCTTCAAGTACCAATACAGGTGCTACAGGAGCGGCGTCGAACAAATTCCCATTCACGCCTGTCACAGGAAACGGACATGATCTTGTATTTTTATAAGTACTAAACTAATTCACATGGATAAGTTTACGGTTGTACATTTAGACCTGTATTACTAGATTGAAACATCAGCAAGTTGTACAGTAGAAATTCTCCTGTCACTGTCCACAGCACTGCAAACGCACCAAACAACCACAGCCCGCCGAGCGAGAACGAGAATCACGAAGATTACCAGCAGTGAAACCCATGAGCACTCAGGAACTACTTCCAGATATTAGGGGGATGGGTAGTAGTTTGACGCAGAGTCAAGATTTTGCCGCAGGCGATGATCCTCGCATGATCTTGCGAATCAAGCTCGAAAAAGCGCTCTCTTATGCGGCAAACGAAACGGAGTCGAAAATACTTGTACTACTTCTAGTGCTACAATTTCATTTTCCACCACTTGTAGAAGAATTATGTTTTCCAATATTTTAATTTTTATATATAACTGCAACATCATCTTGCTGATCATCGCAGTCACATCAGAACCTCAAACCCTCCTACAACAGGAAGGAGAAGAGCAGCTCAAAACAGAGAAGCAACTCGCTAGCGAAATTGAGCAGGTGCTGTATAACAAATTGAAGGAGAAGCGGGATTATGCTCACCAGAGTCGATCCATCCTAACAAATTTGCGAGATGCAAAAAATAGAGATTTTAAGCTCAGAGTCCGCTTGGGAGCTTTTAAACCAGAGCAAATGGCGACGCTGACAACAAATGACATGGCCAGTGATGAGAAGAATGCGGAGAGGGAGAAAACTAGAAAAGACGCCATGGAAGAAATCGATCTTGACTACGATAAAAAGAGGGCGAAGGTACTGAAATTTAGAACGGAAGCTTTCCCCCTCCTCCCTTCCGTACTTACTCGCTCACTGCTCTCTGTGTCTAAGTCCTTTCAGTCCCTGCGCCTTGCATCTTCTTGAATACTACTACTACATCTCACACTAATCATTCTGTTCCCTTTTAGCACGCTTCTTTCACAGGTTGGTGTTAACGTTGAGTTCATTTTCAACAGAGTAAGAAACGCAAACAACTACAACACCTACCCCGCCAACCACCTCCCTTTACAGATAAGTTCCTCGTTTACATGCGGAAAGTGTGGCACTAACAAGTGTACGTATTATCAGCTGCAGACGCGCTCTTCCGATGAACCGATGACAACATTTGTTACCTGTATGACATGCAATAATAGATGGAAATTCTGCTAAAAGTTCTGATTTTTTGATAAGTTCCATATTGATGCTCGTAGGTATAGCAGTACTCGTCCTCGTGGAATCAATTTGCTGCTCCAGTTGTTGTGACGATCTATCATAAAGAGTGGTCGGGACGGATAGATGTCATAGTTGTTGATAATATCTTTGATAATTAAGATATTACATGGGTGGTTCTTTTTATGATGATGATAAAACTTACCATCAGAGTTCAGTTGTTGTCAGCACGACACATATTATGTCGAATACTGTAGTCATGAACATCTTTTTCTTCCAGCACAACGTCGCGCCCCCCGTCACTCCATTATCATGATGATGCAAGTTTTCATCTTATTCACCACTCCGCCATTCGCAAACGCTACCATGATGCAAGTCGTAAACCTCCAGCATTCTTCGCAAACGCAATGACTCAGCATGAGTCAAGCTCTTCACACAACCAACGCAGGACTTTTGCAGCAGTGAATGTGAACTTCTTCGTCATCCGCCATCTCTCCATATACTTTCATTCAGTTATGGGAATGTGTCACATGGAGTCCATGCGAGAGACTGTTCTTCCAATCCCAAGAATCATCTTCCATCCTAAGAGCAGACAGGCAAAGGCAAATTTTGCAATCGGTTTTAGGAATGACGGAGTTCGTAGCTATGAAATGTCTTCGCCTATCTCCCATGTAAATGTTGAATTTGATGCTGGTGTATGAAGTCTACCACGACATGGCTAGATGTGCAGTGAAGATCATGCCTGCATGCCAAGAGCCCAGTGTGTGTGCGTGTGCGAAAATAATAATTGAAAAGTCAGTGCTCATACGAATTCAGTGCAATCTTGGAGCTTATTAGTTTAAAGAATTGGAGTGAGCTATCGCATCTTCTACTTTGCATGATCATCATCTTCCGCTTGTGCAACCTCTGCCTTCACAGGGAGTGTGATTGACCTTTTGGTGTGTTGAAAGTATTGATTCAGCTTATGTTATTGCATGTCCACTTCTCTTTCAACATGACGAAACGACAGTCGTTATGGTAGTAGGATAAGTGGAAGTGGATAAACCTTGTTTGATGGCCTCGTGTAGATGATATCATAGCTGTAAGAAAAGAACATGCGCGTGGGGTGCCTCTACCCTTAGAGGACGCTCGAACAGTGCTCTTCGCGCGGCCTGGGAAGGGACGGCGTCATCTGCCAAATTACAAAACGTTAGCAGTAGCGACACATCAGAAACTAATCCCTAGCGACACTTCCTGAAAAGCGACCACGACGCGCCAAGTAGTTCTACTTCGTTTCACCCAGAAAAGAAACCACTGTAGATCAATCGTTGTACTAGCAACTACTACAACTTTCGCCGAGTAACTTCACAAACAAAAGCCAGTACATCACAACTCCTTCTAGATCTTCCAGCACATCACGTTATATTATACGATGGATAAGACGCAAGGTGGTCAAGATTCTGACGCAGACGATGATCCTCGCATGAGCGTACGAATCAAGCTCGAAAAAGCGCTCTCTTATGAGGCAAACGAACCGGAGGCGAAACTGCTTGTACAACTTCTCGTGCTACAATTTCACTTTCCACCAGTTCTAGAAGAATTATGTTTTTGCTGGACCACAAGAACACAGACTGTTGAGCCGCGTGTAGTTTCTCGGTGAGAAGCACTGAGCTTGGTGCAATTTGAACTCACAGCCTGAGACTAATGGTCTCTGGCTGGTTTGACTTTGATCCCTGTGGGTTTTCATTGGGGTTGCATTGGGATGCCACGATGGGGGGAGTTTCATGCGCTTCATATGGATACGCTTCGAGCTTATCAATATTAACTTTGCACGATCAACCTACACCAGTACTTATCTGGATCTGACTGACCTTAGATAGGCGGACATGCATCAGATCACATCCTGCGAGACCTAGCACGAGACCGAGAGTACCCCGCGACGGTTCTTGATGCACTTTGAACTGGTCAGAACTGACAGGACGGCACGGACCTGGTTACAGCTATGGACATTCGTTAGCTCTGCTACGTGAATACGTTGAAGGCCCTTCGTCTGTTGATCGTCGACCTTGGAACCATATGCGTTGAGGTCTGTTAGTTTCCTTGAGATCTTTCCGGTGGTGCTTTGTCCTTGACATTGACTGTTCTGAGAGACTTGAAACAACAAACGAGAGAGAGAAGGGAGAAGCCGCCGACACCCGCGCCAACTAAGGCCAACGCGTTGAAAATGGTGCCGGTGGGTACCTTGTTCGCCTGGCGATCTTGGTCATTTCGTTGATCTTTATCCTTTGGATCTTGGTGGATCTTTGTGGCATTTCCAGGATTCAGATCATGACCAACAGTTTTGCATTATTTTTATAACAACATCATCTTCAGGATCATCGCAGTCATATCAGAACCTCAAATCCTCTTACAACAGGAAGGAAAAGAGAAGCAGCTAAAGACAGCGAAGCAGCTCGCGAGCGAAATTGAGGAGGTGCTGTATAACAAATTGAAGGAGAAGCGGGATTATGCGCACCAGAGTCGATCCATCCTAACGAATTTGCGAGATGCAGAAAATAGGGATTTTAAGCGCAGCGTCCGCGTGGGATTTTTTCAACCAGAACAAATGGCGACGCTGACAACAAATGACATGGCCAGTGATGAGAAGAGAGTAGACACCATGGAAGGAATCGAGCTATACTACGATAAGAAGCGACCGGAGGTACTGAAATTTAACAAAGTTTTGGCACGCTTCTTCTTCGCTATCAATTGTCCTCTCATTGTTTCACAGATTGGCGTTAATCTTGAGTTCATTTTCAACAGAGTAAGAAAGGCAAGGAACTACAACACCTACCTCGCCAACCACCTCCGTTTACAGAAAAGTTCCACGTTTGCATGCGGAAAGTGTGGCAGTAAGCACTTGACGTATTATCAGCTTCAGACGCACTCTTCCGATGAACCGATGACAACATTTGTTACCTGTATGACATGCAATAATCGATGTAAATTCAGCGAAATGTTATGATTTTTTGATAAGTTCCATATTGATGCTCGTATAGCAGTGCTCGTCCTCGTGGAATCAATTTGCTGCTCCAGTTGTTGTGACGATCTATCATAAAGAGTGGTCGGGACGGATAGATGTCATAGTTGTTGATAATATCTTTGATAATTAAGATATTACATGGGTGGTTCTTTTTATGNAGGGCTACGGTCGTGCAGAGGAGAAGGCTGGCGCTGGCGGACAATGACAGGAGTGAAGATACTGCTGTGCAAGCAGGTGTGCGTGCAGGTGAAGAAAATGGCGAAGGAGAGCCTCTTCAAATTTTGAGAATTACCTCTCCAAATACTGAAGAACCACGAGGGCCGTTCGCGTTCAAAAAGAAGAAAAGCCGCGGTTTTTTCATCCCGACACAAAGAGAAGTACAAGAGTACACGAGAAGAGTGCAACAGGCCGACTCGGGTGGATATTGACACTCTGGTGGCTGAAGCAAAAATGGTCCTGTTGCGGACAGAAGCATGATATTGACATGAAACCTAGTGGTAGAATAGAATCGCCTCGGCTCATTGTACTATGTATAAATGGAAGTTCACGTAGTTCTTGTACCACGTGATTGTTCATTCTACCTTTCTCACGCTCCTGTCCCGACATCACAAGACTAGACTCAAAAGAGAGGATTCCCGATGAGCTCGTCTCCTTGTCCACCAGCATACAAGAGCCCTCATCGTCGGTCCTTTCATAGATAAGAACATCGAAATTCAAATTCTAGTTCATCGTTCGCGAAAAGATAAGCCTCTTCAGTGCGAGCCTCGAATGATCCCCATTGTGATAAGTACCACTTGGTACTGGTAGGGAGAACCAGTTTCACCAATCTTTCTCGTAGGAAGCCCTAACTGAAGAATCACTCTACCATCCTCAAATTTCCGAATCTGAAATTGATGATCGGTGTAAATACAATCTTTCGCTGCGTCCTCCTCCCTCCAGGAAGAAAAAGGCATTCACATTGAGAAGTTGTTTACTAAGTCTTCGAAGTGGCCAGTCAGATTTTCTGAAACATACGAAGGACATCAAGATCGATTCTTTCTGTTGCTCCTCTCAGTTGTTTGACATAAGTATTTTAGTTGGACTTTCGTACCTCCACTCCTACGTATACTGGTGCCCCAAAAGAAACTAGTGTCGCAAACTACACTTAACCACCAAAAAAAATGGCAGACGGATTGCAGGACCGCATCGTCGCGCTCAAAGAGCGTCTTCTCGCTCGTGTCAACCTCTCCCATGAGGTTCCTGTTGCTCCCGAAGCAGCTACCAAGAACCTTCCAGATGGGTCTATTAGGGCTTCCGGGAATCTGCCATTTTGAAAAGCATCTTGGCACCCCTCCTCACCGTCTAAGGGTCGTGGAGAAACGGAGGACCCAAGATGACTTTCAAAAGATGGATTCCGGGAAGATCTAACTCTCTTGAAGAGGGTGGCGCGCCAGGCGCTTCCTCTGACGCTGTAGCAACAGAGCAGAGTGAGCAACCTCCGGCCACGTCTCCTCCCGAAGGGTCCGCTGATGCTGTTCAACAAGAAGAGATGAAGAGCCCGATGGATGAAGAAGTCGACTCAGTTCTCGCAGAGTTGGAGCCGTTGACACTGTCGCATCAATTACTGTTAAGGACAAGGACATGAAGATTGATGTGTGACCGCTCCGACTTGTAGTTTCTGATTTAATTACAACAACCCATGGTATGGACATTTAGGATTAAAACACATGATGTGCTGGTGATGCTACTTCTGCCTACACAAGAAAGAATCCTTTCTGCACTGAAGGTCTTCCGCTACGACGAAGTAGTTGCAATACTAAGAACATCTGTTTTTAGAATTATCATCTTGTCGTACTATCTCTATCATTCTAATCCCGAAAACGACTTTGATTGGCAAGGTGATGCGCGACGTCTCCATGGATGCTAAGCTGAGTGAGGATGTAAAGAAAAAAGCCGCTGCTTTGATCGAAAAGTGGAAGAAGACCGTGTTGCTTTCGCAGAAGAGTAGCCGTGACCTGAGTGCAGCTACTAGTACCAGTGCCAGCTCTTCAAGTACCAATACAGGTGCTACAGGAGCGGCGTCGAACAAATTCCCATTCACGCCTGTCACAGGAAACGGACATGATCTTGTATTTTTATAAGTACTAAACTAATTCACATGGATAAGTTTACGGTTGTACATTTAGACCTGTATTACTAGATTGAAACATCAGCAAGTTGTACAGTAGAAATTCTCCTGTCACTGTCCACAGCACTGCAAACGCACCAAACAACCACAGCCCGCCGAGCGAGAACGAGAATCACGAAGATTACCAGCAGTGAAACCCATGAGCACTCAGGAACTACTTCCAGATATTAGGGGGATGGGTAGTAGTTTGACGCAGAGTCAAGATTTTGCCGCAGGCGATGATCCTCGCATGATCTTGCGAATCAAGCTCGAAAAAGCGCTCTCTTATGCGGCAAACGAAACGGAGTCGAAAATACTTGTACTACTTCTAGTGCTACAATTTCATTTTCCACCACTTGTAGAAGAATTATGTTTTCCAATATTTTAATTTTTATATATAACTGCAACATCATCTTGCTGATCATCGCAGTCACATCAGAACCTCAAACCCTCCTACAACAGGAAGGAGAAGAGCAGCTCAAAACAGAGAAGCAACTCGCTAGCGAAATTGAGCAGGTGCTGTATAACAAATTGAAGGAGAAGCGGGATTATGCTCACCAGAGTCGATCCATCCTAACAAATTTGCGAGATGCAAAAAATAGAGATTTTAAGCTCAGAGTCCGCTTGGGAGCTTTTAAACCAGAGCAAATGGCGACGCTGACAACAAATGACATGGCCAGTGATGAGAAGAATGCGGAGAGGGAGAAAACTAGAAAAGACGCCATGGAAGAAATCGATCTTGACTACGATAAAAAGAGGGCGAAGGTACTGAAATTTAGAACGGAAGCTTTCCCCCTCCTCCCTTCCGTACTTACTCGCTCACTGCTCTCTGTGTCTAAGTCCTTTCAGTCCCTGCGCCTTGCATCTTCTTGAATACTACTACTACATCTCACACTAATCATTCTGTTCCCTTTTAGCACGCTTCTTTCACAGGTTGGTGTTAACGTTGAGTTCATTTTCAACAGAGTAAGAAACGCAAACAACTACAACACCTACCCCGCCAACCACCTCCCTTTACAGATAAGTTCCTCGTTTACATGCGGAAAGTGTGGCACTAACAAGTGTACGTATTATCAGCTGCAGACGCGCTCTTCCGATGAACCGATGACAACATTTGTTACCTGTATGACATGCAATAATAGATGGAAATTCTGCTAAAAGTTCTGATTTTTTGATAAGTTCCATATTGATGCTCGTAGGTATAGCAGTACTCGTCCTCGTGGAATCAATTTGCTGCTCCAGTTGTTGTGACGATCTATCATAAAGAGTGGTCGGGACGGATAGATGTCATAGTTGTTGATAATATCTTTGATAATTAAGATATTACATGGGTGGTTCTTTTTATGATGATGATAAAACTTACCATCAGAGTTCAGTTGTTGTCAGCACGACACATATTATGTCGAATACTGTAGTCATGAACATCTTTTTCTTCAAGCACAGCGTCGCGCCCCCCCGTCACTCCATTATCATGATGATGCAAGTTTTCATCTTAGTCACCACTCCACCATTCGCAAACGCTATCATGATGCAAGTCGTAAACCTCCATCATTCTTCGCAAACGCAATCTTTGACTCAGCATGAGTCAAGCTCTTCACACAACCAACGCAGGACTTTTGCAGCAGTGAAGTGTGAACTTCTTCGTCATCCGCCATCTCTCCATATACTTTCATTCAGTTATGGGAATGTGTCACATGGAGTCCATGCGAGAGACGGTTCTTCCAATCCCAAGAATCATCTTCCATCCTAAGAGCAGACAGGCAAAGGCAAATTTTGCAATCGGTTTTAGGAACGACGGAGTTCGTAGCTATGAAATGTCTTCGCCTATCTCCCATGTAAATGTTGAATTTGATGCTGGTGTATGAAGTCTACCACGACATGGCTAGATGTGCAGTGAAGATCATGCCTGCATGCCAAGAGCCCAGTGTGTGTGCGTGTGCGAAAATAAAAATTGAAAAGTCAGTGCTCATACGAATTCAGTGCAATCTTGGAGCTTATTAGTTTAAAGAATTGGAGTGAGCTATCGCATCTTCTACTTTGCATGATCATCATCTTCCGCTTCCTTGTGCAACCTCTGCCTTCACAGGGAGGGTGATTGACCTTTTGGTGTGTTGAAAGTATTGATTCAGCTTACGCTATTGCCGTTCTCTAGTCTTCTTGCATGACGAAACGACAGTCGTTATGGTAGTAGGATAAGTGGAAGTGGGTAAACCTTGTTTGATGGCCTCGTGTAGATGATATCATAGCTGTAAGAAAAGAACATGCGCGTGGGGTGCCTCTACTCTTAGAGGACGCTCGAACAGTGCTCTTCGCGCGGCCTGGAAAGAGACTGCCTCATCTGCCAAGAAATTACAAAACGTTAGCAGTAGCGACACATGAGAAACTAATCCCTGGCGACACTTCCTGAAAAGCGACCACGACTCGCCAAGTAGTTCTACTTCGTTCTATCCCGGAAAAAAGAACCACTGTAGATCAATCGTACTAGCAACTACTACAACTTTCCCCGAGTAACTTCACAAACAAAAGCCAGTATATCACTACAACTACTTCTTCCCGAAAATCTTCCAGCACTACACCTTTCCCCAAGATGGGTAACACGCAAGGTGGTCCCGGAAAGGGGGGTGGCAAAGGAGGCGATGGGAAGGATAAGAAGGATGAGAAGAAGAAGAGGTACGAACCACCGCAAAGCTTCGGCAGGAAAGGAAAGAAGAAGAAAGGAGCCAGCGGTACCGAAACTCTCTCAAAAGTTCCGGCCATAGCACCAAATGCAAAATGCAGGCTTAGGCTGCTGAAGCAGGTACAAGAACTACTTATGCTTTATTAGCTGCAAGAGTGCTGAAGCAGGTACAAGAACTACTTATGCTTTATTAGCTGCAAGAGCAGCAAGAGTTACCTAATAAAAATGTGGTTTGAAGAATTTTGATTTGTTTGTATTTCATTCCTGCGCTATAGCGTATTTCTATTTTCATATTCAAATTGTGATTCTGATTTTTTCTTACCCCTCAACCCAGGAGCGACTCAAGGACTACCTCATGATGGAGGAGGAGTATGTAGCCAACCAAGAAGCCTTGAAGCCAAAGGAAGACTCTGCAGAGAATGAGGAGAGGAATAAGCTTGATGAGCTAAGAGGAACACCAATGGATGTTGGAACGTTGGAGGTACTTATGTAGTTTTTTTGATTACTAGAATAGTGGAAATCAAATCTGAATACTTTAGGATACTTGTTGATAGTTACCCTTTTCTCTTTTATGTCTTCCTCTGGTCTGTCTTTTTTCTAGTTAGGTCGGCTCCGCCACAATTACTAGAATGTTGGAAATCAAATCCTAGGACATGAGAAGATCATTACTTCTGGTTAATACTAATTTCGTTTTCCTTTCCCCAAACAGCACAATCTTCTTGCCTTTCCTCTCACCAACGGGACCGTGACCATGACCACCACAACCACAACCACGACTCACAGGAATTCATAGACGAGAATCACGTTATCGTATCAACGGCGACGGGACCGGAGTGGTATGTCAATCTGCTGTCATTCGTAGACACAAACCAGCTGGAACCGGGAAGCACAATCCTGATGCATCATCGGGTACCTCATCCATCTGAAAATTCGAAAAAAAATCTTCATATGAATACATAGAAAAATCTTCAATGAAGAATAACATATAACCACACCAAAATAACAGCAATACTCCGTGATCGGAATTTTAGGAGACGACGTGGACCCATTAGTCAACGTCATGAAAGTGGACAAAGCGCCACTTGAATCTTACGCAGACATCGGCGGTCTTGAAGAGCAGATCATGGAGATGAAGGAGGCGGTACTGTTATTTCTCTTTTTCTCGTCGCAACCATTATAATGAAAACTAACTACTGCAATACAACTTCTCTCTGTACATCAAAGCTACAAAATCATCTGACCTTCAGCTGACCTTCATCTGACCTTCATCTGACCTTCAGCTGATCTTCATCTTCCATCTTGATAAAAAGTAGGCATATCTTCATAGATTCTTGATATTAAAAAGTACTCAATATTACTAGATCCACACTCATCAACTTTGCAACTTGCCAGGTCGAACTCCCCCTAACGCATCCCGAGTTGTACGAGGATGTGGGTATCAAGCCACCTAAAGGCGTCATTTTGTGGGGTCCGCCAGGAACTGGCAAGACCTTGCTCGCGAAGGCAGTAGCGAACGAGACCTCAGCGACGTTTTTGCGAATTGTGGGGTCCGAACTGATCCAGAAGTACTTGGGAGACGGTCCGAAGCTAGTCAGAGAAATGTTCCGCGTTGCCGCGGAGCATGCGCCAAGTATCATCTTCATGGATGAGATCGATGCAGTGGCAACGAAGAGGTACCTTTTTTGTAGATTATTATACTAGTACATAGGATTATAGGAGGCCGGCAAATCGTGATCGTCAAGACTAGTAGGTATTGAAGAATTTTCAATACTGTAACATGTTCTGGAGAAAGAAGACCGCTGTAGTTTGCATAATTACCTCTATTCTCGCTTTGCAGGTACGACACGACAAGTGGCGGTGAAAAGGAAATTCAGCGAACGCTATTGGAATTGTTGAACCAATTAGACGGTTTTGATGATAGAGGAGAAGTCAAGGTACAAAGTTTTACATTCGCCTTTTGATCTTCACGAGTCTGTGTTGTAATTCTTGATCTTCGACTCAATTCTCTTTCCTTTCCATCTTTCCTTTCCATCTTTCCTTTCCATCTTTCCTTTCCATCTTCCTTTCCATCTTTCCTTTCCATCTTTCCTTTCCATCTTTCCTTTCCATCTTCTTGAACTTGAACTAGGTGATCATGGCTACCAACAGAATCGATACCTTGGATCCGGCATTGATTAGGCCTGGACGAATCGATCGAAAGATCGAATTTCCAGCACCAGATGAGAAAACCAAGAGACGCATCTTCTTATGGCTTCTATAATTTCCGATATCAGCACTTGAAAGTCATTTTCTTTGTTAGCTTTAATATCCCTTCGATTTATTTCGTTTCTACTGACTAGGTAGGGTCGTGGACGATACTGAGAAATAGATTTTGATTAAGATTAGGTTCACAAAAAGTTTAACTGAATCTGGTGACACCTTGTCTCCCCACGAGCAACATTGCTTCCCCACCCCTCAAAACCTCTAATCCTCCACATCCACACGAGCAAAATGACTCTCCATGACGACGTGAACATCGAAGAATTCGTGCTGGCGAAGGACGACTTGTCCGGTGCCGACGTTAAGGCCATCTGCATGGAAGCGGGCATGTTGGCACTGCGAGAACGACGAATGAAGATCACACATTAAGCCTCAAAATGATTCACTTCCAATGTTCATTTTCTTTGTTTCCTTCGCGAGATTCCGAAGAAAGGGACGCAAGAAGCGAATTCTTTTGAGCTCTAAGCACAGGCGGATCTCAGGAAAGCGAAGGAGAAGGCTCTGTACAAGAAGAAGGGCAATGTGCCGGATGGAATGTACTTGTAGTCAGAGATGGCGGGAAGATGTACTCGTCGTAGTGAAGTGCGTCTACTTTTTGTGCAGTACCTGCATCATGGCTACGTCAACGTGCTCAGTGCATCACAGCAACTGTACTAGTGAAGACGACGAGCACCCTTCTTCGTCGAGTACCACCTTCTTCGTGTGAAGAAAATGACGACCCCTTTGACTCAATCTAGGCGTTTTTCTACAAAAACGGGGACGGTCCTTTCCCTACCAAAACCCATGAAGCCACTGATTTCCCTGTAACAAAATCAAACTACCCCGATAGGACCTTTTTAGAGCATGACCATTCCCCTACAACTTATTTTTTAAGAATATTTTGTCATTGATGAGAGTGAGAATTAATACGGAATGGCTACTATGCCTGGCGCGGCCCGTGCAATCGGGTACTATAAGAACTACGCAAGAATAGCAACGCACGACTGCAGTAAGTGGCGAAGTGGAATTTCTGAGGTGTTGTACATCTTCTATCTAGACGAAATCTTAGTCGGTTACAATGCAGACGTCTGTGGAAGCGAGAGAGAGAGAACAAAACTGTCTCTAGTAGAAAAACCACCCCGAAAAAGGCAGCAAAAGCGACATTGTTTACAGAACAGCCACTAGTACCTACTTCTAGCCGTAATAGCCATTGCAAAGCGCATGAAAAGAGTATCTTTCCTGAGAAAAATGGCTAAAAAGTTCAAAAAATATGGGGATCCTTTTTCGAAAGCTCTGGTAGAAGGAAACCAATGGTCTAAAAGTGTCAACAAAAATCTAGAGCTTCTATCAACAAAATAATACGCATTGATTTCAAGTTCGACACAAACACTCACCCAAAAGCCCAACATGCCACCTTCACGCGGAACCCCTCCTTCGTCCTCCTCTAAGGGGACGGCGACGATCACTAGAAGTGGGTCTCCTGAACAAGGAGTCAAGAAGGTGAGTCATCCCAGTTCGAAAGTCCCCGTTGTGCATACGGGTATTGTCGAGTCCCGTATGAAGTCTCGGGTGGCGTTTCGGATGTTGGTACAGTTCGGATACAAACCACAGAAGGACGGCATCATTCTAGTCGAACGGTCGACAGCAAACGCAGAATTATTCGATTCTTTGCTGGCACTGGGAATGCATCAGGGTCCAGATGGGGCTATTCGCGTATGCAAGTCGCCTTCGGCACAACTGCTGGGTGGAGGTATAATACTTCTTGTGTCTAGCTGGTAGAGTGCTGAGAGTTTGCTGGAAAAAGAACTTGATCTTCATGGGTTCATTTTCATATGCACAAACTGGTAGCATTCTTTCTACTCCTAGTATCTAATGGATCATTGTTGATATCTCGCCCTTCGTCAGGGTCAAGCCACAAGCACCCCAGCATCGCTTCGGTCGTGGATCCGACCACGTCTGCGCCTAAATATCCCTTTTTGGCTGCTTTGGAGAAGGAAGGAGAACCTGAAGAAGCAGACTTGAGCAAGGAGATAGGAGACAGCAGACTTGCGCAACCTGAAGGAGATAGCAAACTTGAGCAACCTGCTGAAGACATCAAGGACACGAATCTTCGCTCCGCCGCTCGTCAGGCATGCGAGGTTCGTGTGGCTGAGGCGAGGAACAAGCACTTCGACTTGAGTAAAAGAAAGGTGCAGGAAATCTACAACGATAATTTCTTCATCGATGACGGAGTGGCGGGGGATATGAATTTTGTGGATGAATTCTTCTCGGCAAGCGGCGTTGACAGTCATGGAGGACGGCTTGGGGTTTCGGCAAGCGGTGTTGACAGTCATGGACGGCTTGGGGTAGCCAATTTGTGCCAGGAACTAGAACGCAAATTAGAAGCGAGGGAGCAGAAGGAGGCTGCTGCGTGTGGGGGCGGAGGTGGCGGGTTGGGACAGAATTTCAACCTACAAGGAGGTGGAAGTGCAGGAGGTAGAAATTCTTCTATACCAACAGTAGCTTCAACTTCTGAAGGAGGTTCGGCTCCCCGCGGAAAGAGTAGAATATCTTCGAACAATGCAGCAATCAAAGAGAACAAGGAGAACAACAATCCAAATCTTAAGCCTCCTGTTTTGCCGCATCCACCTACAACAACACGAAGTAGAAAAAACACCGATGCTAGTACATTATCGTCTGCTAGAGGGCGTCGTCCGACCTCTGGGAAAGCAGCGTCACAACATAGCGTTGGGGAGCAAGGCTCTTCTGCGGCTTCAGGTTCTGGTGTTGTCACTGGAGGACGTGGATCTACTACTACAGTTATGGGTATAGGAAATGCATCCTCAAAGAAAGTCATCTGAAAGAAGAGGACAAGGGGAAAAAGGCACTAGATCGATGGTCGCAGCTTGAGATGCATTTCCTACACCTCTAATACCGCAACAAGACGAAGTGCCCGTTCCCGGACAGAATCCGGCTCGCGCATGCCGAACGCTTCTCCACCGACACGCAGTATAGCTGGCACACCACGCAGTAGCCCCTCTTGTGCTGCGAGCTCGTTTGAGTACAATGCCGGCCCCGGTGTTCAAATGCATCAGCCAGGTTTCGTATCAGCAACATCTTCCAAGCAGAAATGGTGCAAGTCAACAGCTACTAGTAGTACGCATAATACCAATGCGATGCCAACCGTGATGGCTTCGCCTACGACGGCAGCTAGGTATAGGTTGCAACAATTCGCAAATGAGTATCATGTAGCCTCCAAGGAACAAGTGCTGGGAGGCAATCACCTGGCAAATGATCTTCATGGACCTCTTGCACCGAGCAGTGTCAGTTCTAGTAGTTACACTACTGCAACTTCTGGCTTTGCTCCTTCAGGAGTGGCATCGTCCGTGAATCACGGAGTGAACATGATGAATTCAGGAGTTGGTAATCACCAACCAGGAGGCGTTATCAATGTCAATCCCAGTACTATGGTGAAACGCAAGCCTTCACTCGACACAATGACGCGTATATTTTTTCGCGGAAAACAGAAAAAGCCGAAGGAAGACCCTGATGCAGTAGCGGCAAGAGCAGCTGTGCAGGAAATGTTCGATAGGCTGGCGAAACCTAGAGAAGTGGCATCGAACGACAAGGACAAAACGAGATTGCTGTTATGAAAAACCATTAGATGAACCTTGATGTCGAAGTTGAGACTTGAATGATTGATTTTAGATTAGCCATCATCGATCTTAATGTTGGCTTGAGGCTTGGGCTTTGGGTCGTGGCAAATTTATATTTCAACATCTGTAGCTGTCATGCAATACTGAGACATATTTCTCCACTACGGTAGACTCTCACACATGATTCTCACCTTCAATTCAAATCTAATGGGAGCAGCCAACAGGCGTTACGACTCAGTCGAGGAACAAAATGCGGCTGTCTCTAGACTAATGCGAAAGAAGAACGACTCATCTTCTTCATCAAAAGAACAGCAGGATCATGATGTAGAAGGTCACATAGAAGGCCACAACATAGACGGACTTTCAGCACAACTACATCAGGGACCTTCTTCAGGAACACCACCAGCAGGGGATCAACAGCAGAATCAACGTGGAGATCTTCTACCAAAAAAACCCAGAGTCGGCGCAGCTTACAGGACTAGCATGCTCCCTCCAAAACCGCCTCCGCCCCAAAGGCGTCGTCCGCAAGTGGCGTTTGTCTCCAAGGTTGTGGAGAATAAGAAGCCCGCCGCGAGGTTTGCATGGCTCTTTTCAAAGATCGCTGCGGAAAGCAAAGTTCTGGTACTAAGTTTTGAAGAACCTCGTCCAACTACGTTTGGATCCAGAGAGCTGATATAGCTTGTACGGGTGAAGGTTTCCATGTTACATACTTCTAGAGTGGGTACATTCATTCATTCATAGAGCAGGCATCTTCATGTTTCCTCCTTAGCATCTTCAGGGTGGCTTTCCTAACGGTAGCATCAAGATATCGACGCTTCTTCTATTTCCCTACTCGCCTTCCCAGGTGAATTTCACCAACCTGGAGCCTTCAACTGTTCGTGGCCTAGTGGAGGAAATGCTGTGGACGGGCATGATGATCCGGAGAGAACAGGAGTCCGACACAGTGTCGAAGCAGTTACTCGACCGCTTGCCCAACTTAGCTCAAGTGGCCCTGTGGCTGTATCAAAACGAGCAGATGCTGTCCTCCTGGGTGCTGACCAAGATAGAAACCGAACTGCCGCTATTGTTCCGCACTCTGACAACTTCTGCAGGTTCTGCCTCTTCGAGTTTGGCAAAAACGAGGCAGAACTGCTCGACGTCTCAAGGACAACATCTGCCGGGACCCTCGTCACCCGAACACAACTACATACCTGGTAGGAACGAAGCTGCAGTAAGACTAGCTGAGATCCGGAAAACCAAAGACTTGGACGGCTTGGTCAAAATGGACGACTTGGTCAAAGTGCGAGACTACTTGCTAGGTCTAGCCTCCGCAATGTTAGGGGAGGAAGACGAGGAGGAAGTAGAGGACGAGGTTGGGGTTGATCAAGAAGAGAGAATTCTCGACAATGGAGAACAAGGGCAATCGGAAGAAGAGCAGGTAGCTGTTGCGGAAAATCAAGACTCTTCATGTGCTCCACCACTTCCCGATGACGCACCAGCAATAGTGCTAGGAGAAGAGCCTCCGAGTTCGAAGCCAACCACTAAGAGAGAAGTCAAAAAAGGCGGTCCTACTCCCATCGCTTCTCCTGGTGAAGAGTGGTCGGTCGAAGAAAGTACAACAGAAGAAGGAGGTCACAGTTCTTCTAGTGCTTAAGGCTACCGCTGGAGCAACATCCGGAACGTCATCTTTGGCCCTTTTTTCAAGGGGAAAAAGGGACCAGGGACGCTCTCAGGGATGCGAGCGCGGTAGCTCTAAATTGCTGAAGAGTCTTCGTGTGCCGAATCTTCGTGTGCCATGTCTTCTTCCAGTAGTAGTACAGAGGATTTGCTTGAAGTGGTGACAAAACGGCAACAGCTTGTTGCTAGTGAAGTGGATGATAATGCACATGAAGATAGTCCTCCTCCTGCTCCTGGTCCTCCATTTAGTACTACTAGTGCAGGAGCTCCTGATACTAGCCCTCCTAGTGAGAAGAACAGCAATATTACCAGCCCGCCAATAAAAGGTAATAGTCCTCCTCCTGTTTCATCAAGGGATAGTCCTCCTCCTGTTTCATCAAGGGATAGTCCTCCTCCTGTTCCATCAAGTCGTTCTCATCAGCCGTTTGAAGAAGGATTTCCAGGAAGTCTAGGACCATCTCCAGCTTGTAAAATGCCGTCCGATGACTACGGTTATCAGCGCATGTTATGGCCAGCCGACTCTATAATATGGGAATTCAAAGTTAGATTTAGATCCATAATATGGGAATTCAAAAGCTTCTTGCCCCCCTTTTGTCACAGAAGACAAGGGTAGCAGAGAGAGGTGGCAAGATAGGGGGAGATTGAGGGGAATTCAAAAGCGCCCGACTCTCTAAGCATGACTGAGTGGACGAAGAAACAAACACGAAGTCACTCGCCAAAAGCTCCTCCTCAAGCGCCTCCTCAAGCAGCTCCTCCGATGGCTGCCAAGTCCGCATATTCACCACCGCAAAAGGGGAGAAGGCGTTTCATCATGAAGAAGCCGTCAGGGAGTCCCAGTGCGGAATGTACACTTATTAGTGCTGCTGGAAGGGTAGCACCTCCAGTGAGCAATCTGCATAGCAGCAAGTCACCTCGAAAGTCGAACATGAGCTATTGGTTATTCGACGATAAGGATGGCCAAGGGTAATCCTGGGACCCAAGACTATGGCAGAAGACATTGATGAAATAAACTTCTTCAGTAGCAGCTCGTGCCCTTTCATCAAATTCAATTCCTTTCACTAATTTTCTACTTACTTACATTACTTGCTCCTGACAAAGACAACATTTGATTTCACAATCCACAGTAAAAAAGCTAAGGCTTTTTGACACTAGCTGCACGTGCTCGAAGGCTTCATGTTTTTGCGATTTTTAGATGATTCAAATAAGGTGCACAATAAGAATAAAGTACATCGAGGAAATGAATGTAACAGCAGCAAGGTGGCAGTCCGAGGGCAGCGTCTTCTAAAAAGGACGGACTAGGTTGCTTGTTCGATAATGGTAGATTCAAGATTACGGGGTCAGTGATGTATTCAATAGACGGAGAGGTTCCAGAGATACAACATGCTGACAAAAATGATCACAGACACTCGAGGGGTAGGGGTTGCTAATGCAAGATCATGTGATTCAGTTTTATAGAAGATTTTCTGGAGAGAGAGAGGAAACAAACGCAAGAGTGTACCTCCAAGCCGTTCCTTAGCTTTTGATCTGTACAAGAAAGACCGTGGTTAGATCACCAAGATGAAGTTGTTTTTATCCCTCTACTGCTGCTGTTGGTTTTTTATCCGATCAGTTCGCGGACAAGGACATGCGGCCTACGTCGACACTGACGAGTTCGGCGCTTCCTCTACTCCACCACATGTTGAACCAACTTCTACGGGAGGAACAGCAGGAATTGCCGACGTAGTAGTAGAAGATGTCGCGGATGACCAACCTGTTGGAGGGGCGGGTGGAGATGAATTTTCAACATCCTCTGATGGTGCAGATGGCACAGCTGGCCAAAGGAAAAAGTCTGCCGCTTCTTCCTCCTCCAAGAAACAACAATCGTCTCAACAACAAGGAAAGTCAGATTTTGACTATGCATCGTTTAACTCGTGGTATCGCCTTTTGCAAGGCGTTTTGCATTCGCCCTTGATGCTTTCCGTGACGCTGTTTATGTCCTTCAAATCCCTTGGTCGATTCCGCAACATGCGGATAGCAGGTTGTGTTTTTCAAAACGTCGAAGACGCAAAGGCTTTGGAGCTGGAACTGGGGAAAGAGACGGCCACCATCATGAAGGAGGCACAGATGAGCGAAGTCGACGGGCATATGTATGAGAAGGCGATGAAGACACACATCGAAGTTATGATAAGGGATCCATTCCACAAATCGTCCATCTTCAGTAGCGTCCTTTCTGAAGGGGAAAAAACGTTCCAGGGTGCGTTTCAAGATGAATTTGTGGAAGGTCCTCTAACGAAAACGGCGTGAGACCCTCTGGGCGATTCGGCAACATCACGCACTACAGATTTTGCACCGAACTGGCCAGAAGGAACGACGGCTTGTACATGCTATTTACGGGCTGGTTTTCGCCAGAGAAGGATAGGCTCATCGTGGAAGTGAAATTGCGTATAAATTGTTGTTTTTGCTACTGAATTGAATGTGCTAGGATCTTCCTTGGAGGAAGTTTTGTTGTAAATGTCAGCCTATTGCCTGTCTAAGTAGAACGTCCCTTGCTACAAGAACCTAGATAATGTTGGAAGGTAAATTTTTTGCGAGAACATAAAAATGAATCTTCTGAGAAGAGTTTCCTCCATGTGGTTGTATTTCTGGAACCCATGATGTCGTGACTTTCTTGTTGTCGTCCCTCCTCCACGACCACCTCCACATGATTCGCGCAATATGATGTAGGTCACATCCCCCCACTCACGCCAGCATCTCTCGAACCCTTCTGTACTGCCGCTTTTCGGAAGGGAACCGGTTTTAGAGGCATGCATTCGGATATTAGGGAGTGTAAGCTGAGAAAAGTCCAGGAAGTCCCAGACAACGTCTTGGTGATGTCCGACACCACAGAACACGGCCTGCATCCCTTTATGCAACCAGAGTTGATACCCAAGATTATGGAATGTGGTACCTTACAGTTACACGAGTTTTAGGTAAGATTCAGCAGCCGTCGAAGTCTGCCGCATTGGATGGTAGATCCCAACCTAACCTAACCTAGATTATGGAATTTGGTACTTTACCCGAATTTTGATCAGACTATTAACTTGCTTTTTTGTGTCTTGTTTCCTAGTTAGGCGTGTGTGCTCTATGATGTAAGAAAAACCTCATAGGACAACCCAACTACACCACCTTAGGGAACAAACAAAAATGACCTCTCAGCGGCCTCGTTTAGTCACCTGGTGACCTTCTCTCCACGACCTAGACTAGTGTTCCGGCTCAATGATATACCCTTTTGTTATTAAAGATGTAAAGACTTGGTCTTCTTCGGTTCAAACAAAATTTTTTTAGACCCCAACCTACCAACATGCCAATACCACCCATCAGATCTAGTCGATTGCGTCCATATTTCTTCGCGGTACCAGCGTTACTCTAGGGGATGGTTTTTTCCTTCTGTCTCTGGACCATACGTAGTCATCGTTATCGATGCAACTGACGAGACAGCATGTGGAAAAGCTTTTGTTAAGGCTTCTTGAGAAGATCATGTATAATTACATCTATTTTGTGAGGTTGAGAAGATGTATCTAATCTTTCTATTTTGTCAACAAGTCTATCAATTGAATCTTTTTTTAAGCGTCTGTCTCGGGATTTTTCTTGTAGTTGGTGAAAAGACCAAGGGGGTAACCAAAATGCTGACCAGGATGGATTAATGCGAGCTCTAACTTTGACCAAGTTTTCAGCACGTTCTTGAAACTAGCAGACGTTGCGGCAAAGATCAGACTCCCGGTGATGCTCAAACAGAAGATGGCTATTGAGCAGGCAAAGACGTCGCAAGCTACATCGAGAGTCTCGGATGATTCGAACGCAAGTGGAGGACCAGTTGAGAGGGGAAGAAAGAGTACTTACATTACTGTTGTAATCAAAGAGTAATCAATATAATCTCTTGAGAAGAACAAAAGCAGATGAGTCGTTGCAGGAGGCCCAAACATTAAATTTTTGACTTGACCAATCGCAATCATCAAAGAACCACAAGTACAATTCATAGTGAACAAGACTCAGAACACTAGTACCAATACTCCAAATTCTCTCCCTCACACAAAACCTTCCTCAGACGCCGACCTAGAACGCGCGGCTGCCGAACGTAAGCTCGAGAAGCTGAGGGAGGAGAAAGAGAGAATCGCTCGCTTGCCACCTGAGCAACGTGCCAAACTCGAAGAGAAAGAACGACAAAGGGAAATGAAAAAACGCATGACTGGTGGCAGTAAAATTAAAAGGATGGCTGTTAACTAGTTGCTGTCAACTAGCTTGGTGAAAAACTACACTGTGCTGATGTGTTGATGTGCGCGCAAGTTCTCTAGGACTAAGCATGACACAACTGATGTAAAGGTACCACTACTTACCGCTAATTTAGCTGTGCCCTATTCCGAATTTAGTTTTCAAGAAACAATAAGAGTATAACATGGACTTGGAGACTCTGTTGAGATTTTTTGTCAGCATAGTGTACAACAAGCCTTTTACGTAACGTTAAGGGGAATGCTCTTCTCGAACAACCTACGCAACAATCACTCGACACGCAGATTTTTTCAAAGTGTAGATCTAAGAGGCGATTGAGCCTATCATCTACCGACACAGAATAGCAGACTGGATGTCTGTGGACAGGTGTCCAAGACACTCAAGGATGTGACGTTTGTCTGTAGCTGCGTACGGAGAGATGTTGAAGATCGGTTACTCCGTTTGCTCGAAAAGCACTGAGCATTGAAAACAAAAGGGTGTTTAAGTCTCGCTGAAAACGCCAACCGAGCAACTGTAAAGAGACTGCCAGAGACCAATATTTCAGAATTTAGAGGAGTCGATGAACCCTTATCTTTTATAAGGCTATTATAAGTTATAGCAAAAGCATTTGTACTCCTACTCTCTATTCATCTGAGTTGTTGATCCAACATCAAGAAGATGTTTTCCAGCAATTCCTCTGCTTCCGTTCCGGCATTTTCTGCCTCCACTTTGAGCGCCACATCATCAGCAACATCCTCCTCCGCAATCCGGCTCCGCATTCTCAGTGCCGAAGATTTCCCGGCTTCGCCTGTTCTCTGGTCGACTTCTGTCACGAGGCTGCGCAAACAAGTGACAGCAACAAGCGCAGGTGGATCATCTTCTAGGTCGTCCGAACTCTTTTTGGCGTCGTGGAGTTCTGTGAGGAATGAAATGGGCATTACGATGCCAGAAGAGCTCGTGAATGTCACTTCCGACTCTCTAAGGTTCGACATCATGCCCCAATATCCTCCTACGACAGCATTCGCGCCGGGGACTGTGTACTTTTTACTTCTGTTGATGTGTAGTTTATTTTTGACTTCTTCTTGTTCTAGAATCTTGTTGTCAAAAGAGCCGTGTCAAGATGTATAGTCAACAATTTCAGTCTACTCATCCAGTACTACTCATCAACCACGAGTACAGATAACCTCTACAACATATAGCAGGGGGTGCTGGAAATTAGCGCATGCGCACCCGTAGACAATAAGTTTACTGGGTATATCATTATCAAGAACTAAAAGTTCTTAAACACCAACCTCTTGTCAGGCATATCAATCAATCAATCACTTGCTTCAGTCTTGGTTACCACGTGGTGATGCCTCTATCTTGCGCAGCACTTGACCGTTTTTCGTGTTGGTGTGGCACTACGGCTGTGTATCCGAGACAACAGTACCCCAATGTGGAACAAGCGTTTTATTTCCAGAACTCTTGCTCTCTTGGCCAGAAAGTGAGGCAGAACAACACGCCTTGTTTTCGGGTAGAACTGCAAAGAGTGACTACGAGGAATTCGAGGCCCGCAGGTGGAGGAATCGGCGCCGGATTTGGCACCGCTCTCTCACCTGGCGGAACCAGTAATCGAAGTGCTCAAGGACAAGGCAAACCTAGTAAGCACACTCCAGTCCTAAGCACTCCCGAGCAGAGGTTACAAGGAATGATAGCCTATGCGAGATTACTGCATCTGAATAAAGTGATGCCTGATAAATTAGCATTGATCGCAGAACCGAAAGCTGGAGAAGATGGATGAATACTTCAGAGCAGGTCGATTTTGCGAAAGCTGTAGTTGGACTACAACTGCACTACAACAGCATGTAGTCTGTTTCAGAATTAGCGAAAATCACAATTATCCTCCCTGCAAGCATGTGCATGTTGTGATTGCATGCTTGCGGAGATAGAAAATGAACAGCGCTGGTATTCTCCAGATCTAGTCCATAAACAGGTAAGCTTACTCGGTGAAGCAATTACGTTTCGGTTGAGATCCTGGTCGGTTGAGATTCTGGTTGGTCAGTCTCAGTCTGGCACGTATCAGCGATCCATGTGGTTGTCATGAAGCTATCATTTTCTGCTGTCGGTGTCACCGGTGAATCATCGGCTGACTCGGTGAGTCATCGGCTGGATAATCGGTCAATATAAATGAAAGAAAAAGACCGAAATTGAAAGCCTCCCAAAGCGAATTCAGTCTTGCCGCCCAAAGTGAATGCACGCTCGTCCTCCGTCCTTCGCGTCTTCGACTATCCAAACTGCCTACTTCAGTTGTTCTGCATTGATAGAAGACACGTGGTTATGAATCCTTTATAATATAAGTTTATATATGAGACTGCAGACAGTACGCGGCATAAAATAAGACTTGACTCCTGTTGGTTCAGTTGTTGATGCTCTAATATTTTATATCAAGGTGCACAACTACAACAAATGAGTGCTCCTCCTCCTCCTTCCGCAGACGAAAGCCCGGGTGCAATTCGTCGGAGTGTGGACAATTTGTTGTTCTTTATGAAAACGGCAATAACTGGCGATCATGATGACAACGCCGTGAACACTAGGGATGGGGATCATACACCACCACCACCCAACCGCGTTTCTAGAGCTGAGCGACGTGCATCAGCAAGGAGAGGACTTGATGGAGTTAGTGGTAATGTTGCTGGTCGGGAACGGGAGAAACAGAAAGAGAAAAAAGGAGAGGTGGAAGTAGCATCTTCCAATTCTAAACAAGTCGGCACTTCTAGGAGAAAAGATGATGATCAGAAATTTTTACCCGGTGTGCTGGACGAGAAGCAAGGCGGTGACGCTTCTCCTTCCGCGAAGGCGGACAAAAAAGCAACGGAAAGAGAGAAAAAACCTCCTGAAAAGCGAAGTAGTAAAGAAGAAACGAAATCCAAATCCTCTGGAAGAAATTCGACGACTCGGTCGGCTATGCGCAATGTCAACACCTCTGTGTCTCCACGCAGACCGCCTTCGTCGATTGGGAAACCTTCTAAGAAGAGATCTTCTAGAAGAAGAAATAGCACTACTTCTTCTAGCAACTCATCCTCTCCATCCTCTTCATCCTCTTCGGATAGTTCCAGTAGTCCGTCTTCACCGTCAAACTCTTCTGAGGAGTTTTCCTCTAAAGAGAGAATATTACAGGACCGAAAGTCGATGTCTAGAGCTACTTCAACCAGTTCGGCTTCTCTGCGTAAGAAAGATGCACCTAGAACTACTAGAACATCTTCAACAACATCCAAGCTTAATAAGATCAAAGAGCCATTTGGGAAGAAGAGGCGCAGCAGTTCCTCTTCCTCGTCATTTAAGGCTCAATATATTTCATTTCCACGACTTATTTCTCGCAGTTTCCCGCTTGAAATTCTGAAGAAATGTCTTCAGGGAAGAAATGAAAAAATGTTTTGAGCTCTAATTCATCCTCTTCCTCTTCTAGCTCTTCGAATAGAAGTAGTGCCTCGTCCTCTTCCTCGAGTTCAAGTAGTAACTCATCTTCCTCCTCTGATTCTTCTTCTGATTCCTCTTCCAGCAGTGATGATTCTCACAAACGGAAGAAAAGAAATAGAACCCCCAACAGCAAGCAATATGCCACCGCGGCAAAAAAGAAGTTAATAAGGCTAAGGCTTCCCCTAATCCATCTCCAGAAGCAGAGCATGCATCTTGAAGCTGTTACATTCATAAGGAGAAAAAAGCATTTCAAGATGGATGCATTTCAAGATGGATCAGGGTGAACGCTAAAGCGCGCTGCACGACGACAAACTAGTATTGATGAAGAAGAACAGAGAGTTACGGAACAAATACCTAGTATGCACGAGGATGATTGGTTACACGAAGCAAGAAGAGAGGATGAAGAAACAATGCAACAGCTGCAGCACCAAAACGTACAAGAAGAGGAAGAAAGGGAACAAGAAGTAGATTCTGATGCAGATGGAGATGAAGAACGCAGTACGAAAAACCCTAGCGGTGCTACTAGTCTTGGCGGCCTAATTATTCGGGAATCTATGCACCACGATGACGATGGAGAAGTATCTCTGCCGTCCGACGGGGATATGAAAAAACAGAAGTCATATGTGGAGGTAGCGGGACTAGAAATAAAGTCTGGAGAAGTGCCTCTAGATGACGTGAAGAGTGCTTCTTCTGCTAGTGGTCATGGATACTCCGCGATAGAGGAGCAAGCACAAAAACGGCTGCTGCGTAATAGGCGGTCGGCTGCAGGAGAGGAGTCTAGCTCTTCAAGTTCTGGAAAAATAAAGGTAGGTGAAAAGAGCACCAAGAATGAAAAAAATGTTGTGGCTGCAGATGCAGGAGACGAGAAGACAGAAGAGGACGATGGTTCTGCTGGTGGTGACCAGCCCGTCCGGGATGTGGTGGGCAACACTGAAATACCAGCGGTAGAAGCGGTAGGCAAAACGGAAATACCGCCTGCAAAAGACAGTACTACAGAGGACGCTGCAGGTAAGGCTGGCTCAACAGCAAAGACTACGACAGAAGAGCGCAAGAAGGTCAAGAAGCCAAATGCAGCTGCTGTTGCTGAAATTGGTGAGCATGTCGAGGGCTTGACAAATGACGTCGAAAGCCTGTTGGCTCAACTAAGGCGAGCGAGGGCGAAAAAACCCAAAGCTTCTGGAGGTGGCGATGAAGATACAGAGGAAGAAGAGGGTAGTGAAGATGACGCCGAACAGCAAGATGCTGATTCCAAGAATGCAGGAGATGAGGACAATACTACTAAAAACGTGGAGGTTGTAGGTAAGAAAGACGATGTAGTCCCTGATGCTGAAGAGAATAATCGTTCTCGTGCTAAGGAGGTAGAAGGAGAGGCTCTTCATGAGGGACATGATCAAGGACAAGATTCTGAGGATCATCCGACCGACTTCGAAGATGAACAGAACGAACAAAATCCTAAGTCAGATGAAGATGAAGCTGAATCTGATATTAAGCAAGGTGAAGCAGAAGCACCAGCCCAAAGAAGCATTAGAGAAGCTGCTGCAAGCGAGTCTTCGGATGATGAAGAGGAAAAAGGGGAAAAGATAGATTCACATGTCGAGGATGACGAGTTAGACCACCATCATGAGGTGTATTCGGAGAAAGAAGGCGAGTCTGAAGAAGAGGACGTAGAAAAGGCTGAGAGGTCCTCTGATGCTCGTGAAGGGCCCTCTGATGCTCATCCTCATGAGGCTCCTAGTTCCCAAAGTGATGAACCTGCTGCTAGACCCGAGGAGAAGGACGAGATTCATGATGATAGCCAGCAAGAAGAAGACAGGTCTCAGGAGGATCATGAGGAACCTAGAAGTTCTCATGAAGAGGAAGGCGCTGCTTCTCCTAATCAAGAAGATGATGGAGTAGATGCACCTCAAGCTGCTTCGGCCTCCGACAAAGATGCGGCAACATCCGACAAAGATCATGACCCATCTTCAGAAAGAAATGCTTCTTCTGTTGCATCCGAACAAGAATACGTGGAGAAGCCTCGTCGCACTTCCTTTGACCGTGGTGAGCGCCCTCGGCGCAACTCCTTTGACGATCGGCCACCTGAACAAGGTTCCTCCACTAGTACAACAGAACGAAGTAGAGGAGAACGCGAACCCCGCAGTGTTTTCAAGGACAAGAAGCCAGCAGCTGGATATGGGAATTTCCTCGATGTAGCGCGGAACGCCGATCAACACCGTGCGGAACGACAGCGCGAAGTCATGCTGGCTGATTTGGAGAGATTAGAACTGGAGACGCATGCAAGGGCCGCGATAGGACAAGGATTGCAAAACTGGTCTCCTATGAAACTGCTAAGACATGGAAATGGGCTGTTTGCAGGCAGTTTTAGGGGTGGTGGTGGAGCCGCAAGCAATGCTCTCCCAGACCCGCTAGATGGTGGCACTCTCTCGGATTTTCTATCCGATGACGGTGAAAATTTTGTTCTCAAGAGCAGACAGGACAAAAATTTTACGTATAGTGGACGTTTTAATACTCCTGAAGTAGTAGGTGATCGCGGTACAACTAGTCTAGAAGATGCTACAACCATTTCTCGTAGTATCGACAAGTTTCGTGCTGGAGGTGGTCGTGTACCACAGGACGAAGGTGAAGAAGGAACCGCTATCCCGAAGATTCAGAGCGATTGGAGCCGTTTGATGGGCAAAGAGTTAAAAGACGAATTGCGGGAATGGGGCAGCTTCAAAAGACGGAGAAGCAAAGATCTCGACGAGTTTTTTCACCATGACGGAACGCATGGAGGTCGTAGTGCTGATCCTTTTGTAGACCTGTCTAATGCGCGTCCCGGCGGTGCTGGAGCAGCAGCAACGCAGATGGAGGCTGAGATGAGAGCGTTGCGAGAAAGGATTCAGAATCTGAGACATCAAGCAGCAGATGCGAATACTCGCACATCACTCTCTGGTGACAAGAACTACAATGGAGGAGGTCTTCGTGGAGGTGGAGGTGTATCTAGTAGAAGTAGCTCTCAACAGTTCGTGGAGGATCAACGAATTCTCGAAAAGGAACAGCAAATCCAAGAGCAACAACGCCAGATTCTATTGCAGCAACAGCAGTTAGAGGCACAGCGCAGGGAGATGGAAGAACAGATGCGACGGATGCAAAGGAGTGAAACTTCGATGGGGTCATCTTCTGGTTACGATTTTGGATCTCTAGGCGCTTTTTCCTCTCCTGCTGCTAATCAACAGCAGCAACAAATCACAGATCAGAACACTAGTAGAACTTCCTCTTTGATGAACCAGGTAGAGAATCGCGTGAATGAGACGAATATTACCAACGTGACCAACGTGGTTAAAACAGTCACAAAAACAGAAAAGGAGAAGAACAAACGTGGCACTAGGGAGGATGGGAATTTTCAGGATGATAGACAATTGAGGCAATACTTTGGAGGTGGTGCTGCTGTTCCATCTGGCCTTGCTCCTAGTGCTGGCTTTGGTGATGATTCCAGTCCAGGAAGCGGCGTTGGCGATGCTAAACAAGGAAGTATGAGTACTTCCAACATGAACTATCAACAAGGAGGCCAACAACCCCTACTAGATTCCTTAAGAGGCGATCCTCTTTCCGATTCTGGTGAACTAGGTGGACAATATCGAAGTACAGGCGGTTTCCAACCAGAAAGTCGTAGTCTGACTAGTACATCACAGCAAGGATTTCAATCTGGAAATTCTGGTTCATCTCTTCGGTCTGGCAGTTCCTATGAACCGCAGCTCCCCTCACGACAAGGGACAGGCCACCCTCAATTCACGTCATTGTCCACAGCTTCCATCCCGCGTTCTGCTGCACTGGCGGCTCTGGAACTGGAGGAGGGCGAGCCGTCTAGTTTTTTACCGACTGCTAGTTTACCACCAGGTCAAAAAGCGACAGGGGGGTTGTTGGATAGTACAACTATGGAATCAGCAGGGTCAGCTTCTACCTCTGGGACTCGAATGCAACAGCAGGTGGAGCAGCAAGCCCAACAACGACAACATCAACAATCTGAGCAGCTGGCTCCATCACAGCAGAATCTGCAGACTGAACTTCATCATGAATCTGGTTCATATCTTCGGTCTGGCAGTTCTTATGAACCGCAGACTCAACTTCAACAGAACCAAAAACAATTGCAGACAAATCTTCAACAGCAGACTCAATTTCAAGAACAGATGGATCTGTCTGGTCAGCAGGATCGGATAGAGCAGTTTGGTCAGCAGCAAGTGGGTCAATTTGGTCAGCAACAGACGAGGCACTTGGAGCAGCAGCATCAGCAAGTGGGTCAATTTGGTCAGCAGCAGCAGCATCAGCAAGTGGATCAATTTGGTCAGCAACAGACGAGGCACTTGATGCAGCAGCAGCATCAGCAAGTGGATCAATTTGGTCAGCAACAGACGAGGCACTTGGAGCAGACGGCGCAGCGAAGTCCGTTTGGACACGAGCAGCAAGTGGGTCAATTTGGTCAGCAGCAGCAGCAGCGGGTGGGTCCGTTTGCACAGCAGCAGTGGGTGGGTCCGGTTGTTCAGCAGCAGCAGCAGACGGGACCGTTCGGAACCATTCCAGCACCAGTGGCGTCACAAAGCCCTCTTGTTATGCATAACAAGAGGCTCGTTGTTAGACGTCCCGAAGGGGAGCAGTCACCAATGGCAACGCAAAATAGGACGCAAGTCGATAACTACATTAAAACAACCGAACAGAGGACGCATAACATTGTAGAAGACAGCACAAATACTACGAGAAGTTGTACTTCGAAAAATCTTCGTCATAATCGTGATGTTGATCATCTGATTAATCAAGTAGAACACCAGCAAGCACAAATGGGACAGCGATCTCAGGTTGGAGGAAGAAAGGAAGAGTCTTCTCTTCAGATTGGTCAACATCCAGGTCCCGCACATCACACTAGTCAGCGAGCAAATCCCTCCTCCAACATGCAAAGCGGTAGAGAGGCAGATTCTTTGCTCGCAGCTCTTCAAGGCGTTTTCGATGCGAGGTCGACTGCAGGATCCAGTGAAGATGTTCGTGACTCAATTGGCCTGAGGGAGAGCCGGGAAACTCGGATGCGATCAGAGCTACAAGCCGTGCTGCGCCGCATGGCAAGCACTGGTGAAAGTCTTGCCTCAGCTTTGTCGGAGGTAGAACATGAAAGAGTCGCTTCTTTCCTTGAACAGCTGGATCAGCGACATGTAGGAGGTCTTTCCACGGAGGAAGATGATCTTCATCGCGGCTCTCGGGTGACAAGTAAAGTACACGAAGAAAATGTAGAAGATCATGCAGGACTTCTGAATAGTACCTCGTCTCCAGTCCCACGCAAACCAAAAGCTAAGAGTTCTGCTGGGCTTTTTGGGCAAGGCCTCCTGCCTTCCTCACAGGGACGTCCGTCTTCTCTGTCTAGGCGTGCCGGATCCTTGGATGACGATCTTGAACGGCATACTGTGCAAAGTGTGCAAAGCCTTCCTCGAGGACAGGAAAGGGAACAAGGAGTTACAGAGCAGCAATACCGACAGGCATCTCCCTATCGAACTCGTTCTAGTCGTGGTGCTTCAACAGGAGCTGTACAAATTGCGGATACAACTGCAGCTTCAAACAGTAGAGCAAATAGTAGTTGTACCCAGCAGCACGGCGATAGAGAAGTGGGCGTAGGTACTGATCACGAAGAAGAGGATCATGGGGGCTATCACGATAATTATGTTGAGCAACCAGAGGTTCCACGACCATATTCTACAGCTTCTCCCTTGTCGTCTAAAAGCAAATACAGAGGGACAAGTAGCCGCAGCCCCTCAGCATCCGGGAAACAAGAGGTGGTCACTTCGAAAAACGGCAGATTAGTGCAAACAATTGCGGATGCTTTGCGGGTCATCGCAATCGAACTAGAACAGCACGAGACGCAACCGACAGCACCTGGTTCTCCAATTATCAATATCGACGTCCACAACTCACACCTCATGCCTCTGTCGGGATGGGGAGAGCAGTTTGCTGGTAAAGATCCTGGCACGGTCCCTGAAGTTCCAAATTCCGATGCATTGATTATTGTACCAGAAAAGGCTGAAGAGGAAAGGGTTACACTAATCACACAAGAACAAATTATACCAAATTATGGTCAGCTTTTTTCCATCTTTCGTGGCATCTTGATCCCCTTTTGCCTCGTGTTCTCGCGAAATACAAGGGGATAGGGGTCAAGATGGGGGGACGGAGATGGAGTAAAGCTGACTCTAACCAAAGTCTCAACAAGCTGCTCCTTCAGTTCTCGTTCCAGCTTCTGACTCTGATATAGATCAAGTATGGGGTCGTGGAGGAGAGTTTTTTCGAATACCAAAGGATGAAAGAGAACGACGAGAGGCTGAGAGTCCCGATCGCTACTTTTTTGGACAAGAGGGGAAGATGGGCTATGGAGGTACTGGTGGTGGTGCTAATCTTATGGAAGGGTACTAAGTAGCTAGTAGAATTAATCTTTACATTGAGCTTGCTAGCAACTAAGGCTTTTTGTAAATGGGTGGTAAATGTAGATGTTGTAGAAAGTAGTCAGCTACTCGCAGTCGTACTCCATCTTCTAACGTACCCAGCAAACACGATTTACAGAAAGCGAAGCCACTGGCAAAGAAACCAGTACTCTCTTCTGCAACTCGAGAACCGCGAAAAAATTTTCGAGGACTTGCAGCAACATCTACTACAACAAATGGAAATGCAAGAAAGCCAAAGCCAAAGCCAAAAGCAACTACGGTTGGAGGAGTAAAAAAATCTGAACCAGTGCTCCAAACAACCTCTACCCTTGCAGAAGGCGAGTTGGCACCTTCTCAAGTTGTTGTTGATGAGGCTGGAGAGGACTCAGCACCTTCAGAAATACGTCCTGAGGAAGGTGCTAGTGCCAGTACAGCAATAGAGGATATTAAGAAAGCTCCCTTCTTGGAATCTAAGGAAGAGAATGTCTCCGCTAAGGCCGTCGTGGTAGAAGATCCTAAGACCACTGGCGAGGGAGAGATGACAACTACTGCTTCTGTTGTAGCAGACGTGGTCAAGACAGATACAACCAAACCGGGCCCGAAGCGTCCTTCTCGTCAGAGGAGTGTCCGTGTCCTATCCGCAGAAGAGATGCTTGAGGCTGAGCAGAAGAGGAAAGAGGCACAGACTGCAAGAAATCAACGACGTTGACGAGGTAACTGTAACTCATGATTTATGACTGGTTGTAGCTTCCGCAGTGGTCGTTACAAACATCATAACGACTATTGTTGTGCTCAATGGTCAATGGGTCAATGGTCAACATGATTGATGTTGTGGTCAAAAACACCTTCTTCCTGCAACTTGCAGTACCACTTCTGGTCTTTGAATCTTTTGCTTGAGGTGATGTAAAGTTGTATAATGATATTGCTGTGCACGATGAAATCGCGCATTTGCAAAATCTGCATTAAGAGTGCTATCGTGCCACGAGTTCCTGCCACCTGCTGTATCAAAAGTCCTGCCAGCTGAAATAACAAACTTGCGTACTTTCCCCGCATGAGAAGGAGTGGTCGGGTTTGTTCCCCCTCACAAGAGATGCACAATACTAAGTAGTATTGCTTCTGTTTATCTTCCCAAAATGATCTCACTCTTCATTACATATCTTAGGGGACGACGATGGCGTCCTCGGCGTTTACTTAGTTTTAGCAGAAAGTGATATGCTTTGATAGCCAACCTCTATTCTCTACGTTTTTTTCGTTGATCTTTCTTTTTTTTAGTGAAGTGTGCCTCACACAAATTCGAACTTCTTCTAAAAAGTATATATAAGTATAATTGATTTTCATCGAAGTCATCAAAATTGTCACCTCAAGACTCCCAAATTCATACATTGTCAGCCTCAAAATTGTCACCTCAAGATTCTCAAATTCATACATGGTCAGCCTCTTCTTCCTGTTGAGAATATACAAGAATAGGAAGAAGAGGCTGACAATGTATGAATTTGCTACAACAAACAAGAATCAAGAATGAGGTCCTCAACATTTCGCTTTCTCGTCGTCGTTTTGGGCTTGAAGAACGAGGCGCATGGGCTAAAAGCAAAATTTGGAGCAGGTGACGATATTCCAGATGCTTCAGATTTGCTAGAAGATGGAGATTCCTCGAGGCCATCATGTCACGCTTGTCGAGATTAGCATACTGATGAAGTAGAACATGATCTTCAACAAGGCCATCAGATCGGCGATCAGCATCAGATGGATCATCATATAGGAAATCACAAGGACGTGGAGGACCTGCAGCTACCAGGCGACCTTGGTTCATATAATCCTATTCATCCTCATCTCTGAATGCAATTGAGAAAGTACGAGCGTGCCCAAATATGGACAAACCTTATCGTGTGCAGGGCCGGCCTTTGAGTCAAGTGATAAAATAGCCACAACCTTCCCGGGATAGATTTCGAAGCATTTAGTGTTCTCCTTATAGCAGAGATGACGGGACTCCTTCACTTTGGTTCATATATTCCGACTCATCCTCCGAATATGCCGGACGAACGTATTTGGGAGTGCCCTGAATGCAACTTTTTTACGAATGAGAACCATTCCGAACACAGACACGTAATGTGCTTCTGCTGTACCCGAAAATGGACTACGAATGCTGACCTCCCGGAATGCAGGGGTGACGACAGGCCTGACGGCTTTTGTGGTCACGACAATAAAGCGTGCGAGAAGCTAAGTAATCACATCCAACAGCTAGCGGTCACCGAAAACCCAGATGGCTCTTTTTTGACTGGTATCAAGTTCCTGCAACCGAAAAAAACTTGGTCTGAAAGTCTCGAATCATGCCAAAAAACTTTGTCGGAGAATCTCAGATCATGCTTAGAGTTTCTGCGTTCAACAGCACACTGGTTGGACGCTACTCTACTTTCCTTTCCCATTTAGCCTAGCTACCTTAAAATCGCCACGTGTTGCTGTACTAGTAATAACGACGCTTTGCTGTACTAGTAATAACGACACTTCGCTGTACTAGTAATCACGACGCTTTGCTGTGCTAGTAATCACGACGCTTTGCTGCACTAGTAATCATGACGCTATTATTTTGCTGTACTATGTAAATGTATAAAAATTGTGAATTATTTCTTTTGTAAACCAGGATACGCGTACCAGAAGAAGCTGCGCGATCTTCTATCGTGAACTGAATTTCAGCATTATATCTTATCTATTCTATCGCAATGCCTCAATATTGACTGAAACACCTCATCTCCATTAGACCACGTGAAATAAGAGGGCGCATGCCATGACATGACAATATAGACAATATTTATAAGGAGAACGAAGGTGTAATATGCCCTAACCTTTCAGAAGCGGCGAGTCCGGGTTCGGGTTTCATGGCTGTTGTGGTGGTGTTCCCTTTTTTCCCCAAGACCAATCATGAGAGAGACAACAGCGACGTAAGCACATTTTCACCCTTAACTAAACTAACAAAATAAGCACGATATTCTCGTAGTGATGATGATGATGATGATGATGATCATCATCGCCATTGATCATAGCGTGATGATTATACAGTCTTCGGGATGATGATGATCAAACATGCCACTCGTGGCGTAGAATGGAGACAAGTCGGGAGTGGGATAAGGATAAAACACGCCACTAATAACAAAAAAATGTAGGTACTTCTACAGTCCTTGAATTTCGTTCCTACTCATCGAATCAAACGAAAAAGACACAAGAACATACTGTTGAAGAGGATGTCAGTAACAACTGTCTCGGTCCTATAGATGTATTCTAGACTGAGCAGATAGGAGCTCATGTTGAATTCGTCTTCCTCTTCGTACTAGATTGAGTCGTCACCTCACTGTATTGTATCGCGTTTTACGTATTTCTAGGTTCGGATCTATATTTGAGGATGTTGACCAGAAAGTTCTGAAGTGGATTCAGATGCGCAGTCAGAACCAGGTCGAAGACTACAATGATTTGAAGCAGGAGGTCTCTTCCTATTCTCCTTGGTTGTACTTGGGAACCTACATTCTTCTATGTCATAATGAGACTGAGACTCACTACCTCATACTATTGAGTGAGAACAAAGTGACATTGCCACAAAGAAATGAGTGGAGCCTTCTTGCATTGTAGTGGTAGAAGGTTCAGAGTTTCAGTTTGTACCAGGACTTTGGCAGGTTAGCAGGATTCTTCTTAGACAACTTAGTAGTAATTTAAATTTACTGCAACTAGACCACATTAAAATCAATGTAGTTGTAGGGACAAACACATGAAGATGACGATTACTACACCTTCTTAGTAAAGAAAACACATGACTCCCTTTACCACAATATTACGTCAACAAAAATGTTCAACATGATGGCCGCCAACAACATGAACATGCAACATTTTTCTGCGCATCTGTCTGCAGGTCAGCAGGCCTTCAAAGCCGCTATTATTCGCGAGGCTTCGGTGTCGGGAGGTCATGATTATGTTGTATCTTTCATCTTGCGCCTTGTCCTTGAATTTTATAACATTCGACCAAAATGTAACTTTCGACGGGTCAAAAGGTGCAGGGTTCGAGTCTATATGTATTTAACAGCAACAAGAATATGGAGGTGCTTTACTTGGCTTACCTAGCAGAAGAAGCTCTGGTGCTTCACAACATGGCTTACTTACTAGAAGAAATAACTGAAACTTTTTTAAGCGTATTTAGATAGAGTATAAGTCGCTTCAGTGGATTCATTGCAAGCAAGCTATTTTGGTTGTGTTAAACGAGCGGCTCTTAGGCTAGATGAAAGTAGAAGGATCTTCACCGACCACATGAAGAACTACACAACTGTTCTTGATTACAACTTCAGTAGCCGTCGAAGTCTGCCACATCGGATGGTAGATCCCAACCTAACCTAACCTAAGCCACAACTGTTACATGTTGATTACAACTAAGCATAGCCATAAGCTACATTCTAAATCGGTTTCACAGTGGGCAACGCTGGTTTGCTGCCAGAGCGACCGAGGGATAATTCAACGAAGCCGTTAACAGGTTGGATCTCGCGGAATGTTCCGGAGGTTCGGGTGCAGGGGGGGCGAATTGAACTGAGTCCCTACTTTTTTTAAGGCTCCTCCTTCTAAGATAAAAAAGACGAGTTCTTAGGCACATACCTCTTGTTAGGCACATTCATTCATTCATTCATTCATTCGTGGTAACCTTTTTTCCCCAAGACCAATCATGAGAGAGACAACAGCGACGTAAGCATGTGTGGTATGATTCAATTGTTCAGCTATGATGTGATTTTTATTTTGAGGGGAAAAAGGAAGTAAGTTCAATTTGTTCAACCACAGAAATGTGATTTTTATTTTGAGGGGAAAAAGGAAGTAATTTCAATTTGTTCCACCACAGAAATTTTAGGTCGTAAAGAGATAAGTAGTAAAAGGATCGGTTGAAGAAGAAAGGGAGACACAACTTTAAGTCCAGCAACGTGGCGATGTGGTGAAAATTCAGAATCACCAAAATCTGAATCAGGGTGATGGGCCAATATTTGGAGAGGTACGAAAGACGGGGCTGGGACTTGGTGGAGACGTTGAGGTCTTGCAAGATGACGTTATGACTTGGATTCTAGCGTCGACACGGCTAAAAAATTCACCAGATCACGACCGTTAAAGAAGATTACGTAGTTGTGCCACTAGTTGAGCAGACTCCTGGTAGATAACATTGTGTAGTCTACTCCTAGTAGTCGTAAGCAGATTGTTAAACTTACAGAAGGTTACGTAAAAATCTAATGAGGGAGTGCTGCGCAATTACCATTCTGTACTTCTGAAAAAAGAGGCGCGACCACCACTGCGCTTCAAAATCGGGACGACGGTGCAGGTCAAAATTCCCGATACCAATGAAGAATGGGCAACTGGCAAAGTCACTTCAAGCCGCCGCTTTAGTTAAGCCACGAGATGAACTGGATGTTTGTATCTATAGATGTAGGGCATGCGTCCAGCGACGTGTTATAGACTAAGTCAAAGTCAAAGACTATGACTAGCATCAATTGATTAAGTATCCTGATCATGAACATGATTACCCACAGGCTTTCTTTGTCTTTCATCGCTGGTACTATCTAGGGTATAATATACATAGGACCACCCACGGTTACTAGGGTCAACAAGTCTTCTTCTCGCGATCGCCTTGCAGTCAACATTTCTGCACCTAGTACCAGTTCTAAGCAAAGGGAGACGATGATCGCATGCATAGTTACAGCGTTCGGCTAGAACGATCTTTTAGGAAACAGGACGCTCCGTCACACCATGGGAGACGTGGTGCAGAGCCTACATATGTGACAGGAGTTGAGGTCTATCGTGACGATGATACGGAGATCGTGAAACACGTGGTGTTGGAGACGGGAAGTGTGATTCGTTTCGCCTCACAGGAACTAGCCGAAATTATATCTGTGACAAAACAGAATTGGGGGACTCACATGAACATCCTCTTCGACATCCAGTTTGACAATGGACGATATTTGGAGAATTTCAGATACCAAGAAGGCGAAGCTAGAATGCCAACAGCAGCAGTGCGACCACCATTGCTTCATGGAATAGGCAAAATTAAGAGTTTTGATGACTAATGAATATGATCCTCATCCTTTTTTGAGTATTTTCATATCTTTTATTTTAGATACTAAGGGTATGGCTCGACCAATACTGATATGAGTTGGCTGCTTCTACTTATAAAGATCTTTCTTCTAGTTAGGAGGTCTGCTCCACCACAACAAATATGATTGAAAAAGTCCTTTCTCTTTCATCCGGTTGCAAGCAATAAATCTCGATGCTTCTGGTGCTTTTGAATTTGTATCTAAGTAAAGGCTCCTCTATCAAAGAAGTGAGTGCTTGCTTAACTCTACTAATAAACCGGTGAAGATGCTGGCTGGAAAAACGCCAGGATATGACGGTACCAGAGACGCACTAGGACGCATCGATGCACACTATGCGCGAAACTCTCAGGAGCTGCAATCTTCAAGAGGACTTGGAAGGATCTACGAGTATCTTGTTACTTCGCTGCACGACGATAAGAAGTATTACATCGGCACAGACGATCTGAGCAAACTTCCTGCATGGATAAAGCCATTTAACCGTAGTCGGCAGATTGGCGATACTATCTCCTTCAATGATCCGTATGATTATGGCTAGGTGGAGGTAGCAAGTAGGTTATTACTCGTGCGTTGTTTCTAATTCTAACCTCGTGATTTTTTACTTTGTGACTTTCTTAGTGAGGCTTAGGTTGACATTGACTCCATCATTATTATGGCTAGGTATCACGACCGTGGCCGTGCATCCGCCCTCTCCTCTTGAGACTTACTCGATAGACGGCCTTTCTGTCTTTTTCCATCTCTCTCTGGCATTCACCTTTTCGAGTTGGGTCTGCTCTTCTAGTTATAAATTCTTATCGTGATCTGCTTCTATGTATCCTTGGTCCATCTTTAAATCTTTAATCCTCTTCGTCAAAGCGGCTGTTCGGGACAGTGAGGAACATGGTGGAGAGGGATGATTCGCAGCTCCTCGGACACAAGCGACAAAAATACACGGTAGTTAAGGCCAATTACAACGTACTAGCTGCCTACGTACATATGCCTTAAGTAATGCGTGTACTGTTAACTTGTACTAGCTACGTACACACTAAGGCCTATTACTGTTAACTTCGTACCTAGCCTACACTTGTTAACTTCGTACCTAGCCTACACTTGTTAACTTCGTACTACACTTGTTAACTTCGTACCTAGCCTACACTTGTTAACTTCGTGTTACGCACCGCTAGCGGGGGCAGTAAACTTGTTCAAGAACTCTTCATTGCAATTCGTTGCGCCTTAGGTGGTGGTGGTGGTTGTGTGTGATCACCAGATCGTTTTAAAGTAGCTTGCACTTCTCATCAATCTTGTACATGAGAATGGTTAAGAGATAAGCAGTACTATGAGTACATGCCCAGAAAGCGGGCCCATCAAGGGCCCGCTGCGCTGGGCATAGGTTAACAACTAGACAGGTTGACTACTAAGAGACAGAAAGACACACGAAAAAAGTCGCCAAGTCTGCTCGCCAAGGCTGGGAAGCTGGCCCCCACTGTGGCGAGGCTAGTGAGGAGGCTACCGCTATGGCTACTGCCTTGGCCAACTTGCTTGCTAGGGGCAAGCCAATGGGTGCCAAGGCTGGCCCGCTGAGCGTCATGGAGTCCATGGGAAGGCCACTCTTGGACATATGTAGGCACAGAGGTTGGGCCCTTTTGAGTGTGATCATGTCCAGGAGAATCCTAAAGCATAGCATACCCATGGGATGGCACTGACACTGGCGAGCGTCATGGACGAGGCCCATGAGAAAGCCACGCTTGGGCATCTCTATGCGCCCGCAGAGCCAGAAGCTGGGCCCCAACCTTCAGGCGCGGGGGTGTGTCTATAAGCTTGGCTGTTTCATGGACATGACGCAAGACGCCCACCACGGTCCGCGCCTCAGACATGCAATGGCCCACCGTTATCACTCTCGAGCACAGGCATCGACGTCCTCAGCCTTCAGCCTTCACCGACGGAGATGCATGCGCCTGGCCTTCTCATGGACATGATGACGCCCGCCAGGGTCCGCCCTCATCTACTTCCTCACAGACATCGACACCCTCAACGGCTTCGACTTTCACAGGCAAAGCTGTATACCTTTGGCCCTCTCATGGATATGATGACGCTCACCAGGGTCCACCCTTCAGACACGCAAGTGCTCAAGGCTATCACTCTCACAGACATCGACACCCCCAACGGCTTCGACTTTCAAGCGCAGAGATGTATGCCCTTGGCTTTCTCATGGGTATGATGATGCTCACCAAAGTCCACCCTTCAGAACTGCAAGCGCCCACGGCTATCAGTCTCACAGACATCGACATCCTCAACGGCTTCGACACTCAAGCGCAAAGACGTATATCTTTGGCCTTTTCATGGATGTGATGACGCTCACCAGGGTCCACCCTTCAGGGATGCAAGTGCTCACGGCTATCATTCTCACAGACATCGACATCCTCGACGGCTTCGACTTTCACACACAGAGACGCACATCTTTGGCCTTCTCATGGAAATGATGATGCCCACCAGGGTCCACCCTTCAGACATGCAAGTCCTCACGGCTATCATTCTCTTTCTCACAGACATCGACATCCTCAACGGCTTCGACTTTCAAGCACAGAGATGCATACCTTTGGCCTTCTCATGGATATGATGACGCTCACCAGGGTCCACCCTTCAGACATGCAAGCCCTCACGGCTATCATTCTGACAGACATCGACATCCTCAGCGTCGGCTTCGACTTTCACACACACCGACGCACGTCTTTGGCCCTCTCGTTGATATGATGACGCCCACCAAGGTCCACCCTTCAGACATGCAAGTCCTCACAGCTATCATTCTCACAGACATCGACATCCCCAACGGCTTCGACTTTCATACACAGAGATGTATCTCTTTGGCCTTCTCATGGATATGATGATGCTCACCAGGGTCAACCCTTCAGACATGCAAGTCCTCACGGCTATCATTCTCACAGACATCGAGTCAACATCCTCAACGGCTTCGACCTTCACGCGCAAAGTTGCAAACCTTTGGCCTTCTCATGGATGTGATGATGCTCACCAGGGTCCACCCTTCAGACACGCAAGTGCTCACGGCTATCATTCTCACAGCCATCGACATCCCCAACGGCTGCGACTTTGAGGCGCATCTGTGGCCTTCTCGCGAATCAATATGATCACGCTCGTCAGCCTCTACCCTTTCAAGTGCTCACCCTCTCCCTTACAATTCTCCCGCTTTTGTGCTGGTTAGAAGTAGACTGGTTAACCATCTCCAAGGGCTGCTGCGCGCTCCTGTGCCGTGGTCGATTGCTGTGCGCGGAAGGTAGTCGCGGAAGGGGAGCGAGCTAACTTTTTTCCAAAAACTTCAGGGAGGTCGTTCAGTTTTCTCTGTATTTGAATGACCTCCCTGAAGTTTTTGAAAAAAAGTAAAGGCGCTGGGCGATATATGACAAGGGTAGGTAGCGGCTGGCAGCTCGTTGGGGCGATTCGCTAGGGGTGGGCGCGTAGTGTCTTGCTGCGGATGTGGCTGGTGTACGTGAGTAGCCTACAAACTAACAGCCGCGAACACGTTAGCACGTTCTTGACACCTTTGAACTCGTAGTACTAGCAAGGGCCTTAAGGAGCCGCTGTTATTAGCCTAAGTTTATAACAGCTTGTCCTTAAGGGAGCTCCTTAAGGAAATTTTTTCCCTCTTAAGGAAAGTTATAATAACTTTTTATAGTAAAAATTCTTTAAGGAAACTGATTTCCTTAAGGAAGCTCCTTAAGGGAGCTCCTTAAGAGATTTCTGGCAATTGCTAATACTATAAATACTAATATCTTCCTCGTTGATGTGAAGAATGTGGAGGTTCGTGCCATCTTTAACGTACACTTGCTGTTTCGCGAGCAGTTGCCTAGTCGTTCAGGTTTGCAGACGATACCTGGGGTGGAGGACGAACGGGACAATATTCAGATATACAACCGCCCTGTACACTTCCGGTTTATGCGAAGATCATGATGTACATAACTAAGTACTAAGCCACTAGCTGAGCGCTTGAAGACTATAAGTTAGACTTAGAAGCTTCTAGTTCTCTAAGAGAACATCTATGTAATGCTACAGCTCCTTACTAGGAGGTAATCGAGCAAGGATTGCGACATGGAGTGCTCGCATGAAAGTACATGATGACAGAATGCTCAACATAAGTAGATGATATTCGGTGATGACAGAATCATTTTCAAGCCTTCTACAAGTAGAAAGGTCTACTCAGTATGCTGAATTCAATTTAGAACAATAGGGTCTCTGCAGATGCAGTTGTAGAGTTCTTGCAGTTCTTGCAAGAGCTGAAAAATTGTGGGCTTTGCTAATGGGTACTAGACTCCTACTCCTACTACTACGCATCTCCCCCGGCCTCTTGCAAGAATGGTCTCGTCTAATGTCCTCAATACTGGCGATTCGGTGGTGCTCACACATGAGGTTCCTAGTATTATTGAGGGTCCATCAGACTATGCCAAGATGATCACAATCGAGAAGAAACTTCCCGGCGTTTGGTGCTTGGAAAGTGGAAGTCGAGGTGGAGGGGAGTACTATTACCGAGGGCGGCAAAATATGAGCGGCGAGAAAGTCTTCATAAGAACGGATTTGGAGGTACTGTAAGATTTCTTATTTTATTCCTTGATGATGATGTTAAGTTCATAGTCGCCATGGCGTCAAAAGATACCTCCAGAACAGGCAAATGAATGAATGAATGAGTGTGACTGTTGAGTGTTCGTTGCTTATGCTTCTAGTCGCATGTCATACAGAATGCCTGACCTTCCGGGGATTCCCATGGCTGTTGCTTAAATTTCTACACTTCAAGATCTCCTTGTATGTACTCTACTTGTATGTCCCTGTCGTCTTGGTCCTCGTTATTTCCAAATGTTTCACTTCTCGATATACCAAATGTTTCACTTCTCGTTTTTGTTTTGAGCATTGCATGGAAGCAGAACCTTGAACCTTGATCTTTTCTCAGGTCTCCCGCAGAGTAGCAAAGCCTGTTCTACCATACAAAATTGGCGATGCTATTGAAGTACGCGCTGACTCGACTTATGACAGCAGGCATCATACTTTATCTGTTAGACTCATGACGATGACAGCAGGCATCATACTTTCGACCACGAATCAGATTGTTAGATAAAGGTAGTAATATACTAGAAGGATCTAATGGAAGTTCCTAGTACTGCTCACGGGGTACTAGAATGCTCTACTACCCCGTGAGCAGTACTAGGAACATCAATCAATTATCAAGAAAAGTATTGGAGTAAAAAATGTTCGGCCTCATACGCCCCCAGTATGTGATTTGTATGACTACATTAGTTGAACGTGTTAAGTAATTGTTTGAAAGGGCGGTGGCATGTAGTCCTAACGCAAAAAAAAAAATGTTCTAGTTTATGTAGTCACTACGACAGGGACATACACATGACAAGGTGCACACCTTAAGACATCAAATCTATATTTTTAAGTCGGGTCTTATAGAGTCTTATCTCTGGATGGCATCATCCATTTAGTTGGCACCATCATCCATAGAAGGCTCCAATTAATGGCGATAGATTGGCTGGGATCTCCACCTAGTGGAGAGATTGGACCGGGTCAGTGGCTCTCCGGAATTATCAAAGGGCATTGGGATACCTTTAGTCCCGCTCTCGCGTACCACGTTAAACTGATCACCAACGTCGAGCTGCAGGGACGTTTGATAAGTTTATGAACTGGATGGACCTATCTATTTTTTGGAAAAGATGATTGATGATACAGATTCCTTTTGTGATCTACTTGAATCTACAGTTCTACAATTATTGTACCGAATAGGGATCGTGCTGTCTAATCCTCGTGCCCCAAAACGACGCTCGTGCGCTGCCGAGGTACAAAGTGGGGGACTCAGTGCGTGTGGATTATCATACTTCTTTGGTCTCAGGCACTTTCACCAAATTATGGCTACAAGAAATCCATCTGCACAGTCATCTTGATCTCGTTTTTAAAGTTTTAAAGGGAATAAAAGGAGGGCCAACGCCAAGAGGACTCTACTGAAGAAGATGGGTTTCCCATAGTTCTAACCAAAGGCGTTGGGCCCAGCAAGGGGAGCGTGACGGGTACCATCTCGGCAGTGCGACCAGATGCTTAAGGAAGTAGCCAATAGAGTAGTATAATCTTTTACAACTACCTGTGGAAATCAACACTACAGTGTGGTGGAATATCAATCTGCTACACGACTGTAGTTAATATATGTGCTAACGCATGATCATTCTGAATCAAAACTAAAGTGCTGTAGTACAGGAGAGAATGGCACAAGAAGGTGAGTGTGTAAGCTGGCACAAGAAGGTGACGCATCGTTCTACGCGTCTTTTAGTTTTTATTGATTCATTCGTGAGTTTTTACATTGGTAAGTATGGAGATGGACCTTAACTACACTTTTGAGGCATTCTTGCTTCAACATCATCATTAAGTAACAGTACAAGTAATATCTCTAATGGAGAGAAACGTGGTATGTAATCGACCAGGATTGTGTGGAGCCAGATGGCGAGCAACCAAGGGTTACGACACATGTGGGCGATTGCGCTGTAGTCTCATATGTACTGCCGCAGTTAAAATTCAGCCTTGGTTCGGCTGTGCAGTTATGGCGTGACTTCTTTTTGCTGTAACGTAATCCGATTAAAATGTTGCTACGTAGACGCACTTATCGTTGACATTGATGTTGGGCCGAGAATTAATCTTCAAGGCCACAATCTAAATCAATTTGATTAGGTACTCTAAATCTTATCTACTAGATTTTAGCTAGTATCATCATCTTCTCGTCTCATTGACTACACTGTGGCTGTCGGGGTAATCTATTTCGAAGTTTCGCGTAGAGTCTCTTTTCAGTTCCTCTAATGCAAGTACTGGAAAACGTGCTTCCGGACCCGACGAGGAGTCGACGTGTAGTACCTGGCGTTTGGCTCGATGGGCATGTGGTTATTAAGGATCAATCACAGTCGTCATTGACTCGCATGTGGTTGTAGTTAATACAGCCTCCTGTTCTTGTCTCGGTTTCTTGACCACTATTTTACCTCTAAACTCGACACTTGGGTAATGCCTGGAAGATTTCCCTACGAGGTTCAGCTCACAGGCGGAAGGAGAATAAAAGTCAAGTTACGAGGACTCCTTCTCATTTTGCTTCTTTACACCATATCCTACAACATGAAGAATCTAGGTCTTCTACGTTACTTAAGTCTAACTTCATTAATATTTGAAAAAATCGAGCAACTATGCAGCTTTTGCTAAGCTTATAGTAGATTTGCTGGAGAAAAGTAGTACGAAGATCAGAAGTTTTTGGGAGTTTCTTTAACGAGATCTAACTTCTGGGCTCGACTCTGAAAACTTTATTCGGAAAAAGCCTCAGTTTGCCTTAGGCGCACGAGTGGAGTTTATTTCGTCTTCTTCGGCCCTGCAAAGAATTCTTTAAGGGTTGAAACATTTCATATTTGTACGCTGTATTTGACACCTGTCAAGACTAAATATGTCAAATATGTAAGATAAATATGAATTGTTTCAACCTTTAAATTATGGGGTCTCCGTGGCAAGTCGGAGTTGTGCAGCAACATTATCCGAACGGCAGTGCCTCTAGTTCGCCCATGTACGAAATTCGTCCGGACACGTACAGGCATGACGTAAAATACGATAGAGCCTTGCTCGATCTTCGCGAAATGGTTCATGGTGACGATTCTCCAAATGGGATACGAGCGCTCCAACCACTACCGGAAATAAACCTCGAGACAGATGAGCGCTGGTTTGCTCAGCTTTCCACGCAGATCGTAAATTGCCACGAATACAAACCGTCTAGATTACGGCTTCTTTGATGTAACAAACTTACTATAAAGCAAGGCTTTCGCTTTGTTTGTCTACTTCCGTCTTCCGTTGTTCATTGAAGATTTCAGTAAGAACTACGTACGATCTTCAACAGGTACGTTCTGATATTAGAGCAAACATTTTTATTCTCCACCTAGAGGAAGATCCTAGATAGAGTCAGTCGAGTGAGTTAGGGAACTTCTCACTTGAGTCAGTAGTGAGTAGTAGTCTAGTGAGAAGGAAATACTCACTTACACGATAGAGTCAGTAGAGTGAGATCCTAGGGATATTAGGGAAGACCTCCCAGTAGCAGAGGATGCAGAGGCTTCGGCAAAGTCCACTCTAACTAAGCAACAATTCGCCGCAAAAGAACGAGTGCAGTTAGATTTCGAAGGCGGCGTTGTACATTCATCTTCTCCACATACTTCCTTCGTCTTCGTAGAAAATTCATCTTCTCCTCATCCTGCTTGTTGAAAATTCATACTTTCCCTCCACAACTCCCTAACTCTGTGGTCCATCTGAAACGCGTAGGCAGTTCGTCAGGTTTACAAGTCCCCCTGAGAAAGTCAGTACGATCATGACACCGGCATAGTGAAGAGGGTTCAGCTTAATACAGTTGCAGACTCATCTCTTCAGCCGAACAGCACAACTTCCACGAGAGAGATTACGCTAGAAAATTATCACTAGCTTTCACAGCAGCTGCCACTTGTGTAACACTACCTTGCAAAAAAACCGAAAAACGACAGGTGAAGATAGTACATCCCGAGGAAGAAATAATTGGCGACCTACCGCCAGACTGTGTGGAGAAGTTGACGCCTTTATGGAAAAAGTTGTACCCCAATTGTCGCATCCAAGGAGACCTTGTTACCGGGAAAGGGAAGCGCAAGATCGATATTCAAATCAACATTTTTGCAACCAGTTGCGTTCTTCCCGAACGCGCGATCGACATCAATGGTGAAAGCATAGAACTCGCGACGTTGGACCAGGAGGATTTGGAAACCATGCCTGCTGACTTACTGGAGAAAGAAATCTGTCCTCGGTTTCTGCCACCATTAAGGCTAGCGCTCAGGCAGTAAAAGCGCATCTTCTTTGTCTTCTTTTTCCTCATACTTCTTTTTCCTCATTACTTCACACCTGATGCAGCTCTAAGACTAGGAGAGCCGCAGAATTTGATCGATGAGGTGAGGAATCACACTGCCACAAAGCGGGGATTCTTCTACGGAGCAGGGTCGACCAATTATGAGAGAATCATTTTGTGCATGATCATGCCATTAATAGCACTATAATCTATTTCTGTTTTTTGAGAACTCCGCCCTACCTTAAAAATCGTATTCGATATTGAATATCGATCTTGAAAATCAAAATCTATCGAAATAAACAGAATTCTCTAAGCTCTCGAAGCGAAAGAAGCAGTGTGGTTATTCCCCGAAAAGGATGGTCTGAAAGTGAGAGGTTTGAGCAAGCTTTCCTGGGACAGGCGATTTGGCGGAACGGGTACAAAAATGCCAAGTTGGATTCTTGGCAATGTTGCTTCGAACGTTGACGAAAACTTGCTATTGAATGACGACGGTGAGAAGTTGAAGAAGATGCTAGAACGCATCTACAAGACAGCGATGAAATACGAAGATTTTCCGGAAATCCAAGACGAGAAGAAACAAGTCTCATCTTCGTCGGGTGTCGAGAAACGATGTTCTCTACTGGGTGGAAAGTTAAGGATCATCGCCCAGTTGTAGTTGTAATATCCAATAAGAGCAAAAGCAGCAAATATCCTGCCTCCTTGGCTTTCATCTAGACTGCTGCCTTCTTTCAATAAAGGGGAAGGGCAAGAAGACACCAACCATCCTTTTGGGGTAAATGGTTAAGAAGATAAGCAAGATAAGAATCGGCAAAGGTTGTAAGCGTGAAGTTGTGGCCGAACAAGGGTAAAAAGTAAAAGACACCATCCTGCTCTATGGCAACATTGCCTGGCCAAGGGTGCGTGAAGTGAAAGATTATAGGTAGATGCAATGTTATCCCAACATGGTGGTCTAAAGAAGTTTGGAAAATTGTATCCTTGGCAACGCAAGGCCTTGTGGTGGATGGTGGATCGGGAACGAGAAAAAACGGCACAAGAAGAAGTAGTGGAGACTTTACTGTCTGACATGCGACACGGCGATGATTCTAGCTCGAGCTCAACTGAGGATATTGGTTCATCAAGTGGCGCGATTCTTGGCAGAAGCGGGCCCTTAAACATTCCAGGATCCTCCTCCTCAGGACTATTCGGGAAGTCTTCTTCTTCCTCGTCTCGTCTACAAGCGCAAGCAGGAGATGGAAAGGACAAAGAGAATAAACTGGTGAAACGGGTGACTTTTTGGGAAATCGTGTGTGCTGAGTCTCGAGTGACCCTGTCTTTGGACAAGATCTTGAATCTGACACGTGGAGGACCACAGGGAAAAAGTTCCCTTCTTGGTGGGAGTACATCAAGAACAGACGAGAAGCGTTCACGCCGACAACAGGAGGAGATGGAGAAGAAGATGCACTACAAGAACAAGATCACGGGAGACATCTTCGACAAAGCGCCAACTTTGCCAAGAGGCGGAATTCTAGGCGATGAAATGGGTCTAGGCAAGACTCTTGAGTTAAGGCATACCCCTAGTACATCAAGCGAGCATCTGTAACTGTGCATCCGCGTCCCCCTAGCTACTTACATTCTTGGGTTTTGTTCACTTTTAGACTTAGAGCTTTGAAACATCTTCAGTGTGCACATCTTCTTCAAGGTGAACCATTAATACATAGACACGACCCTGTAGCTCTAATTGATGTCGCCGCTACGATTGCCTACAGTGACAGGGTCAACGTAAATGGCTACTTCGATGATGTTGAGGTGGAAAAGAGAAAGCCGCGCACAAGAGATTTATTTGGTGCTAGTAGTTCAACTTCAATAAATTCTAGTTCAGGAGCAGCCAGTGCCAGCCTTGTTGGTTCCAGTCTTCTTGGTTCTTCCAAAAACAACGCTACTAAGGACTCAGTGGTGGTCCCGGATTTCTTTGATGACACTCCGCTGCTTGGTGGAAGTGGCACTGGCACTACAGCCACGACCTCGTCTTCACGACAAAGCGAAGAAATCCTACGAACTTTGATTGTCGCACCATTATCGGTTTTAGATGACTGGGCGCTTACGTTGCGGGAAGCAATGCCAAATGTGCCCTTGAACTTCTTTCATGGCGCGAAACGTGTCCGAGTAAGGGACTTTGAAAAGATGGTGGCGAATGGAAAATACACTTGTTGTCCTGGTGCATCATCTAGTTCTAGTGGTAGTACTGCGACCTCATCTGCTGGCACTAGTTCTGCCGGTGCAGGCAAGAAGCAAAAGAAACAAGTTGGAAAGGGCAAGAGTAAACAAGTAGTGAATAAAAAGGGCGTGTCAACAACAGCAGGAGCTTCCTCGTCCGCTCCTTCGACATCCAAGGCCAAGAATGAGCAGTCGTCTACTTCATCCAGCGTAAAAATCGTCCAGAGCCGACCGCTACAGAAGAATGTGCAAATCACTTTGACTTCGTACGACACCCTTCGTGGAAACATCAAAGAGCTCAAAGAGGACGTTCCTTGTTGGCATCGCATGGTTCTAGACGAGGCGCATCAAATCCGCAACCGCAAAACCGCATGTGCGAAAGCAGTTCTAGAGGAACTGAATTCGCAGATTCGATGGGCAGTCACTGGAACTCCAATCCTGAATATTAAGGGTCCGTCGTTGCCATATTTTTTTTGCATTGAGCTTGACTTGTTTTCCAGTAGGATGGAAACGGAAAGGGTAAGGGGTCAAGATGGATGATTTGAATAAAGATGCAAAAATGTCGCAAGAACAACTTCCATCTTGATCTGAACAAGCTAGCATGCAAAAATGTCCTCGCAATATACTAGGTCCTCTAATAATGGAGTAGGAGACGTGGCTCCCTTGTTTGAGTTCCTGCACCTGGAGCCGTTTGATGATATAAAGTTCTTCAAGACGCACATCCAGGAACCGATCGAGAAGAATAGCATGAACGGTCTAGAGCATCTCAACTTGATCATGCGGCAAGTACTACTAAGGCGAACAAAGAGCCAACAGGTGCAGATAACTGATTTACCTGGTGACAAGAAAGTAGACGGGGACGAGAAGACCCAGATGAACAAGCAAAACAAGAAAACAGCACAACTTCCTGTTGATGCAGCAAAAATGCTAAGTAGAGCGTCATCTATTTCTTCTCTGGGACTGGGAAGTGGTACTACGTCAGAGGCTGGGGGAAACGGTCAAGAAGAGGATAGTCATCTCTTAGCAGACATTATGCTGGAAACTGGAGAAAAAATACTTGCGCTTGGACAACCAGGACAAGAAGCATCCTCAAAACGCTCAAAACAAGTACAGCGCAATGTTGTGGAAAACAATTCCTCTAGTACCGAGGAACATGCGCGTGGACGTCAGCAACAGGGAGAGTTAGAGTTACTAGGCGGCGATCCTATGGACGTCGATGAAGATGTTGGCAGTGGAGCAATTTATGGCTCTTCGAGTGGCCTTTTTTTCATTTTCTTTCAGGAAATGAGCATTACTATCCTCGAGTGATGTATTTAATAATACGGACATACCATAGTCGATCGCAATGGCGACCATAGCACTACACACACAGAGCACAAGGAAATCCGGCGGGGTCGTACGCTTCGCCCGGAGCGCATCAAAACAAACAAACAAGTAAATTGCTTTCTTCATAATTCTTTAGTCTTCATTAATGCACTTTGCTCATTTATTAATATGGACCTATTTTTTCTACTTCCTTGGTCGACCCCCTCGAGCCAGATAAGCTGCAATTAATATTCAAGTGCTTCTTCTTGCTCTTCCTCGATCTTGATCATCTCCTCTAAGTTGATAACCTAGATGACTCCACAACACCGCAGACTCGCGACTTGGTCCAAATGCCGCCCATGCACATGACTCGACACTTGGTGAAAATGAGCAAAGATCATCGGGAGATGTACGAGACTTAGGGCTTCTACCGCTTACTACAGGTGATGAACAAGAACATTCTTAAAAATATCATCTTTCCTGGCAGTCGCTCAGGCTATTTTCTTACTTACGTTTTCTATGTTGTGTGTCATGAGTACTTAGTAGGATGGACGTCGTGAAAGATATAAGTTTCCACTTCTTGAGCAGGATAATACTCATTTTTATTGTCATTGTCCAATACATAGCTGTACTTGTAATTTTATTATCAAAGATCAAGCCTTGATGACGCACCCAAGGATGCTAGAGCTATGACACCTCTAAGACCCCCTTTTCTCTGCCATCGAGGAGCACGTGACTCAATCCAACAAAGAGAACCAGCCGCAACAGAAAGAGACCAGAAAGAAGTTCTCTGGGTTGCAGAATGTCTTGCAAGTGATTCACTACTTGCGGATGCTGACGTTATCTCCCAGCCTAATTCCAGTAGGCCTCCGAAACGCATTATTAGCGCATGACAAAGACAAAGTGCAAGAACAATTCATCAACTTTGGTAGGGGAATAGCAGGAAGTGGAGGGAGGAACGGACGAGGAGCGAGAGGCGGAGGAAATGGCGGAAGTAGAGTTAAGATTTTTAGTCTATTCCATCTTAATCTTTTTGAAAGACGTCACGATATGTAGATGGACAGGCCAGTTCGTTGGCTTCGTGCTTTAGGGTTGTTTAGGTGTTGACTTGTATGTTTACTTATCACATCCGAAAGTAGGCGGTTTTCAAGGGGAGAAGGAAACCGCGATGCTTCTTTCTTCTGATGCATCCGAGGAAGAACTGATAGAGATATTGTGAGCGCTAACAAAGCTCCAGAAATTCAAAAAAGTGTGGTGGACTTGTGGTATGACAATCGAAACGAGCCTTGCACAATATGCCTTGATGAATTTGAGCTCAGCGACCAGTTACCTAAGGGGGATGGAAAGAAGGCGGTATTTGATACAACTAGTGCCTAGTACTTATAGATACGTATTTGATTTCAAAAGTAAGTATATTCTAATAACGGTATATCAAGAGAATCCCGTATGGCATACCTTAAGAGGAGCAAGAGGTCGAGACTCTTCATTATTGATAAAGTATTATGACGTTGAGGAAGATAATAGCAGGATCATACATCTTCAAGAAAGTACGATAGTAGCAGGAATATGACGTCGAGGACAACGTTTTATTAGCTCCTCTTGCCAGTACACCTTCGTCTTGCCAGTACAGCGACATCTTCCATGTCTTCACAAGCACTTCCGTATCTGGACATAACTTCCATAACTCCACCACCTACAATTTAGTGTTACAACTCGTTCAAAAAATATCTCAACAAATAAAAACAGGTAATGACGAGTTGTGGCCACCAATTCCATCGGTGCTGTTTAGTCGAAAGCCTGAAAGTCGCTAAGAGCTGCCCCCTTTGTCGCTGTGCAGACATCGTATGTGATCCGAAGGAATTTCTAGAACGACCACCAACATGGGAACAGGACTACGATTAAGGCTCTTCAGTAGCCACTGAAGTCTGCTGGTTTATCTAGTGGACCCACACCTAACCTAACCTAATTCCCGACCAGCAGTACCTCACTCCAGTAAGAGTAACAGATGGCAATAAATATCCTCGTTGTAGTACTTCTGATTTGAACTCCTGTCGACACATTGATTTGATATTTGACACCTTTCCCAAGGCGGCCAAGGAGAAAATAACACACGTCAAAAATACTCTTCATCTTCATCAAACAAGATGCATTAATAAGTAGTCACAAGTACCCTGGTCTACTTCTAATTTGAGAAGAAGAATGCGCCAGGTGCTGGCGGTGGAGATTTGAATGGGGACAATAGTGCAAAGTCGGATGAAGATTGGGACGCAGAAGCTGGCAAATTCATTGTTAAGGGGTGTTCTTGATGATGTTGACTGAATCTTAGAATGAATGTGAAGCGAAAGCGACTAGATTTATTGTGTTTGTGGGTCAGAAGTAGGTATCGATAAATTTAGTACTCGGCCATTTCAGTTTTTATTCCCAGAGAGAAGTCTATCTGTTCTTTAAGTAAGTGAAATGCTACTTCGTTGAACCTCTAATCTCAAGGTCGAGGATATAGTATTAAAACGCGACAGACGGAAGATTGAGACAGAACCTGTAGTGGTTTTTTCGAGTTTCGTAGTAGTATTAGAGAAATTAAAGAGGTTCTTGACAAAACGAAATGAGGAGCGCGCTTGTCCTGCTTCTTCATCTTCCAGTAGCAGTGGTTGCAACAACAACAACAACACTGCAGCATCCAGTAGTAGTTGTAACAACCACAGCGCAGTGTCATCATTTAACAACAACAACACCAGCAACAACGCAGTTTCCGCATCCACCTCCAGTTCCTCCAGTAGCTCATCCTCCATCCAATTGCCTCCAGTGGACTTGAAGATCGAGATACTTTCCGGAAAACAGAAGCCGAGCGAAAGGGCAGAGATAGTAAGACGATTCCAGAGTGGGCAGATTCATGCTCTGTTAAGGGTCGTAGGTTCCTGTACTTATAGGTGTTTCTTGTTTCTATACCCTGTTTGTGTTTGTTATGGCAATGGCTCTCGTCCGTCTACTCCTAAATGTACGCATATTATAGAAACACCAAAAAACAAACATGGAACACGGGACACGAAAACAAGCAAAAGAACAACAAACAAACAGAGTACTATTTCTATTAATATATCTATAATAATATATATAGAACTACCACCCTATTTTTTTCCTATTTAGCTTGGCTCCACCCGTATATAGAACTACCACGACCGATTAAACGACCCTAGCCCTACCTCTAATGCCATTGTGTTCTTTGAAGGCTGGTGGTGTGGGAATCACTCTGACAAAAGGAAAAACAGTTATCCTATGCGATCCCTGGTGGAACGCAGCGATGGAGAACCAAGCTATCGGCAGACTATATCGTACTAATGATTGGCAGACTAGATCGTACTAATGCTCATTCATTCATTCATTCATTCATTTACCTGTTCTGGAGGTATCTTTTATATGCTCCAAAGATATTTAGAATTTTATATCGGCAGACTATATCGTACTAGTAACGCTCCAAAATTATAGAATTAGAATTTTCAGTAGGAACTTCATTACCTTTGTAGATGTAAAGCATGTTGATATTAGAGGTATAGGAACTACTACAGCTGTGCTGGATAAAAGTAGATGACTTTTTGCAGAAGCATACGTGGTGACTGATCGACCCGCTTGTTACAAAGTAGCTGTAGTGACAATAATTAAATACACCTTCAAGTAGAACTTACAACCTCCACGTCGTCCACCACCACCACCACCACCACCACCACCACCTAGGTCTCGGGCAGAAGCACACCGATGTGGATGTTTATCGACTAGTGGGGAAGAATACCATAGAAGAAAACATCCTTCAGATGCAAGAACAGAAGCAGCTTGTAGCCGACTTGTCGACGAAGACAGATGGCAAGTTCGACGAGAAGTCGGCCACGTTTAATTAAGGCCTGCTGTACTTGGACAAGTTGGCCTTGACATCATCTAGCTACTTATTCTGTTATAGATCAGGCGTACTCTCAACCCCTAATTTCCAAGCGGAATGGTTGCCAAGCTCTTCGATCGAAATGCACGTCCGGTAAAACGGAATAGGCCTTGGCTCCTGAACAATGATACAGGAGACAAAAGGCCACGCGTAGAGTGAGCTATATATGCAGAACTGTAGGCAAAAACTACATCCACACTTAGTCCAAAGCTAGATCTTGATGATCTTAGTCAAAGATTATAATTACAGTCCTAAACCAAAACCCCTCGGAAAATGGAATGCCGTTTCCAACTTCTCTGTCTGAGACAGGATAAGCTATGCTTTATTCACGTTTTTATCGCTTCAAATTCTATCCATGTAATAACGTATAACGATCCAACTAGTGGACGACATGAATAGCATCATTTGAAGAGTGTAGATGTCCCTAATAAAAAAGAAGTGAGAGGTGCGGCCTTCTGCCTATAAGATAGAAATGTAACAGTTTACTATTTATGACAAGGTTAGTTATCTCTTTGTAACCTCTTTCTACCTATAAGATGAAATGGAAATAATGCATAACCACCTAGGAACAAGTGTCGTGGAATCAAACCTAGCTAAACAAAGCAGCGATGGCTTTCAGACTCGGTTTTTTCGAATTTTGAATGTAAAGAAGAACATATTACGAAGAAGAACATTATATTATGCAGCATAATAGTACTGATATGTGCACTGGAAACTTGGTTTTGCAGTATGTACATCTTTTCTCTGGAAGCTTTCATCAAGTAGGGCATACAGGTCGAACGACTGTACTCGTTCAGAATATAATGTTATGTCAACTTGTTCAACATGTTTTCTTTTTGGGCTGTTGTGTGCCACTCAGGAAATTGTTTTATAATTTATTTATAGAAATAAGGATCACCTCCAGCACACACAATTTCCATAGAAGTCCGTGACGAGCATAAGCCTCCCCAGAAAGTGCTTTACAGTAAGAGACCGTAAAAGCCTGGATATATTAAGTTTATCAAAATAAGGCATCATTCGTCCACAATGAAGATGCTTGTGTTATAGCTATGCAGGCGCTACGACGGGCGACGGAAGAAAAAAAGTGGGTGCTTGTTGAGTAGTTGTCCCAGCTCGTCCACGAACGACAGCGGGGGGGAGGCGCTGGTTGACTCGAGGAGTGCGATGTACCAAACTTCTGTATGAGCCATATCGGCTGTGCAGCCTAAAAGGTGTCCTCGTACACGATGAGGCAGACTCATCGAGCGTCTCATCTCCAGTTGTTTTGGCGGAACTGGAGAACGACATCGAAAAAACAACCAGCACGATGAAGACCACTAGCGCAAACGATCATGGATCAGTGAAGGATCTTTTGTAGTTGTACTTCTGGATGAGTGATGAAAGATGTTGTTGTACTAGAAGATCTCTTAGTATTACAGGTCGATTCTGATTCATGTCGTGCATGTCGTGCATGGAGATGGAAGGTAACTCAATCCATGTCGTAATGCATAATTGGACTGCTTTCTTTTCACTGAAATACAAGAGTCTTGACTACATTCCTCTTCTTTTAGTATCTAGGAAGAAGGAAGGAAGAGTAGAAAAGGAAGTAGTACTTGCAAAACAGAGGTCATCTAATCAAACGGTCTACCATACCCCACGAATGGGCACACTACTACTACTATCTAGTCTGGGCACACCACTGCTACTACTCGTGCGTGCAGAAGGTCAAAAAGATCCTCGTGGACCATGGCTAGATCGAAGATCAAAGAGTCCGTCTTTTAGAGTTGTTATAAGTGGATCAAAGCTAGTACAAGGACCAAAAAGAGTTAGAGAGGAGTGCGTCTCTATTGATTCAGAAGGAAGAAGGAGTTCCTTCAGAGGAAGAAGTTCTACGACGGATTCGGATCCTATCAAGCAGGAGATCAAACCGCGTGTATCAAGCAGGAGCCACTCTAATTCAAAGATCGCACCACTGGATCCAACATGAGAGAGGAGTTCTATAAAATGACTTATACCCCGTGATTGGGTACACTACTACTACTGCTTTCATCACTTACTTCATCTCAATATTGCAGCCAATACAGCAGAGAATCAAAGAACAACTAGAAAACGGTTACGGTTGTAACATCGTTTTTTTTGGAGGACTATTCGCTGCAGTTTTTTGTCTTTTTGTGCCAAGTAATCAATCAATTGAGAAATGAACTAAAACAAAGGAACAACTAGGTACTTAGTTGCATCAACAATCTTCGATCAAACAAGGTTCTTATCCATATTTTTCTTTGATAGGATCGATCATTTAATGAAGATTATTACCAACTTTCTTCAAGAGTAAATCTAAATTCTCTAGAAACAGCAAAGATCTTCGTCATTGTCTCGAGGAAATATCCAACACTAGACGGAAGTTGAGTGGGGGCAGAGCTAGACTGTGGAAGAGTAAGTTGTATTTACTTTCCTAAATCTAATAAATCATCATCCTTTTTCCCTTAAAAAAGAAATGGGGACTCAGCTCTTAATCATGGAGAAAATACGCGGGAGCAAATTGGCTCCTGGGATGACGGCGGCCATGTTCTTTGCTGGATTCCCTTTGTTTATGATGTTGCAGGAGGTTGCTGCTGTAACTATGATTCCTCAAGCACCCGCACCAGGTGGGGCAGCTGCTCGCGATTGGATGGCTGAACTGAGCAGGGACACGTTCGAGGACCTGCCTTTCCCGGCAGAAGCAGGTGAAGAAGGTCAGCAAATGTTTACGTTTTGGGTGAGTCAAGATCCGCGAACAGCTGATTGGAGCTTATACCCGGAGAAAATTCAGAAGGAGCTCACCGTGTTGGAACTCAGTGCCGACGCCCGACTTGCAGGGAATCGAGAGCCGCTGTTGTGTGGAACAAATACGTCGACGATTGCGCGCGATGGGATATCTCGTGAAAACGATCGTTTGCTTTTGACTCCGGGGCATGGTTTGCCCATCGGTGAAGCAGCAGCAGGCGTCCGAGTCAACGTCTACAAGTCTTTCGGAGAGCATGAGACGAGGAATGCCTTGGGCTTACCCGGTAGAGGAAGGCCACTGCCGGATGATATGATGCAGCAAATCCGAAAGCTTGCTGTGAAAGCCTTCTTCTCTCCTTCTTCGTCAACGGCTTCTTCTCCTTCTCTCTTCGCTTCGTTCTTCAATTCGTTGCTGCGCTATCCAGATGAATTCAATTTGCCCGACGGCAGTGGGGTCCTCGGATTCACAGGTCTATTTACGCCTCATAATAAGTTAAGGGTAGGTTAAAGGTGCTTTTCTTACCGCTTTTTATGCCTCTCCTAAGGGAGAAAGGCATAAAAAGCGGGGTAAGCAAGCACCAAAAACCTACCTCTAAATAAGCGTCCAATGTACTACAAAAAAAGATCCCAGTCTGACGGAGAAGTCGGAGGTGGAGCTGCTGCTGGAGGCGGTGCTCCTGCCGGAGAAGGTGGAGCGAACAACTTTTTCCGCGGGGAATTTGGTCAGCAACTTGAGGCTGAGTTGTATAAACTTGTTCATACTGGGGACGACATCTTTCTCGACACCTTTCGCCAGAACTTCAAGATGAAGGTCGACGTAGTGAACAACATCTATTTCCAAACGACAGGAGAATTCAAGAAGCGTCCCTTTCCCTTTGCGAGCACAAATCGTAGACGCGTCTCCAAAGTTACTATCATCGTAGCACCGAGACCGAGGCTGCATATGCTGGAAAGAGCGCTATCATCTGGATTGTCTGTGCCGCAGTCTGGATTGTATGTGCCGCAGTTCGAGTTCCACGACTCCTTCTCCTGTTAAGGGTAGTTGCAATTGTGTTCACCTACGTAGTAAGAGGATCTATATATGCGAAGACCTTTTCAAGGAAGAAAAGGAGTCTAAATATGCGAAGAGTTTGTTATCTACTCATTTCTGCTTCCCTTGCAATGTATTGGGCCTGTTCTTGACCTACGTAGTAAGAGGATATTTGTTCATCCACGACCTTTTCAAGGGAGAGAAGGAATCTAAAGTCCTTGCTATCTAGTTCAACTTGCAACTGATTGACTGATCATCTAATTTTGGAGGCCTTATTCTATGGCGCATCAGAATGAGATGTTCCAGAGAGCGGAAGCGGCGCTCAGGCCGCACGCAGAGATCCCTGGGGATGACATTCCACAGGGCATCGGTGGCTATTTGCTGAGACACATCTCTCTCGTGAAGAACTTTGACAACTTTGACTATGCGTTGGCAAAGGCCCACCAAGAGTTAGATGGGAACCTTGAAGACGCTGATTATCAGCTTGAGCTCCAACACATCGCAGCTGAGGCCAGGGTCAGTTTTGAGAATGTTTTCCCACAGGAGATCCTCGCGCAACTGAATAATTATCAAGGCGGTGCGAGTCCTGATCTTATTCAAGACTACACCTTCATTCAGTATCAGCAGGATGACGTGAGCGTGCGGAGAGCGGCGCGCCTGACGTGGAAAGATTTTACGGCACTGCTGGCAGAAGAAAAAAAAGGTGTCGAACGTGTAACCTGTTGTATTTGTAGCTCGGAGAGGAAGCCCAAGACCGAAATGTTTCAACTCTGTGCAGCGGAGAATGCGGGGGGCTGCTATTCGTGCGGCGAGTGCGTGGGGCAGTCTAATGGGCCTTTGGCAAGAATGGCCGACAAGAACGCTTATTCGCAGTACGAGGCTGATGGCATCTTGCATAAATTCTGCGCACATACGCCGAGTGCCCAACAAATGGGTCGGGACCCGGCAAACTGGAAAGCCTACGAGGAGAGAGCGCTAGATCTGGCCATAAAGTTGCAAACGAATTTCAAAGAAAAGCTTCAAGCTGTGACCGATTTGAAACAGCTACTCGATTTGCTCTTTGGAGAACTGGACGCCATGTACGGCGAAGAAGCAGCGTCGGAAATGAGGAGTTCTTGGCTTTTGTCAAAGTTTGGTCGCGAAATCGCGGGGGAAATCGACCAAAGAACTGTGGGTGTAGCAGAAAAGAGAGAAAAAACCGAAGCCGCCTGTTTGGATGACGACCCTTCATGGAAGCTGCGGGAAAAAACAGCGAAGCAAGTAGAAGAGGTTGTGCAAGAGCAGGGAGCATTTTTTGCGATGAACATAGTCCCAAAAGCGAATCACTCCCTCGATGAGCACGCCATAAAAAGATTCATTCGTCTGGCAATGGTGCAAAAAGCGGACTCCTTGATGTCGTGCGACAACTGCCCAAACAAGCTTTTGACAGACGAAGAGGGCCTCATTACCGAAACGACGGAAGACGGAAGACGTAAAAAGTGGACGTGTCCCTTGTGTAAACACTGCAATCGAAAACCTCTGACCAAAAGTGTCGATTTCGACGAGGTGAAGGCGGTAAATCTGTGGTTACGTGGGGGCGACGTGGTAGCAAGCTGCTTTTATGACGAGATCAGCTTTCGGAAGAGACGTGTGTGCCCACAGTGCTGGCTCGAAGACAAAGAGATTGCATACTGCGAGCATGACGGCGGCTGCAAGCACTGGCCCAAGAATGGTGCCGCGCACAAACATGCAATGTGTTTCGCCTGTTGCCGCCCGTGGACTTCGTATTTTGAGGGGGACGACGAATCTGTTGAGGTGTGTAGCCATGGAAACGTTCATTGCACGGAACTAGGACAAATAAGATGCCTACAGCAACTAACGGTTACCGAGGAAAAAGATGGCTCGTTCTCAACCGGCTTTGAGTTTCTGTCTCATCCCACCCAGGAACCAGATGGCTTGTCATGAACCGGCTTTCAGTTTCCGCCTCAAGCCTGAATGAAGCCTTCGACTCCTGCAGTTGGTTACAAATATGTAAGTAGCTAGATGAGTTGTATAGCACAAGCACTAATTATATATATTTATAATATAGATCATATTTATAGTTTCTTCTCGGGGTCGGCGTCGGGTGCTAACCAAAAAAAAAAAAAAACAAGCACCTGGAGACGGACGCTCAGAAGATCGTTGTACAGAGGCAGCTTCATCATGATGAAATGACACTGAAAGTGGCCCTCGTCCACAACTGGTTCAGCTGCTCACTTTTAAGATTGGACTAACTACATCAGACTTGATTGAGTCCCATCTTGAAAAGGAACAGAGGTTTGGTTCTTGAAAATATTTTTATTTCTTGAACAGAGCGCATTCGAGAAATTTAGTCTTTGAAAAGTCCTAGTGATATCTCATTATATTTCTTGAAAAGAGCGCGAAGGAAACTACTGGCACGGCTCCGATTCCTCTAAATATGAGTCTATATTGGCCTTGTCGTTGTCCACCATGCTAATTAATCGGTCTTCTACATGAAGGTACGCGGCACCGTTGGGGAGGTGGAACGGAGAGAATCAACCTGAAGCGTATTGGGACTTGCTCTCTTGGCTCACTAGATTCGGAGAACAAAAATCATGCCGGTCAAGGTTCTGAAAGAACTTTTTTTTTACAAGAACCTTCCGAAGCTTACAACCTTGGTAAGCGACCATAGTTCTAATTATCAGTGCTGCGACACTTCGTTGTTCTTCTCGGACTGGTTTACAGAGAAGCACAGGTAGATCCTGCGCCGTCGTCTCAAATAGACGACGACCAGAAACTGCGCCTCCCTCTCTCTGGATATCGACACCTCGTGAGCAGGTGAGTGAGTGAATGAATGAATGATTGCTCGATGAATCATCTAGAACTGTGCTGGACGACCATCCTGGTGAGTAGCTAGTTGTGGAGATCTCTTGATGCCGAGATAGAAGATCTACATGCAGAAGACGGCGCATTCCTCATCTCTGCGCATGTGAGAGGAAATAATTGAATTCAGAGCTTCAATCTGAAGATGAAAGGAGTAGTTCATCCTCATGGTTCTCGCTGTAGTAGTGGATTTTGATCTTGAAAATGACATAAAATATTTAGGCTAGTACAAGATGCTTTATTTGCCCACTTCTACAGTCGGTCGAGTTGTTGCTCTGCTAGGAGGTTTCCTTTGCTCACCCAAAATAACGCCTTTTTCGACATTGCTTCCAGATGATCGCCGAGATGAATTCCCGATACCTCTAATTGAACAAGCAGCTTCCAGAGCAGGCGGCGCTGGTGGGACAGTCACGAAAGGGACGAACGCAGGTGGTCGACAACATGAGGATGAAGAACATGAAGATATTGTTGTGCACAGTTGTGGACGTCGTTCCAAATATCCTCGAATCGCGAATCATGGCGTTTTGAAGAATAGAGGAAGGTATGCCAGCAGCGTTTTCGTCCTAGCCCAAGGAAGCTCTGATGAAGATGATACAAACCCTAAAGACCGTCCAAAAATCCAGCAGAGTCAGTCGTGGTTATCAGACGAAGAGATAGTGGAGTTTGAGCGAGCCAAACATGTTGGGGAGTTTAGGAAGCCCATTCATTCGCATGCCCCAGAACCAGGGAGCTATACGATGGGTGGGGAAGTAGTAGTTCCTTGGAAGTTTTGCTCTATAAAGATGCTCTAAGCCAGGCAAGGCTATGCGTGCGGTTTCATTTGTCTAAACCATGCGCGATGCTACGATCTTTATCATATGTGGTTCTGTTTTACTGTTCTTACATCTGGATTTGCGTAGCCGATGGAAGTAGTTCCCATCCATAGATTAGTCCTTCCCACACAGGTCCTGGCAATCTTATCGGGGCTGGCTACCGAGAAAAGGAAACAACAGCTGTTGTGAGTGCCCTGCTATCATCGTCAGGAGATGTTACGGTTTTAGAAGAAAACGAAAAGGACATTACTGACAGAGCAGGAGAAGTAGACAGCGAGGAACCACACGAGGATAGTCATGAACTACTTGTAGTTTCTACTGGTGCTACAGAAGCAAAAATCGCCCATTGCCAGAAGTTGACGCAGCATGCCACGACGTGGGTAAAATGTCACCCATCAGACGTTTTGCCAAGAGCTGTGCATCGGATGCTATACGAGTTGGGCAAGAGCGATTGCTCAGCCGTAGACTGGGCCACAGCACAAGTGATTCTGCTTTTGTCTGAGGACATCGCGAATTCCATCGAGAGGATCGAAGCTTTGGACTTTCCGAGTGGTCGGGACCTTTTGTTCTCTGGAGACACGTCGTTGCTGTTCTTGATTTATGAAAAAGTACATTCACAAAAATCATAAGAACAAAGAAGGCCTCCCTCCGCCGTTTTTTGTAACCCTTAATATGGCGTCAGGGCTCCTCTCCCAAGGATTGGGGACTCGGGGGGACTCAGTCCAAGCGCCGCCATCGGAGTCCCAACCAACCCTTGGGGGGGATTTGGAGGGGAGGCGCTTTGGAGGGGATTTAGGGTTTAGTGCAGACGAAACCTATGGATCTTCAATCCCTGTTTGTTCACTGCCAAACTAAATGTAGATCGATCTTCACAGTCTCTATGTTCACAATCTCTAACCACCGGACTGTCTCCGAGCCCGACTCTATGCCGCTGGCGTCGACGGTCAACACCTGCACAGAATAGACACATACGAAACTGCAGGTAGAAAGAGAGAAGAGCTTTACGGAAAGAAGCCAACAATCGTGCTGCAAGACGATGATGACCTGGATCCATCTGGTTCGTTCTCTGGGGAAGGGGACACAACAAAATTACCTAGTGGCATCGTCGACGTGGACACGACACGAGAGATCATGTCCAAATCCGGACAGTGGCAACCAACATCAAGTTCAAGGCGAAATGATAAACCCCAAGCAGAACAAGTCTTGTCAGAGGTGGTGAGACTGGACGATGCAGGAGAAGACGGTGGGATGGTGGATGGTGGCGGACACGGAAGAGGAAGTACAACTACAGGTTCTAAGAAAGGAAAAAAGAAGTCTTTCTCGATTCAGTATCATGGAGACCACGTCGCGAAGGAGACGTTGGAGTACTACATCGATAAGCAGCTAGAAGAACGAGAAGCAGAGAGTTTGCCTTACATCAACAAAGCCCACTGCCGCACTTGTGCAATCGAGGACGATCGAAAAACAGGCGTCCAGATTCGCGCTGCCGTAGTTTACGTGGTTTTGAATCTCGACAACAATGGCCCAGAGATCCTGAAAGATTTGCTGTTGGCTTTTCATTGTGCAGATAAACACTTGAAGTTTCCGAATTCGTATGACATTCTGGTGCTTCACCACGCATTTCGGGAGGAAGAGTTGTACTGGTTGCAGATGCATGCACCACACCATATATTAAGGCTCAACTTTCAATGGTCATTGGGGTTGGTCACTGAGATCGAAGAAGCGACCCCGTTAGAGACCAGGGGAAAAGGAAGGGAAAGGGGAGAGCTTTGAAGGGGGTCTCTTCCGTTCACCATCAGTGACCATTGAATGCTGGGCTTTAAATATACGCGAAAAAATGAAGCTGGTACCTTTGAAGGATGAACACGTTTTGGAGTTATGGGAAGGGTCATTTTATTGGAGAGGGTTTAGTTGTACCAAAGCAACTTCTAGCATGTTGACCTAAGCGGAAGCAGTAACCTAAGCGCTAGTAACACGGAATAAAAGCACTAAAGGCAAGTAATATGTGTTCAACTAGAAAAAAACAAAAATATGAGGAAAGCCAAAAACAAGAAACATCAAAAGCTTGATCCGATCATTTCGCAACATTTAGCACAATCTATCAATAGGTGGCTGTTAGAGTCCAGCAGCAGTTTTGCTTATCGCCAGCACATAGTAGTTCCTATTGCGAGTGAGCTAGTTCTGACCTCCCATCCGACTTCCAACCAACTCCATTTTCATATCCCGGCGATGCCGATGGCAAATACGGCTGCCGATGCCCAGCTTGGGCACCGAGGTGTTGGGACATTACTTGGATGCGCGCAACCAGAATTTTCACCGACCACATGTTCTATTACCTCTCTGGTGGTAACTATGACTACTTCATGCGCCTAGACAGCGACTTCTTCTTTGTCGCACAGCCAGAGTTTGACGCGATCAAGATGTTATTAAGGCTTCTGCAAATCCATCTGAAAAAGCATCATACGAACGTTTTAAAGGGGAAAACGGTCCACAGTGCGTTTCAAGATCGATTTGCGGAAGCTCCAATATTAGCGGAAAATAAGTGTGCCTTTGGCTACCACAGGCTGTCGATTGAGGCACCGGGCTGTTTTGATGACTTCGAGCGCTATGTCCACGACTTTGCTGCAAAGTTGAAGGTAAAGAAAGAGGAATACATGCTGTCCGAAGGAGGTAGGCACTTCTACGCGACTTCTGAAGATCATAAGGCTTCCCCTAATCCATGTCTAGACGCTGTATCTTGAAGGCGGTTTCAAGGCGAAAATAAACACTCTCAGGATGATCTTCAAGATGGATTAGGGTAAGCTCTAAAGCTACTGCATCTGCAGCCACTACGCCATTAACGTCATCTTCACCATCAGCACTCAACAGTAGCATAGGAGAAAAACCGGTACTAAAGGGAGACTCAAAGGAGTGGAATATTCGGATGGGACATGGTGTCGCAGCAGCTGGCGGTCAATGGACTGTGGGAGACATGCGACTTTTTGTTAAGGCTGCGACGCCTTTTAGTACTAACTTTTTGCACTCCAGCACGACCTTTTTCTTCTAATCCTCGCTCAGCCGTGTATCAGCATTTCTCCCGTGGTGCCAAAGACGGCGTTTTTCAGAACCGATGGGCGGATCAGCTGCTCTTCGCCGCTGCAACGATAGTCTTCGGGAATCGCCAATTCTGCTTTCATCCCATGTTTCAGAATGCGACGTTGTTTGTCCACAAAAAACAAGGCTACAAAGACGTGACCTTGTGGGAAAAATGCGAAGTGGAACACCAGATGAACTTCACGGCGGTTTTGGAAGGGTATCCTCATTTGGTTGCGGCGGGAGGTGAGCTCGAGCTGTGATGGAAGAACTACAAGTTCGGGAAAATTGACGATGCAACTAAGTACTTACACGTGGAATCAATAGTACGAAATAGTACACTCAGACGAAGAAGTGGGCTTATCATTGCTCTTTCCATCTCTAAAAACAACTAACTTCTCTCAAATACCCAAAAATCTAACGAAGCGTAAGTGAATGAATGACAATCACACCTACAGACACACTTCTAGACAAGCTAGCTTTTCACTAGACGCAGTTCATCCAAGCTTTTGTAGGAAATCAGAATAAAATGGTACTAACAAACGTCACATGCAATTTGAAGCGTAGGAAGGGACAGTGATGTCCAAAGGAAAAAAGCGGTTTGATATTTCCCCACAGCTGCAAGTACAAGACATCAGAATCACCTATAGCAATGAGCATCGGTTAGAATCGGTGGTGTTCATGCATCGGTCAAATGTGTCTGTATGATCAAATCGGTCAAGTGACTAAAGTGTGTAAACTAGTAACAAACTACGTACCTACAACTCCTCCCCGCCACGGTGCCTCCTCAATTATCAGACACATGATAATGCGTGAAGATCGCTTTCAAAATTACACTTACTAATCCCAAACTCAATCTATCAGTATCAACACAAAATCAAAGACAAAACCAAGCAAAATGGTAGACGCCAAAGCTAGAATTCTATTCCTGTCGTTGTTCTCAGCGAGTACGGCATGGGTGGATGTTATTGCGCTGACGAAGTACGGCGTTTTCGCCAACATGATGGTAGGGAATATGATCTATCTGGGCAGAGTTTTGGGCGCGACTGTTATGGAAAGAAGTACAATTGGAGTAGTAAGAATAATATGTACAGGTAGTAGTAGTTGCTTGTCTAAATATTGCTTTGTCTTGGACGCATGATCTCGTTCTGGGAAAAGCTTTGCTTACGACGTGGATCATGATAACTAGCCTAAGAAAAGGAAACCGAATGTTGATCTCGTCTAACCCTTGGACAACCGCAGACGCGTGGGAATCCGAACGAAAGATTGATCCACTCTTCCTTGTCCTCGTGATCACGGACTACATGCTTGGGGTGGTCTTCTTTCAGCTGGGACAGTATTATTTCCAGTGGAACGCGCGAGTGTGGGCACCGGTCATCTTCTTTGTGTTGGTGATTGAAGAGTTAGTGGAAGTGCATTATCTTATGCGATGGGGAATGTTGTAGAAATTTGAATTCATTCTTGCGGTTGATTTTCTATGCATCCTAATTAAGTCCCGATAACTTACACCTCATGCTAGGTAAATGAATGAATGAATGGATCAAGAGTGTGAGATCATCTTCCTGATGTGCAGGAATCGTTGTCCAAAACCTAGATGAAGCACCCAGTATGGTCTAAGATATTTAGAACCTTATTTCTACAACCTCATACGATATCCCTGTTTTTACATCAGCCCTCCTCCTCCTCCTCCTCCTCCAATCCCTTCGGTCTCCAAACACCGTGGGCCTTGCTCTCCATCGTATGGGTTTTTGGCGTTGAAGACACTTTTTGTCTCAAGGGCGTTATGGCTATGCTGCCTTGGGGATCGACGGGTAAGGTAGTAGCTGTCGGTGTCACCCTCTCAAAAGCGATCATTGGAACAGCAACGCCAGAAGAGCTAAAGAAAGGCCTTATCGCGTTGGGAATGACGGGGATGATGGTAATTGGAGCAAGCCTGGCTCTGTTGTTTTGCCGATGGAACGATTAAGGCTACAGCAAAAACTCCTTCTTTTCCAGGTCTACTTATCAATCTTCGCCCCGTTTCTTTTTGAAAGGAAAAGGGGGCCCAAGATGCTGCTGAAGATGGATTTCTCCTGGTTCTAAAACGACGACTCTCCGCAGTATGGCAACATCATTGCAGCGCCAGTTTTGGCTGGACTGTTGCTAGCGCATGACTACTGGTTAGTACCATGGGAACAGGAGGAAAAGGCAAAGGCAGCGGAGGCAAAGGCAGCGGAAGCTGCACTGAGAGCAACACAACTGACTTATGAATTGATGCTAAAGAAACATACTTTTAGATGGTCTCTTTAAGATAGATTCGTATATTAAGAAGTAATACTTTTCTAGAAAGATACTTTCGTAAAGACTAACTTCTAGCTAAGCTTCTCTTCTCCTTGTCTCCTGGTCGGCATGTGCAGTTACATGAATTCAAGATGCTTGAAGATTCAGATGGAGCAGGATATCTCGCTCAGTCTCACGGTCACGATCGAAGATATTTATCACTCCAACAATTTAATGGAATCTTCATCATTTGTCCAACAATAGAGTATCCAAAAGCAGCTTCTAATCTCCTACACCACTGGTCCAGAACAAGAGCTTGCGACCAAATCATTCGTCGTGCAAGCGTCTTTCCCACGCGATGGATGAAGGTGATAGTGATGACGAGAGAGGAAAGCATCATCACGGAAAAGGCCACCACCGTGTCCTTTCTGAAAGAGAAACGGCGGCACATCGTCGAACGACATTGCAGGGCTTAGAGGAGGACATTAAAGTTAAGAAGTCAGTCTGGCGTCTGTCTTAACCACAGCCCCAAATATGTTCAAGGATCAACAGGGAAGAGTAAAACGTGCACCAAAATAAAATTTTAGCTCCTGTGAATTTCGAATTTGTATGAATCGCAAACAGAATAAGATCGAGAGAGAGGTCTAAGCTCCACCGTGCCAGTGTGAACTTCAGCGTGAGGACTGACGGATCGATGGGGAATTAGGAGAATGGCTGCGAACTAGGACGAAGCGATGGCGCATGGCAGCAGTCAGACAAGGAGCAAAGGAGGTTCTTGACGGAACGGAAGAAGGGTCGACCCGCTTGTGTATTATCTGAACGTAGAACAAGAGTTCGAAAGATGTAGGCAGTCAGGGACAGGGAGTCTTGAATAGACGTTTTCATTTTTGATGGCTCCACGTGACAGACGACTGATACTGAACTTATTGTAAGCCGTTGATTTTGAGCTGCTGTATGTTCCAAGATGTTTCCAAAGAGCAAAGGTGCGCATGAAAAACGTTGAGTATGCAGTTGCTCTCTGATGAGCTCAGGGCGTTTGCGAGTGCACGACTCTAGCGGCACCTTTTCGCTGCTGTGAATGCAGATCTGCATAGAGACGGACCGTAGATAGGCGAAGACGAAGTTAGTGGGTCCGTGAGCGACTGAGTATGAATTCGCATCCATTGAGGACTGAGGAGGGAGCACTTGGCAAAACAAAGGACGTGGAATTAGCTTTCTCGAAAAATTGCAACAAATCGCAGTATAGACTGATTAGCAGTAGCAGGTAGATCAACGGAGACAACTCAACGACAGACCTCCACACGAAAATGATGAGATTTGTCTTTCTCCAAGTCCTTGCTCTGCAGCAAGTGTACGGAATGACCTTTCATCGCCAGGACCCCGCTGCAGTCACGAACGTCGTCTCAAACGCGGGATCTCTGCCCACACCGCCAACCTCGCTTCCTCTTGCGTCTGGTTCGTTCTCGGCTCCGGAACCGTCAGCTCGTGAGGTCATGGAGGCCTCTCAGAACGCAAGGGTACAAGCGGAGCGAGCGGAAGCGGCTGCTGTGTCGGCTGGGAAGATTAAGGGAGGATCACACTCATCAGATAGTGGTTGCTACAGCTTTTGTGTTGACTCCTTTTCCAATAGGCCCTCAATATAAAGTGAGTAATTAGGTTCGCTGGTAGGTTTCCTCGCGCCGTCTTTTCTAACAACAAAGTCGATTCTCTGCAAGCAGCATTGAAAAACGCAGCTGTGGCGCATGCGGAAGAGTTGAGGCGTCTGCAGATTCCACCGCCTGATGTGTAAACGCAAGACTTAGTACTCTCCCCTTTTTATAACCTGTTTCTTCCACCACGGTTGGCCAAGATGATCTGCCACTGTTGATAAAAATCTCTGTTACATGTATAGTCTAGCCCAGTCCTGTCGGCAAAGGCGTGCACAGTGATAAAGAAATACACCGCCCTAGAGGGAAACGTCACAAACTCAAACTCTTCAAAGCTTCCTCTTTGTGAGTGACGTAATCGCGCCTGCTGGAAACGGCATAGGAGCTACTGGCTTCTGTGTTCCCGCAAACAAATGTCGCATCGGTTATTTTTCCTTGAGATCGAGTCTACTACAACAAAGACTCACGCTAAGCCTTGTAGATTTAATCTTCAGATCCCTTTAAGAGACTGCGATCATGATGACCTAACTTACAGGCAGTGGCCCTAGTCAGGCAACTGTGAATGCGGAGAAACCTAAGTTCAAGATTGCAACCAAAAGGTACTGACTTCTTTCAGTCTCTGAGGATCCCGAGTCTAAAAATTGATCTTGCTCCGAAATGAATGACTTTCTGCTGTTCCCTTCGCTTTCCTTTCCTTTTTACTTCTTCTTCTACCCCCCATTTTCTTGTGCAGAGTCAATCCTTCCCTGACTCTCGATTCCTTCTCGATGTGTCAAGCACAGCACAGCAAATGATGCAAATTACTGCCCGTACGTCCGTTACTTTCTCAATGAGAAGGTGGGGATAACAATGGCGACAAACATTTCCGACACTTTACCTGATACTAAGAAGGCTTACTTTTGGAGTCCCCGATTTCCTTTCTCTGGGAGTCTCTGATTTCCACCTTCTGGGAGTTCTCCCACCATGCTTCTATTCCTCTTCAACATCAGCGCCTTGTCATGATGAGCAAACAGAATACTTGCTACTTCTGACCTCCTTTTGTGGGGGTATGAGAACACATTCTAACCACCAAGATCTCTGACAATACTTCCACCTCTCATTGCGAATGTCATTGGGAGCGACAGCTATTTCCGACACTCTTCAGGCGATACTACATTACTGAGCAAGCATGTTTCGAAGGTGCAATGGCTCTTTATTGATATTTATAGTTTATACGATGAGCAAACAGAATACTTGCTACTTCTGATCCCTTCGGGGGTGTGAGAATACATTCTAACCACCAAGATCTCTGACGACTGTCCTCAGTGTACAAGAATTGCTTCAATTCTGCCTCTGTTTAGATTCTACTCTACATGTAGATTCCCTTTCCATTATACCTTCCTGCGAACAAGATCTGAGTGTGTCTGAAGATTTTTTTGAACATTTCTCACACTGCGATCAAGATCATGAGCCGCAAGCTTTCATGAAGTTCTCTGAAGGAGGGGAAAACTATATGTGATCAAGAAAGATATGATCTTTCTCCTTCAAGGTTGTATGTAATGAATTTGAGCAACAATTCTCACAATGCGATCAAGATAATGAGCCGAAAGATCTTTGATCCCGGTTTGCTAGTATGATCTATCCTCCCACCGTTCCATGTTGAAATGCACACACTCCGTGAAGATGACGAGTCTTCCAAATGAACTTGGAAAATCAAAGCATCACGTCATGTGTGAATCACAATCGAAGCACTTCGATCAAGATCCTTTGATGAGATCAAGATCCTTCGTCCGTCCTCTGCTACGCCTGAAGCCTTCACTGAGCGAAGCTCCTTTTGTACAGTGTTCCTTTCTCAACTTGTTTGTTACCGCTTAATCGTATGCGTAACTCATACCTTATCCTTATTGTAATCCTTCCCCACAAACTTCTTCTACATCTGGATCTCCTACCACCTTTTCATCTCCTCCTCCTTCTACTTTCTCCTCCTCCTTCTACTGACCGAAGCTCCTTTTGTACAGTGTTCCTTTCTCAGAGACTCAACTTGTTTATTACCGCCTAATCGTATGCGTAACTCATACCTTATTCTTATTGTAATCCTTCCCCACAAACTTCTTCAGGGCCAAAATGTGCTACGGGATCCTTCTCAGTTCTTACCGCAATGATGACCCCTCATCTTGTAGGCCACGAGCAACGATCGTCAGTGATGACTTTCGGCCGAGGCCCGCTTTTCCTTGTTACCGAGGCTTCTGAGCGCGGAAAGAATAGGAAGATGATCACTGTTCCTTTTTTCTAAGTAAACGAGAGAAGGAAGTCGATGACAGATTTAGGTTTTAAAAAAATTCTACGACAAAAATGCTCGCCGTGGGGACCTGCAACTTCTAGCGGGTACGGTGGGATGGATGCGTACAATCCATCCACTCTCTCGTCCACGTCTGCGTGTGCGCTCGGTACGTGTCCCGAGTAAAAAGCGACGGACTGGCTCGTAGGTCGGCTCGAGTGTTTACTAGGCTCTGCCGAGAGAGACACTTCCGTCATCCGGGAAGAGTACCGTCATATTTTCTGGCCGAACCTCGAGACACTTTCGAGAGACACTTCCGTCGTCTGTTGGGGGCGTCATATTTTCTGGCAGGAAATCCAGGAAAATGCAACGGAGGCAAGTGGCACCTGCGAATTGTAACTGTTGCCGGTGGAATGAGTTTTTACTTTCGGACCGGAAGAAAATGCGTGCAGCAAGGCTCGGGAAAGATGATGTACAGCAGAGAAAAAGAGTCACGATCACGCACGTTATTTCACACTCCGTATTTGATTCTGACATGCGCTACTTGAGTAGAACGCATATATGCTATGTACGCAGTGTCAACGCTATCTCGTCAATGAAAAAAAAAACCGAAAAGATAGACACCATTCAGCTCAGTCATTTACATCTTCAACATCGTTTCCTTCCCCTCAAGGCGGTGAGTATCTGGTTCGTCAACCAACTTATCACATGTGTTCTATTCCGGAGGAAAGCGGGTCGGCCACCGCAGCACTTCAGTTCTTCATTGCAGAACTGCAACCTACGCTTCTGAGCGCATTCAACTTCCGGCTTAGCCTTTTATAGGCATCGCCGTTATACAAGTGCGCTAGAGTGACCAAACACTGTCAAGCCTTCGCGTTCCTATCGTTCCTCTTGTGGATGGGGACATCGTGCTTGGCTGTTTGACACTTTCAACGTGGTATGATTTGTGAAAAAGGCTTCTTCCTTCCTTCGGATTTCAATATCTCACGCGATTAGGATTACTCTGGCACTGGCTGTGACGAACGCAAGTGGATGGTAACTTGTGGGCCTGAGGCAAGAAAGTAAAAAGGCCTCTGGCTTATAATTGCTGGAAAAAGTTTCATTATCCGATGTAAGAGTACGATAGCCAATTTATACAAAGTGCGTTTGATGTGGAGAGAGCATTCGAGAGAGGAATGACATACCCGCAACGACAAAAGAGTTTAACAAAGGGCACTGAAGATTCTATTCAGAGGCAGAATCTTGTAGCGGTTTTCAAAGACGTAGGAGTCTGTCGGATACAGTGAATGCTGAGTATGTACTTTGGTATGTCCGCCTAGCCTTAACCTGTCATTGACGTTCATGTTGGATTTGTTAAGGGTGTGTATAGACGCGTTAAAAAAGTACAAAATGGCTCATCTCGTTTCGTTGTCCGCATCCGACGAAAAATTGGGATTGTGAAAACTGTGACCCAGCGTGCCGTCCGCGGTAGCTCGAAAACTTGTTGTCGTGTAGTAGAGCCGACGTGACACTTGCTGAAAGGAGGCTTGGTGAGAGTCGCGTGGTCGCCTCCGTTTTCGCTAACGAAGCTGTTCCGAGAGCCGGTCATTGAAGCAGCGCTGACAGCTGCGATAACTGTTCGACGTCGCACGTCGCTGGCGAGATAGGAGGGATCCGTGTATGCAACTCGCTCCAGCGCTAAGCCGGAAGGTAGGGTTTCCGGAGAGGACGCAATGCCGCCCGATACGGTGGGAACGGAGCTGGATGAGGTAAGATGAAATGATGACCTTGACACAGATTGAGCATTCTGTTTCTCCTAACATGAAATATTGCAATGTTTTGTCTTTTCATTTTTTTACAGTCGTATTCTACAGTATCCCGGGGAGATGAATCAAAGATCCTTTACATCCGAAAAAGGTTGTCGTAAGCGTCACAGATGCACCGGCTACAACGGATTCAAGAGCTACAGACTCAAGGACAGCAGAGGCAATAGTTATGGTTCTCAATGATTTCAGTAACATCTTCTACGTCTACGTCTCTCGTTGTGCGTTAGGAACCTTGTCGAAAAAATGAAACACATTTTCGAGTTTCGACCTGCCCGCTTGAAGATAGGGTTGTTTCTTGAGTCGTCAAGTGCTCGTCGGTCTAAACTTTGCGCACCGAAGACACCGAGTGCCACACCAAAAGTAGGAGAAACACTAGGTGCGTCTCCGTCAAGCCCTACAAAAGACACTTCCGGCGCGGTCGTTTCTACCACGGGGAGCCCGGTGAAGTTATGTCTGAGAATCTTCTATCTGATAGAGAGTACTCAGGGAGCATTATAGGTCGTGTCCGCAGCGCGCTTCAGAGAAGGCGAGGATCGTGCAATATCAACGCAGTTCCTTGGGTGCAGCCGACACTTGTACCCAACGTGATCAAACATGAGCCAAGTAAGTGTCATCCCCCTGCTCTAATACCACTCAAAGATGTAGATTCATCCTTGATATGTCCACCAGCTGGCAGCGAGCAAGCAGGTGGTTCTGAGCCTAGTCAGCGGAAAGCAGAACCTCCACCAGAAACGAAAGCGCTATACGAGATATGGCCAGGGCAGAACAAATTCTTCTGCTATGGCATGTGTGTTACGGTATCGATGTTTTTTTCGTTTTCCCAGACAACGTTCGTTGTTTTTTCTGAAATAGATACTGACGGAAGAGTAACAACTGCGTAGACGACGTACTAGCACACAGTTTGGGCCTTCCCACGAGCCCCGCATTGTCAACCTGAAAACAATTTTCCCCTCGTTCCACCAGGCCAAAGAAACCGAGACGTTTAGCTTCGTGGAAGCGTGTTGTGACCTTCTGTCACTGTGCTTTCCGTGCTGCACATTCTGCAACCCGGATAATTGGATAACAGTGCGAGACGGACCGGATCCTGTGAGAACATTTTCGAGTGCGCATATATGCGCATGGTTCTCGCTATTGATGCCGATGATATTAAGGTCCAGGTCTGCCAAATGAGAAAGATATTGATGATGAAGAATTTTCAGTGCCAGCAGTAGCAGTATTGTTCCATTGATTCTCTAGTAAAGGTAAAGAAGTCTTCGTGTCAGTGCTGGCATTCATTTCTAAAATTGATATCTTCGGGCGTTGAATTCAACTTCGAGTAGAGAGAGAAAATCGGTAAGCTTTTTGCTGGCGCAGCTCTAATCTGATTTTTCTGCACTTTCACGTATATGGAGCTGACAGCGGAAGCAGATATGGCCATAGTCATCGCGGTAGCATGTGTCTTCTTTCTCAGCACTGCCGTTATATTATGGAGGGTAGCTGCGCAGACATTGCTTAGTCTACTAAGTACGTGGGTTCTTTGTAATAGTTCTATTTGGGTGGACACACCATGGCGAGGAGTTGCGCCACGTACTTACTGCAGGGCGAATAGGAGGATGTTGACTGCAGAAAGAGTAAATCGTTTCTGGTGGTATCCTCAACTGATCTTCAACTGCTTGTTTTCGTAACGTCTCCTAATCTATAATTAAATGATTTTCCATACCCCACGAATGGGTACGGTACTACTGCTACTACTCATTCATCTCGTCTCTTGCCCAAATCTGCAAACACCTTCTAATCCATTTCCTTCTGCTAGCATCTTGCTCTGATCCTGGCATGCTCCCAAGACGAGAGGTGATTTTAGCGTGTGACGGGCTTAGGGAGAAGCTGGAGAAACAATTGGGGTACGACGTTTTGAACGGCAGCGACAAAATCATCAAATCAACAGTGCCACCAGAATTAAAGAAAGCGGGTATTTTTTTAGGAGGTACTCGGCCTCAATTCGATTTCAAACTTCCAGGTGCACTGCCGTATTTCGGGTAAGTACTCAAGTAGAACGACACCCTTCATCATGGGAGTTGTACCCTCATAATATTTTCTACCAATAATACAGGTCATTCCTGGTGTACGACCGGATATTTTCTACCAATAATACAGGTCATTCCTGGTGTACGACTTGCCGGATCATAAAGCCACCACGCGCAACGCATTGTTCAAATTGCGACAACTGCGTGTTGAGGTTCGATCACCACTGTCCTTTTATCAACAACTGCGTAGGGAAACGGAACTATCGCTATTTCATGGCGTTCCTGTTGTCGATCGTGATGCTCGGACTCTTGGTGATACCAAGCATAATATGGGCGCTGGTATATTTTTTACTACACTTGTACTACATTTGTACTAATATCGGCTCCTACGTTTGTACTAATATCGGCTCCTACTTGTACTAATATGGGCTCCTACTTGTACTAATATGGGCTCCTACTTGTACTAATATGGGCTCCTACTTGTACTAATATGGGCTCCTACTTGTACTAATATGGGCTCCGACTTGTACTACATTTGTAGTGAGGACAAGAATATACCTTGAACTTCAACAACAGAAGCCTTACCATATCGACATTGCGGTTCTCATATCAAAAAGAAATTTGCGGTTCTCATATCAAAAAAAAATTGCGGTACTCATATCAAAAAAAAATTAGTTCGGCGGTGAACCAGAGGCCTCGCATAACTCATGGTGGAACAATGAGGATAAACATTTCCCACTGTGGTTCTTTATCGTGGCTTTCTTAACGGCCTCTTTCGGTGCGGTTTTAGCAGTGCTTGTGGGACTCTTGTGTGGGTACAGTTATTCTTATTTGTTAGAGGGTAACAAGAACTACACGCTACTACCTAGTAACAAGCAATTACTTTTACTAGAGGAACTTGTTATAGCTTAGTTCATGCAAATACAAGTGGCATGACCTTTGGGCTACCTAGCAACCAGTGACGACCACTGGTCTTCTTGTCATCCAATCTTCAGGTACCACGTTTTCCTGTCGTACAACGGGATTACAACAAAGGAACACTGGCGGGGGACACATGATTAAGGCAAAATCTTGAAAGTTTTTCAGTTCAGGTGAGTGGAACTTACATCAGAGATGATCTATCAGCAAAACAATCTGTCAGCTAGTTAGCAACAATCTGAATCTTCGGTTTCCTAGTCGTTTTTTTCCTAGCAAGCTTATGGGCGTAGCTCACTTGGTCTTCCACGCACTCTAAAGCAAGTTGAAGCATAAGATGAAGACGCTCCTACAGGGTGGTGGGCCAGCGATGTTTAACCCGCGGCAGCGGATCGACGTGAAAAAATGGAAGCACGTCTCGGAGAATCGCCTCTAGAGAGGGATGCGTTTTCGCAGGTTTTCTAAATGCTGAAGAGAATCAAGAGTAATGAAAATTAATGATAATGATTCAGGTACTTAATTCAAATTCTCCTTGTGTGAATTGTGAGTACCAGCACCGGTACTCTCGGCAGGATGTTGCCTAATAGAGGAGACGGAGGGCAATTCACTTATGGTAGAAGTCGTGAGCAACACCAATACAATTTTTTGAATGGTGTCGCGTCTATTTTGCCCGTTCCGATCGATCCAAACACTTTCAGCTTATCTGATAACGCAGTCTCGATACAAAGATTTTAGCTTATCAAACACTTAGGAGTTGTCTCGACATGAATATGAATATCCACAAAAAAGCAATTATAATGGCCAAGAATAGGTATCTATAGGTAATAGCAAAAGTGACCTGTTGTGGTCAAGCTTTTATCAGTGAGTTTCAGCCGTAGAAGTCGTATGGTCCTTCGTAGCTATTGTAAATAGGAGACCCGATCGTTCGTAGGCATATCAGCACAAATATCTACTGACTGTGCATAAAATGTAAATGTAGTCACCCCTTCACTACGCACGCAAGGACATAATATTTTGTGCAGGGAATATCTACATGCGCATCAATTATTTTGATCATCAGGTTTTTTTAGTGTACCAATAACCTCTAACTGCTGTAGTTGTACTTGTATACTTGCTCGTTTGAAATTAAATCTTGAGTCTTTTCGGATTAGTGCATTCGCAATCTTTGAGGACATGTTTCATCGGTGGAAATCAAAAGCAAAACAAAGTTGAGTTGGAAAGAAAAGAAGGCAGGAATCTTTTTCCAGTCACATTGGATGTAGCGTCTAACCCTGTCAAGAATGTTCTGTCGTCTAGGCGACAATCGCATCAACGTGGTGAGTCGCTCTCACGCTGTGTTCAAAAGCGTGACTTTCAGTTCCACCAGATTTTTGATGTGAACTTTGCACTTGGTCTTTTGAAATGGCTCTCTCTTGGATATCATGGATCTGTTGAAAAACTTGTGAGGTGGTTATTGAAAAATAGTCTGCTTTGTGCAACTTCTTAATCAAAAAGAGAAACAAAAGTCTGAATTGATTCAAGATCTCAGAGACAGATAACATTTGAATTGGTTTTCATTGCTCACCCGTTTTGTGGAGGCTACTAGCTAGGCATACTCTACCATGCTTTTTTATTCTTGATTTGTAATTATCGGGTACGTTTTACCACTCCTTACACCTACAAGAGAAGAGTAACAAAAATGCCTCGGAAGCCGGCCGGTGGAGCGCCAGCTGCCTCCAAGGCCAAAGCCAAGGCAGGCCCAGCCAAATCGAAAAAGGTATCCTGTGGACCAGAAGATTTAAGAAAAGGACTTGATCTAAGGACTCACACCGACAATGTTTTTCTATAACAAGAACTGCCTCTACAACCACACTAGTGATTGTTCTATCTCTCTAATCTCAAACGCTGCTGCTGCCCCAGATCCAGAAGGTGCTGCAGATGAGGATGAAGCTGCAGACGGAGCTGAAGCTGCAGAGGGAGATGAAGCACAAGCCGCTGCACTTGCCTCAGAGACTCTGTCTTCTCTCGTTTCCGTCGCTTTGGAGGCAAAGTTTGATAAGGAGACGTCATCTGTCCATTTTGCCTTGAGCTTGTTTAAGCATGATACGCGAAGGATTGAAGTCTGTTCCTTGACGGATCATGGAAATATGCCACTCTTGGAAGCTGTCCTCTTGCAGATCGCACCGAACCAAGACTTCGCTCTGAACGTGTGCGACGGAGCGATGCCAGTGAACGTGCGGCAGAAGATTTTCAATGTGGTGAAAAATTGCCTGGAGAGTGAAGAGGTATTTCTCAAGTAGAAGAAGTGCTTGATTCAAGAATGCTTCAATGAAGAACTTGTTGTAGGAACCAAGGGGCGTTCTTCTGATCTTGCTTAGTCGTGTAATAGCGTATTGAAGTAGTGGTCCGCACGTTCGGGTTCGTTGTACTCATATTTATAAAACGGACTCCGACTCCGACTCCGACTGTAACCTCCATAAGGTAATGATTCATGAGACTACGAAGGGATTCAATTCGAAAGAAGCTGTGAGCAAGTTACGAGAACGACTTTTAGATCCAGATTGCCTCAAAGCGGCTGAGCATGCCCTACTGGACCTAGAACCGGAGATGAGAGCTGTTGGATGTCTTATTTCTTGTGCCACTCATCAAGTTATGGGTGTTGTAGGGAATTCATCATCTCCAAATGAGTCATCTGGATCTGGAAGAGAAAGACAGGAGGAAAAAGCGACCCACATGATCCCTGAGATGAATTCCCGATACCTGCTCTAATCAAGGATTAGGCCTCCTCACTAGTCCGGTTTTTTTCGAGTCCTGCTCGTTACATGCCTACACGGGCCACAAGAGCTTCCTGAAACTGGATAAGGCGGCTTTTGCGGCATTGCACATTCTGCCTCAGGATAAGAAGGACGTTCGCTCTTCGACCAGTTTGCTGGGATTTTTGAACAAGTGCAGGACGCCTTTGGGCACTAGGAGATTGCAGAAGTGGTTGCGACAGCCTTTGACTGATGAGACGGAAATTTAAGGCTTAATACAATGCATTTCGATTGCCAGCGGTCCGTCCTCGTTTTGCTTTTTTTAGTAAGTAGGTTGCTTCTTGGGCATTTTGAGGGGTCAACATTTTCTTCCAGTAGCCAAGTTGCTTCATCTTGGGAATGGGATTCTGAACAAGAGATGTTGATTGTTCAAGGGGAAAAAAGGAATTGTTGCGAGCTCTAAGAGGTTTTGAAGCGCCATGACGTGGTGGAGGTGTTTTTCCGGGATCAAGCGTTGCTCCAGAAAGTCCAAAGAAGTTTGAAGCAGGTGATCGACTTGGATTTATGATTTGGCACAACACTCGGATTTAGGTGAAGATCGATTTGGATTTATGTTGAAGTGCTACATGTCAGTCGTGTCACTTCTCGTTCTCCGAAGTTGTATCTATCATACTATGCACAAGCACAACTATATTGTTTCACTTATATCAGTACTGTTAATAATATCACTAAGCATAAGCAACCTTATTCTTCTAATCGGCAAGTTGATCCAGCGTTTACAGAGGACAGCAGTTTCCCCCGATGCACCAAATGGAGCAACGTTAGAGGATTTGTACCAGATATGGAGATGCCTACAGAGCGCGATCCAATTAGTGGAGGAGCTATATGAGGATTGCGTACTACTTTCTTCTTTTTGATTGTGATTTTTAGATCCGTAGTGAAAGGAAAAGGAACAAAAACTCTGCGAGGATCGGACTGGTGACATCGTGTATTAGAGAGAAACAAATGGACTTTTGCGAGGACTTGTCCACCTTCTGTCTTGTTTTACTTTGCAACCGTGCCGCTTCTCCACTCCACTCTTTGCGTGAGATCCATCGTGTGTATCATCTATGACGCCCTTGTGGCAGTCTGCACTGACTCATTGGAACTCGCTCGCAAAATACGCAGGTAAGTTTTGATGTATCGGAACTCGCTCGCACTACAAAAAAAAAAAAAAAAAGAGATAAATTGTATTGTATTGTA